GGCACCTGATTTGAGCAGCTTTTTCTTGCCACTAGGTTGACTGGATACGTGAATCGTTTCCATTTGTTACTCTTCAATTAAAAATCAGATCTATTCTTTCACTAGATTTCTTCATTTGAGATCAAGGTTGTGTACCTCTTTGTTTAAATTAAACTGTGTTATATATTTGTCATTGAGAGGTGTTTGGAACACTTTGGGACACACTTGAACTAAAAAGTTGATGGAGTAAAGTTTTGATGTATACAAAACTTCAAAATATTTAGATCGGTGACCACACTTACGTATGTTCTCTATAAAAATTCAAAAAATGCTTATGGTCAAGGTCAGGTCCAATATTGAAGTCTTTAAAAAGCAATTTAGCATAATAAGATGCCTTTGTGAATAAAACTGAATGGAACACAATTGAAAAGCATTTTTTTCTAATGTGTTCTGGTTACAAGAATTAACATTTATTCAAGCATGTTCATTTTTGGTGTTTTGTCTTGGTCTGACTTCCTAGAATTTATAAAATTCATCACGAATAATTTTATTTAGGTGATGACTATTCTGATTTGAAATGCTTATAGTAGATATTCCTGGAAAAATCCTTATACACAGAAAGTGAAAGTTTTGCACGAAAAAAAACAAGCCAATGTGTTTTGAAGAATTTTCCTAGTATTCTCAATTTATATGACCGATCCACGATTCAAAAGGTTTTCCTACCAACATAATGCACAAAACTGAACAGAACTGTGTTATAGTTTTACAAAATGTAACAGGTTTCTTTCTTTGTTTAAGGAAAAAAACAGTGTTGGAACAACAATTCTGATTATTTCAGCCAGATATAAGAGGAGTTCAGAGCTGTTTCCTTTAACAATGTTAAAAGTAATATATATCTAAGTTGTTTCTAAGTAGTATTGGAATAATGTTTTTTAATATACCACCAATGTTTAAATTGTTATATTCAGTGTAGATATGTGGCAAGTGTCAATTTAGCTCTAAATTATTATAATAAATTCATGAATTCTCATTTTGTTTGGATTCTAAGAATTGAATGCATGACTTCCATTGGACTTCCTGCAAATTGTTCTTATTTCTGAACAGTCTACACTCGTACAGGCATTTGAGTAAGTGTAGAGCCATACTGTTGTATCACAGTAAAGTCTAAACTGTCACATTAATTAATCTCAATAGGATGACCAGCAGGTACTTGTTAGTATCAATGATTTGTTCCAAGTTATTTTGAATATTTCCGGCTAGGTAATGATGGCACTTTGTAGTCACCTCAGCACTGTTGAAGCTGAAAAGCAGAAACTGAAAGCACAAGTGCGAAGGCTTTGTCAAGAGAATGCCTGGCTCAGAGAAGAACTGTCAGTCACTCAACAGAAACTACAAGAAAGTGAGCAGAAAGTGGCTCAGTTGGAAGAAGAAAAGAAACACTTGGAATTCATGAACTCTATAAAAAAATATGATGACGTAAGCATCTTTCAGTTCTTTCTTCTTGTACAATAATTTTCATGGAAAGCTACTTTTGCACATAAATTGCACTCACTGGTTATAGTTTGTTTTTTAGAGTTACCTCTCATTTATTTTATTGTTTCTTATTTTTCATGTGTTTTGCCCATCATGGAATTGTTTTGACTCTCCTAGGATAAGCATGTAAGTGTTAAAATAGCTAGAGAACTTCCCTGTTTCCTTCTTCTTTCATTCACGCACTTACACTTACAGTTCATTGGATTGTTTGTTTTTAATTATGTCCTTGTCCTTATCATGCATTCATGACTGTTTATTTTAGTTTGCATAAAATGCAAAAGGGTTAAGAAACAAGCACTCAACTTTTAGAAAACATGTAGACCATTTTTAGAAATTCTGCTACAGTTTCTTCAAGAGCAATGGAACAAAACTTTATATTTCAGCTGTGCAAAAAGATTCTTTAGATTGGTATGAAAATCCTGATTTTATTGTGCAGTATATGACTTTCATAAATTTAAGGGTCCCTATCCATCGTCCATTTTAAAAGTAGATTCGATGTTGTGATGTGTCTGTTCAGTAATAGATCACAGTTGGTGTCAAATTGTGGTAAGAACAAAAGAGTGACACTTGAAGGGCAGTCAAATGTGTCATAGGTGTGACAGGAAATCTATTGGTTTATATGATAAAAAAAAAAAAATTTGGTTTGTGGTGATATGAGAAACAATCAAAATGTGTGTATAATTCACCTTGTTATATAATGTTTTTGTGAATATATTCTTTCATCATTGACTGAAGCTTCAATAGGGCAGAGTACCATAGGACGCACAAGTCTTTGGATATAAGTAGTTGGGTGTGAGCCCTTGCTAGAAGTATAAATAGGTGTTGATGAACCTCCTCTTGTAATCTACTTAGTCAAAAATGAAATTGTAGGCTGCTTGGTAAAATCAAGGAGACTTATTTACCCTTTTTTCTCATGAAGAGAAATACTTATTTTTTACCAGGATGAAGGAATAGAAAATGACATCAGTATAGACATGCTCTCACAGGATGAAGAGGAAGTGGAAGATGTTGATGGTAGGCTGTTTTGTAGTCAGGAAGAAAAAGTAATGATTTCTTCAAAAATTCCTTTGTCAGAGAAACACATTGAGCCTTTTAAGCCAGCAGTAACCATTACCAACCTAGAAAATCTTAAAGATATAGTAACCATTTTTTAAGAACTATTTTTCCAAAGTTGTTACCATGCCATACTCTCAACTCTAGTAATAAATAACTGAAAAAAAAAAAAGAACCAAAAATATTGAAACCTGCAAAAAATTTTACTTTCTCCACAATACAAACTATCATGCTATCATGTTAGGTAATTAGTTAAACATAATTTCAAGTGCAATGTGGTGTTAATAAGCACAATAAAATTTTTCCTAGACAAAAAAATTGCATGAGCCTGTGGGGCAAGTGCAATTTGTAGTCTTTGAAAAATTTACTTGCGCTTATTAACACCAAATTGGAAGAGAAATCATGTTATTACTTGTTAATAATGTACATGATGAAACATCACAGAGAGTTAAGGAGTAATTTTGAGAGGGTGCACTTATGATTTGTAATTTGGACTCATGTTACACCTTTGCTCCCATGCTACATGAGAATTGCACTTATCCAGCCAATCAGAAGCCAGTTATTTTTTCAGGTATATTATTACAAAAGAAAGAAAACTAAGCAGAAATGAGATCTTTCAAATTTCTAGTGTAGCATGAGTGACATCTTTGATTTTTTCCTTTCCAACATTATGTTAATTAATTGACTATTTATTTATTTATTTATCTTTTTATTTTATTCAATTATCTTTTTACTTCCATTTATTGTAGATGAAACATTAAGTCAGGCATCGTCTGCCACCTCAGCAAGTGCATCAGGTGTCTATGAAATTCCAGCTCGCCTTAGAACACTGCACAATTTAGTTATACAGTATGCTTCACAGGTAGGAATTTACTCCTTAAACCCTTCAAGTATCTTCTTGATAAATTAAAATATTTACTCAAGTGTGTGCTGTGGGTGCTTAATTGATTTATGGTCCTTGTGAGTGGGAGCTTATATGAGGCTGGGCTTATGCGAGGAAGGGTGCTTATATTAATTTAAATGTTCACAGTTTTCATCTAGTAGTAAGTTTATTTTAGGGCAAAACCAAAAAAAAAAGTAACAGAACATAACAATGTACCACAGACAGTGAATTTAGAGACTGTCAGCCAGTAAAGAAATAAGACACAATACTCCTCTTGTACACTTCAGTTCAAGGGGGGGGGAGGGAGGGTGGTTAGCCTAGGTTGGATGTTTTTCAATTCAGTAATTATTGTAAAGTGCACTTTAGTTCTTGTCATTATTCTTCTCACAAACCAGCACTCAAGAACCAAGATGTCCATCATTGTTTCTTTTGCCTTTTGCCTTTTTATACACTAGATAAAGACAGTAATAACTTAAAAGCAGGGAAATGTTTTAAGGAAGACACCAAACCTAATTTTTATTTTGAATTTTTTTCATCCCTTGAAATGGTGCTCAAAATATCATTCTTTGCATTATGCTATTGTTAGGGTCGATATGAGGTGGCAGTCCCTCTCTGTAAGCAAGCACTGGAAGATTTAGAAAAGACGTCTGGTCATGACCATCCAGATGTGGCAACTATGCTCAATATCCTAGCTCTTGTATACAGGTAATTTGGTGATGATTTGACATTAACACTTGAACTGTTTTCTGTTCTACAGCAAGTGCATCTGTGGTAGGTCCTTGTCATTTTTGTTGGTTAGCTATCTTTACTTAACAGGAAAACTCAGTTTTAATTAATCACTGTTTTTAATCATATATGGGTATATAGAAACTGGTAACAATGTCTCATAATCCTAATGAATTTTTGGAATCAACTTCATAACTTATAAGGCAAATCATGTCAATTATTGATCTTTTAAAAATCTTTTGAAAGAGCTTTAAAAAAAGCTGTTGTAAGGTTACTTTCATAACAGCCCATTTTGGTGTTTTTAATTCACCTTTCAACAAGCAACTCCTGTGTAGTGCTGAAGGGAAGACACTCAGTTGGAAAAAAATTCAAGTTTGGACAATATTCTTGGGGGAATTGTGATGACATCTATTTTTTATGTTGAATTTTCAACCTTGGATTATTGATCTGTAATATTTCAAATGATTGTTAAATATGTAATTACACAGAAGTACATAGCTAGTAACAATTAGAATATTTTGCACCTTTCCTAGATATGGTAATTTATTTTATTGATTCAATGTTAAATGCTGCAATAGAAGTTGTTAGAACCTCAAGTTGTTAAAAGTAGTAATGAATTGTGTTAAAGAGTAAATCCAGCCAATTGTGTAATAGTTAGTGATGCATAATATTTTTGGTAATCATACACGCATTATAACAATACCATAGTTTGTGGAGCAGCAGTTGATTTTGAACGAAGGTGATGTGAGTTAGGCTTCATTTCCTTTATCAGATACAATATCGTTCACCCAGCAGTAGATCTCCCTAAAAGTGTCCTTTGGGACATATTAAATTTCCTCATGAACCCCGTGCGACACATTATTGAGGATGACGAAAGCTTGGATAGAATTCACATCAGGAATCTGGGACTTGTGTGTGGTGCCACCTCTGAAGTTTCCATTACGGACAGTGGTATGACAGACAGTGAGCTGTCATTAGTGTCTGGTATCATGTTTGAGCAACATGAAAAGCTCAGCCAACGGATGGATACTGTTGAGGAGACAGTCAGGAAATACTTGCGTGTTGACTTTGCAAGCCCAGTGACATCAAGCGTTTCCGTGTAAAGCAAAGAAAACCAAGCTAACTTTGCTGTGATTCAATTTTACTGAGTCGCCAAAAATATTTTTAATTTTCCTTTAAATGTACAACCAGAAGAGGACACCAGAAGTCACCAGGTCTAGGAAAGAAGATCTTCAAGATATTTTTGTGATCTATGGTTATGTTGGGATGGTATTGTCATGACACAGCTGGTGATATTAGAAAAACCAAAGTGATTTTGGTGCTCTAAACATTTGAATCCTTCAGAGAAACTGGTTACTTGCGCGAAGCCATGTTTTGTTTTAAGCTTGAAAAGAAATTTTTCAGATGAGCTACATGAAACTGCATTCCAATTTTCCTGGCCTGTGGTAGATGATAGCTATTTTATTGCTTTGTGATAGCACAATTTGATAAGTTTTGCCAGAGATTAGTTTTAAATTGTATAAAAAAAATATTTTGTTACTTCAGTCCTTTAAAGTAGTTGACGAAATGCAAATAGTTATTTTGATGAAATTTTACCTTGTGCTCAATGCAAAGCATTGTTCTTTGGAGATTTATATAAAATATGATTATTATATTTTTGCTTTTTCATTGCTTTTTTTGCAATATTGTTGGGTGTGCCTTTGTAAGTCAAAGTATTCAGATTTTTTGGAGAAAAAAAAATTTAGGGTAAGTACAAATTTGGTAAATGCTCACATGAAGCAAAAAAATTATATTAGTGATAGTATTTTAAAGGTTACGACGCATTAAATTATGCTTTGTATCTACTGTGTGAAGTAAAGAGGAGTACAAGTACGGATGCAAGATGCCACATTTCTTCAGTGTTAATTGGAAAAAGACCTTTATTCAACCCCTTTCATTCATCCCCTTGTCTGCCTCTCAATTCCTCTGATGTATTATCGATAAGTTATTCACACTGTATTAGATGTTTTGGATACAACTTGTCATCAAATCATTGACTGAGGGGAACGCAATCTTGTCAGACGTCGAAGCTGTCATTAACAAGATAAATGAGCTTTTTCTGGGCTGGAAACTAATTTGTAAAAAATTCAGGTCAAAATTCTGGCTCTTAAAATCAGTTGTTGAATTGTCCTTTAAAACCTGGAAAGAAGATAGAAAACTCCCACAATTTTGCAGTTTTTTTGGCCAATTGCACTGAAGGATCATTATAACCAACTATGCTCACAGCAAACAGGAAATGATTAAGCAAACACAGTTGTGAACAACTTTTATCATCAAAGCATTTTTATTTCACTCAAAATAACTTTCTTCATCCTTTTTCATACCTTTGTTTAATTTTTACTGTGCTTGAAATAGCATTCGTCTTTCTATCATACCCAAAGAGTTGAATGTAGCAGTGTAAGTCTTAACCTTTCAGATTTCATCCTTTACTTTGAGCTCTGAGATGTGATTCGGAAGTTTCTTTTGGCCTCTCAACATTTGTTTGTAAAATTAGTTAAGAGAATTGGGACTTTTTTTTTTTTTTTCGAAGGTAATGCATTCTAGTTAATGGAATAAGTTTGCCTTTTGTCCTAGTCTGTTTCATTGTTTTTCAGCAAACAGACTTACAGTGTTAATCCCATATAGATGCTGATGGATTTAAGTAATTTTGTTCTTGTTAACTTAGGCCAGTTATTTAGTCCTCAATCACCTTAGAGTCAAGCTTCACACTCAACTGTCTTAAGGCAGTCATTTCTTCAGTGTTAATTTTACTTACCATCAATGAAATCTTTTTCATCAAATGCAAACTCACACTTAGAAATTTTTATCATGAGCTGCATTCTTTGTCATGTATCAAGCACTTTTGTTGTGTCTGCTCACAATTCAAATTCTTGTTCAATTTATGTGTTCCACAATATTTATGATCCATGCATTTCTCAGCATAGTAGATCGCTGCCATCAGTTTGGTTGTTTGTACCCTTCATGATGTCTCATTCAAACGAAATGTTCCACAAATTCCACAATGTTTACAATCCAAGTGTTTATCTGCATAGTTGACTGACAGCAAACATTTTGGTTGCATCAAACAGGTCTTTTCTTGTCCATCTGTGTCTATGGGAGAAGTCGTACAAGACAGATTAATGCAGCTATAGATTTTAACTCAAATTAGAGAAAAAGAGAGAATTTTTCAAAAATTTTGTAATTTCAGATTTCTTTGTAAAATTAGAAACGAGAATTAGGAATTTTTGGATTTAACAGTCTTTTCAAAGACAAACTTTTTAAACAGATTTATCTATTTTATAGTAAATTTAATAACATAGCCATTTTATGCAAGTTCTGGAAAAGTACATACTTTACCATAAGTAAGCAATGATTTTGGTACTTTTCGATGAGATATTTTTTTAGGCAAGTTATATCTAGCAATGACAACACGAAAAAAGGCCATCTTTGTTCATGAGAATATGACAATATAAATTATAAAATTATCTGCAAAAAAATAATTTTTTAAGGCCAGTTATTTTTAGCAAGGAGCATGCAGCTAGTATATTTCAGTCCATGAATTTGGCATTGGATATTTTGATACAGGGAATGAAGTGAAATGGAAAATTTCATTACAATTTCCAGTAACAAAATCTCCATCATTTGAGAGTATGCATGCTGGCATAACACAAATGCAAGATGACAAATTTCATCCTTCCGCTTAAATGGCTACTGAAAATTTTGAAAGCATGAAAGCATTGCATGTCAGAATATTGAGAAGCAGTTTTATTCTTGTGTGTCACATGTACCAGTTCAACCAAGTTGATTATGTTGATTTTTGATGAATTTTTCAGTATCACTCCTTAGTTAGTATTTTGAACATCAGTACCTCTTCCCTCCCTCTTAAATTGGGGAGAGGTGCATTTTAGGCTGCTTTCAATAAGAGCCCTTGTCCTCAAGAAAGTAAATTGTTTTTTGGAACAAGTTACATTTCTTGTGTGGACATCACGAACCCTTTAACTCCCATGATCTGATTGTTAATTCTCCCCTGTAGCTGATACACATTTCCCTCAAAATATGTTATGAGAATTTGGTGGTAGATCAAGATAACAGTTTCTACCTGATAAGTGAGAGTATTCTCATTACCTGTTTGCTGTATAATGTATGGATATTAGAGTGAGAAGTTACATGTTTATCACTTGTGGGAGTTAAAGGGTTATTATATTGAAACAATGACATTAGGGATGTTGCTTTTCTTCTTAGAGCACAGGATCACACTGAAAGCAAATTTAGCTCCTTCTTAAGAAATCATTGCATTTGTATTAGTGAATGACATTTTAAAACACTAGGCTGGCATATTCCAGTGTGAGGAATCCTTGAAGACTGCACTTTGAAGTAAACCTGTGTTTACCTAGAAAAATGCAATCAGCCTTGTAGATGCATAAGTAGTGGTTGAAAGCCAGTGAACATCACTTAATATTCTGGTGCTATTCAGTCACACAGCTTCAAAACGGTCATCACATTATGAAAGGAGACAGTTAGTTGAGCTCTTAATAGCAGACAAATCCTTGTTTGTGTTGGTTATTCTACAGTGCAGATATTAACAGTAACAGAAAATCTAGAGTCATGAATTTTTTCTTAGGTAACACTTTATAGCTGATCAGTCTGTTTGATCTCACCACCTGTTGGCTGAGCAATGTATTGGTAATGTTGAGAGAAGATGCATGTTAATCACTTCTGGAAGTTTAAGGGTGAAAGGGCACTTCCTCTGTACATGTCACTATAAAACTGTACAACAGACTAAATAGCAATGTTTATATGTCACTATTAAATACTATTTTTGTTATGATCATGAATTGTATACCTTGAAAAATATCCCACAAGCTGTTAATTTTTCCGTCTTGGTGTATTTTTGTGTAAGTGTAAACAGTGAGAGATTTTCCAGTGTACTGACCATGTGAAAGGACAACAGGAACTTAAAACTTTCATGAAAGCTGTGAGAAAGCTGTGAAAATGCTCAAGTTTATTGTTAACTTAGGTTAAAAAAAACATTTTCAGTGGGACAATCTTTTTAAGTTGTATTCTTTGGAGCATGGAAATTATACCTTGAAGAAGCTTTGTTTTACAAAAAATCTGTTTATAGAAACTCTGTGTCATTTTAGTTGCAATAGCTCTTGTTATTAGATGTGATTAAATCACTCTCTCCATAATTCAGAAATTGTGTTATTCTGTTATTCTGGTGCACTAGTTACTCTTTTGGAGTAGAATTGTCTTAATTCAGCATGAATTGTAAAAAATGGCATGTGACAGTTCTAATGCAACACATTCGCACTAATTAATTTAGAGAAAATTGCATTCAAATGGCCTCTATTGTCATTCAAACATGCAAAGCTTTATGATTTCATATGGAAATTTGATAATTATCAATATTTTATTCATGGTATGTAAAATGTAAATGAACACCTTGAGTCAAAACAATAATTCTAAAACGAATACAGTTAACAAGTCCCAAGCTTCAAAACAGTTTCTAAAATAGCTATTAAGATTTTGTATTTTGATTAAAAACTTATAGAAGATAAAATGCAAGTTGTTTGATTTCTGATCCACTCTGAGGGAAATCATGTGGTGTGAAAGATTAGATATTTACGGTTATGCAGCTGAGACGTAGAATTTCTGAGTAGGCATAAGTTACATACATGTATGAAACTATTCAGCACATAACAATTGCATGTTATGCCGTTGTGGAAGTTTTGATCAGAACAAACTGATTCCCTTGGGAATTGATTTTGGTCAAGAAATCTATCCACGTCACTCAAAGTCTGTCAGCATTCATTTGATATGGAAAGACCAAATTCAATAACTTTTGGTGACAATAATGTCTGCTTGGGACATTTTAGAAATTCCGTTCATGTTGACAGATTAAATGTGATCTGTGCATTTCCAGTCAATATTTCGTTTTCAAATTTATACACGAGGGAAGAAACATTGAACTGGGCATTGCTTAGGAGTAATTTTTCAAAATGAAAAATGTCTCAAGCGAACATCTGTGTAACGTATTTAATTTAGTAAATTGGAAATTCACGCTATCGCATCGTGCGTTATATGTTTTAAAAGGAAATGGGTGAAAAGGAAGAGTTTCCTTCTAATCTGTGACGACTTGTGCTTTCTAAAAGCTGAACTTGAACTTGACAGAAATACTTTGCTCTAGTTCCTTAAATTCTCAATCACAGCTCACAATAATCTTTACTATTACTTCCATGGTCCTTGTTGAAAATGAAAATTTATAAGAAACCAGCCAAATACGAATTAAACTACAGAACTGATCGAAAGTGATGTTGAGATAAATATCACACGACCTGAAAAAACATGAATTTATCCTCCACGCAAATGTGCATTGTTCGATTTACTAATACTGCATTTTTGAAATACCAGAGCCCATAAATGTCTTGTAGGCTATAAAACAATTCTGAGGGCAAGACAGTCTATATTCTCGACTTCATGGCGACGTGAGATACAATCTAGAAAGTTTGAAAGCTATATTTAGCTGTTTGCAATTTGCAGAATTTCCGGTGGCGGTTGTGTATTGCAGCTTGAAAGTTTCTGAGTGTACCACGACGAAATGTCTTTTTCTTTACTAGTAGTAGAATGTAAATATATGTAAAAGTGTCCAAGTAGACAGACTTGGTGTTAGCTCACCTGCATTTTGTTTTGTTGATAGCAGTATGACATGGATGCCGGAAATGTTGCTTATTTTTTTCATTCTGTGTTAAAATGTCCAAAAATCATACTACACAAATATAAAGCTATATTTAAAACAGAATGTCTGAACTAGAAATTATTTCTTTTTTCAGGAACGGGGCAAAGTTATGCGTTTCGTTTGTATGAATCGTCTCGTGAAGCCCTTGAACACAAAACCCGTTATTTCATTATTTACAGAAAACAATGTTTGACTGTATTAATTGGAAGTCTTCGTGCTGTGGCTTTTGTCTTGTCAACTTCATTACGATGTTAACTGAAAACACTCAGTGGTAAACTAGCTGTGAACACTTGTACAAAGTTAAACAAACTGATAATAGTTTGTTGTAAGTTTACACGAAGAAGAATGGGTTAATATTCACAGTAATTAATAACTGAAATTTGAAAAGCTAGGCCAGACAAGAAGTCTCCTATTTGGAAAGTAGTATTGTGTTTTGTTTTCATAATCTTATGCTTCAGTTTTCAAGGGAATAATTAAGAAGTTTTGTGTTGTTGTGTTTTGGCATGCTACAACGAACCGTATATTGTGTTTAGAGGCATGGACCCGTGACACTTTTGAAATCACAAATGATCTTCGAATTAAAAGTAATATGGTGTCTTTTCTTGTCTCCAAGCAATTTATTATCCCAGCATTCGGCTGAAGCTTTCCAATTTCTAAAGTTTTTGTTCAGAACGCAGCACAAACCTTACCATGTGAATGATTTTAAAACTCGTATTTAGAAGTCATATTTCTACAGCATTATTCAATGTTTCAGCTCCGACCATTGACGTTAAATTAAAATATATTTAAGTGGTAATATCAGTCGGTTATAATTATCTCTCTCCAGGTTTCACAATATACCTATTTCCTCTTGCATGTGAGAGGTAGAGTTATTTGTGAATATTAATATATAAATAATGGTGAAAGAAGGAGAGTATCAAATTTCCTTTAGTGCGAACATTTTCATGTGGAGTCGTGGGAAATTTCACTTTGTTTCTGTAAAAACCGGAATTGATGTTATAAGGAGGAATTAAATTTATTTGTCGGTTTGTTTTTAAGTGAGTTGCCTTGAAACAGAAGCTAAAATTTCAAAACCTTTCTGTTTTGATTGAATCGAGAAACAGATGTGAAATGAAAATGTCATGTCTGCGCGTGTAGCGAAGCGTATCGTAGCGAAAATGTTTCAGGTTTAACATTTCTTGTTGTAGAAGTTAATAACTTTTAAACGTTTAACTTACATCTTACCTGCTTTTGCAGAGACCAAAACAAATATAAAGAGGCGGCCAATTTGCTTCACGATGCACTGACGATTAGAGAAAAGACACTCGGCGAGGATCATCCAGCGGTAGGTTTGACTTGGTTTGTGTTGTGTTCAATCACAGACTCTTTGTTGGGTTTCCCTTCTTTCAGTATTTCTTTCTTTCTCCTTGCTTTCATTCTTCTAGATATGTTCAGCTTTAACTTACCTGTGTGTAGATTAGTTAAAACAAGACCTAAATACAAATAAGCGGATGCTGTGGAGCAGTTTTGTTGTTTCTGTGGACTGTAGATGCTCGTGATAATATTGTGATTTCGATTGTTGATGAAGCACGCGCGTGCACACACAAAGGGGTTTCACAATGGTTTGACAGCTTTTCCTTTCCACGATCAAAATATTCTATTTAGCTGTTTTAATTCGAGGTTTCTTCGACCAATCTGACACATATTGTGGGTCTGCTGAAGTGCTCAAACGCTCGAAAATGTTTGTTACGTGACCGCGCAATATATGAACGTTGAAGAACGATTATCCATGCCGGAGGGTTTTTATAACTGAAACTTAAAACTTGTTACCTCCTGGATTAGTGCTGATATTTTAATGTGACTTTCCATATAAGGAGCGTATCCCTAGCGTCACTTACTGTTCTGAGGTCAAAGGTTTGTAACGTGGCTCCTGTTATTCACACCAGCAGGAGAGTCTTTTAGTGTCTGGAGACAACTCCCAGTCTATTGTGAGGTTTTAATTGACTGCATTACGTTTTTTCAAAATCTTAATCTCGTTTTCGACGTTTTATATCTTGTCTATCCTCATCTACATGGGTAATTGAGCTCATCAGGGTTCTTGGAGAAGAGTTTACTCTCGTATTTTTAATTTTTATTTTTTAAATCCAAATGTACTCAACGTTCAATTCCATCAGACTTATCTATAAGAACATTACTGTTGCAGCCGTTTTGTTTCCCACCAAAACAAACAAAGGGATGCATTGAAATCTCGTTGATTTTAAACACATCTCGGAAATTGAGAACTTCGTTCAAGTCATCGTTATTTACCTGTGTTACACTCGTCTGTAGTCTAATTTCCTTTTTGATCCGACGAATTGGATAAATAATTTTATGAATTTTAGTTCTATAATACGCGGTATCTTTAAATTATGAAGTCATAACAACATCTGTTGCTATGAAAGTATCAAACGCTGCCGAGTGAAAATCGCATAAAGCTTCCGTTAACGGAAACCAGAGGATTTACAGTTGTAATCCGTCTGAGTCAATTAAGAGCTAATCTTTGCATGGCACGTTTCGTTATTTACGCGTAGCTTAACACTTTAACTCCCAGATCAAATTTGTAATTCCTTTAACTGTAAGCCATATAATTATTGTAATGCTAGTTCAGAGAATTTGTATTGAATCAACTAATTATCCCTAAATTGATATTTTTCTTTATTCTCATCACTCACCTTGTTGATATTGAATTAATTGATATTTTTTAAGGAAAAATTCTCTCTTAGTCACTGAAGGGAGCTAAAGGGTTAACTGAATAAACAATAAACCTTGACTTTATTTTTTTTTTTTTAAGGTGGCTGCGACTCTTAACAATCTAGCGGTGCTTTACGGCAAGAGAGGCAAATATAAGGAAGCTGAGCCCCTTTGCAAGAGAGCCCTGGAAATACGCGAAAAGGTAACATTTACGTCTCGATTTACTGCCTCACAACAAACACGTGCGCGTGCCACAACGAGCCAATCAGAACTCAAACAAAAAGTGGGGTCCGTGCATGCGTGTACCACAACGAGCCAATCAGAATTCAAGCAAAAAGTGGGGCCCGTGTGTCATGTCTGCCACAACCGAGCCAATCGGAATTCATTTGAGAACTGAGGTCCGTTTCTTAAAAGACCCGCCAATTGAATGAGTCCAAAGTCGTATTTTAAAATCTAAATTTCAGTTTACCTTCGGAGTGAATTAATAAAACAATGCCCCTTGCAAGTAAGCTGCAATTTCAAAAATGACGAAAGAAGCCTGAAAAAAAATTCCGCCTTCGACGTGATTCGGACCCGTGCTTCCCAGATTACCCTCCGGCTTTTTTAAACCTATGGGTTATGTTTTGTTTTAGGTACTCGGCAAAGACCATCCCGATGTAGCCAAGCAATTGAATAACTTAGCTTTGTTGTGCCAGAATCAAGGAAAATACGACGAGGTATGTGGAAGTTATAACATTGAAAGGATTATCACAAAGGAAAGTTGAAAATAAGAAGGAAAAAAATATAAAAGCTTTTTTTGTAATGTGTTATTACAGGTTGAACAGTACTATCAACGGGCTTTGGAAATTTACACCACCAAACTTGGCCCAGACGATCCTAATGTGGCGAAAACGAAGAACAACTTGGTAAGAGGAACATTTCTGTCCTTGAAGTTAGGACAGATACGGAGATTTCTACAGATTTTTTTTTTTTTTGACTTTGTGGAACGCCTTCGTTTTTGATTTCATAACTTCTTCGTTATTTAGGCGTCCGCATATTTGAAACAAGGAAAATACAAAGCGGCTGAAACGCTGTACAAGCAGGTATGTATGTATTCAGTTGTGTTACTTCTGTCTCTAACATGTGTGCACAAAAGATGGCAAAGGAAAGGATGATATCTTCTAAATAGGCCTTGTTCCCTAGGGAACCCTAAAATCATAATCATTTTCGAAAACTTCATGAGGCAAACTCGTTCCCAGGTTAAATAGAGAGACTTTGGAAACGAGGTTGCTGAAAGGACTGGAAACAACTATTTCTGTGCCCTACGGGGTGTTGGGGGCACTCATTGGCATTTTGACCCCATGTCAGACCAAAAACTTTTTTACACTCGGCGTCTGAAAGTTGGTTGTTTTATTACCCATTAATTGATAGATTGGAAAATGATGAATTTCCCCCGCTCTTGTTTGGGTCTTATTTCCATCTTCTTCGGTAAACTTCCATTCCATATCAGTAATCCTGCACCTTCAAATTGCACACGTAGATTGACTTTTTCAAAATCTCTTTTTCTCTTTTGGTTCCAGGTGCTCACCCGAGCCCATGAGCGGGAATTCGGGCCTGGTACCGAATCATCTCTGGAAGATGACGGTAAACGCGGGAAAGACAACGCGCCATATGGCGAGTATGGTGGCTGGCATAAGGCGGCCAAAGTGGACAGCCCTACTGTCACCACCACCCTCAGGAATTTGGGAGCATTGTACCGCAGGCAGGGCAAGTTCGAAGCAGCGGAGACGCTCGAGGAGTGTGCGCTGAGATCACGACAGAATGTTAGTCGAGAGGTGTAATATGGCTTTTAATCAATATTCTTTAAAAATCAACTATTGCTTGCGAGGTTTACGCTAATTTCCATTCGGAACAAAGTATATGTTAGTAGGAATTCTCTCCTCTACAACTACGGTAGTTCCTATGGTAACTTTTGGTAGCTTGAATATCCTTTAAATCAATTACGAGGACTATTTTTCAACCGCATAAATGATTATAAACTCAAGCTCGATATAATCTCTTCTAGTTTTTACTCTCATTCACTTTTGCAATCTTTCATACTGAGAAATTCGCCGCACCCAGCTATGTAAGCTACTTGACCGGTAAGCGTCAATCTAACCAAACGACTTTTCATTCCTCAGGCCCTAGATGTCGTTCGTCAGACTAAAGTCGCTCAACTTTTAGCTGAAGATGTCGGCGGTGCATCGTTTTCATCCAGCAGTGTGGCTTCGTCCTCTTCCTCCTTGAACGGCAATGGAAGTAAGTCCTCAATAGAACCAGAAAGAGATGATCCAAACGACGACAAAAAGAACGGAAAACGCGAGAAGACATTTTCACGCCTCAAGAGAACGTTGAGCAGCCGCGGTCAAAAGCTGATGGAAAAGATGGGTGCCAGTGGTACAAGGCTTCAGCGGTCGTCGTCGCGTGACAACCTAGCCCATCATGCCAAGCTGTCGCCGTCGGAGAGAATTTCTCGTAGCACCCCCATGCTCGCACAGCCACAACCTGATCCCGACCGGATAAGGTCAGGGAGCGTTAGCACCAGGGGTACCCCGTTGGGGCCTTGACGAGTAGTACCAGGATACCCTGCGGAGGACTTGTCGAGTTAATATCCGGGGACGGGAAGGAGACCAGCTATTTAATAGTTTTTACCAAATTAAAAATCATTGGACCAAATTTGTTCTTGAAATTAGTTTTTAGTCGATTTGAGGTTCAGTTTTTGGTGGAGATGGTTAAATTAATTGTCAAAAAATATGCGGAGACCTATTAAGTCATCTAAGTTTTGGGAAGAGAGGTTACCGTTAAATTGATACGTCAACGGTTCGCAATTGTGTCAAAATAAATCCAGAATTTATTTCTTCACTATGAAAACTTGCGCAAAAATACTCAACCAATCATGAGGAAATTGCGTGACACACATTTCGTGCGTTGGATCTGATAGCGTGTATTTCAACACTTGTGTTCTGATTGGTTCATTCATGACCAAACGCATTCCAATTGGCTGTTGCTGTGGCGTTTGGTTTGAATGTGGCAGCAATCACCCACAAAAACACCTGAAGATATCTTCTCATAAATATTTTAAATGATTTGCGGGATTCACTGAACTGCGAAGATTTTACTCTGTTTATCTCTGTATTTTACACAAGCTCAAAGTTATAGAATTTAACTAAAGACAGTTTTTATTTCTATGATGTTGTAAATGAAAATGGAATACTTTGTCAGAAACGCAGCTATTTTAGAATTTATCATGTCTGTTGGAACTGGGCCCGTCAAGCAGACGTATAACTTCTTAAATTTTTTTAAGTTTGTTTTTATTTTGTTTTATTCAGACCTTCTTCCAACAGCTTTGTTCCTACGATGTTTTTTTAATGAACAAGCTGAATATTGCACAAGAAACGTAGCCATTTCAGAACTAGCTCATATGTTTTAATTGGTCCTGTAAAGAAGACATTTACTTCTTCAGTGTTCATTTTAGTTGACTGAGTTTATACGAGGCTGTGCTATTGTCTTAAAAGCGGAGCTCTCATATTACTTTTTAACTTCAAATGAACAGTTAGAAGAATTTTATTATTTAACGTTGTGGCTGTAAATAAATAAGGGCCTCTTTACACAACTCCGAGTGATTTGTTAGCCCGGGCTGAATCAACCCTAAGGGTAACCCTCTAGCCGTCTAATTTCATGAAGAGATACCCTCATTTCCGGGTGTCTCTTGTCGAGACTTGGGTTGATCCGGCCCAAACGCCAACCTGAGTTAGTGACAGCATACAAATAACCATCTTTGTATTAACTTTCTTGTTTTAGCACCATGACCTGCTCTCGTTTCCGCGTCATAGGTCGGTAAAAAGACTGACCCAGGTGACTCTCGAAGTGAACCACGCGCGAATGTTAACAACCGATCTAGGATCGTGTAAATTGTGTATTTAGCACACTAGGCGATAATTTAACCCGGAGCTGTGTAAAGAGGCCGCTATAGGTGTTAAAGGTAGAGAAGTTGTGAAATAAATTATGGAGCGACTAAGAGAGAGTTTCTTTGGCTGATATGCAAGGTAATGCTAAGGCTTTTAAACCTGCCACGAGAGCTAAGGGAACCGTAGAAGTTTATTTACTTGCAGCAAGAATACTAGATCAAAGCTACGTTTGATTCCATTTTTCCAAGAGGGAAAAAACTGTAAGAGATGAAAAATATCGGCAGAAATGTGCGTAATGTAATCGAGGGTTTTATAAAAGTAACTCATGATCTCTGTTTTCTCAAGAAAAACAAATTGAATTTAGAATGAAGTTTTCGCGATGCCAACACTCGACGTGGCCGGAAGATATACTTAAACTTGCAGCTAGTTTTTGAGTGGTAATTGATATTCAGAACTTATAAGTTTTAAGTACTTCGCCTGAGTTAGGTTCGTCGACGCACAGAAACTACTTGTACTATATTCCATCGAGTTGATAAATAACTTCAGGACAGAATGGAGTCTAAGAGATTCTGGAGTGTCAGAGTTCCAGAGTTAAAGAAGCAGAGCTTACAATTTAAGTCATAAACAAGTATGTTACTTAGTGAAGTCTCGCGCCGCGCGGACCCTCGAGTTTCATGCGTGGGGTCCGCGTGGAACCCTCGAAGTGAATATAATCATTCCCATGTATCCCAGCGGGCTATTACACAACAAAATGGCCGACGATGATGACAATGATCCCACGTGCACGTTTTCTAGTCTAGGCTTAAATAACTGGCTCGTCAAACAGTGCAACGCTGTTGGAATAAAAAGCCCGACAGAGATTCAACAAAATTGTATTCCACCAATCTTGTCCGGACGAGATTGCATTGGCTGTGCTAAAACTGGTAGTGGAAAAACGGCTGCGTTTGCTTTACCCATACTTCAAAAACTCTGCGAAGATCCTTATGGAATATTTGCTGTTATTCTCACGCCTACTCGGTAGAAAGCTAGTTTAATGTTAATTACTGTCATGGTTGCCTAGTTTATCTTTTCGAACCAGTAATTTAAATTTCTGTTGAGTTTGATCGTGTTGTCTCAGGATCGAAAACGAGCTTGTAAGAGACATAGAAATTTTATCGGCCAGCGCTCTTTATCTGTACTTGTTGATCATCTTTCAAAAGGATTTCAAAAACAGTATTCCACCCTTTTTGTTCGAAATCCAAAAATCCAGTGGAAAAGGGGGTAACCACTGTCTTTTCAGCCTGAGAGCACAGTCGCCTTTTGCGCCATGGGCAGCCACTTACGAAAAAGGTTTCTGAAATCCCTGGGTTAACCCTTTAACTCCCAAGTTCTGATTGTTAATTCTCCCCTCTATCTGCTACACATTTCCTTGTAAATGAGTTATGAGAATTTAGTTTGAGATCGAGATAACAACTACCAGATTAGTTGGGGTTTTCTCATACCTGTTTGCAGGATAATGTATGAAATTACATATTTATCATTTCTGGGAGTTAAAGGGTTAACCTTCAATGGATTGACATCCCATCCAGGAAGACAGGGGCATTAACCATACTCCTTGTGACTATGTGTCACAGAAACTGAGATAAGCTGCAGGGGTTTGAGAAAATTGACTTAGATACTGACATTACCTTTTTCATCGCTCTCTATAGGGAACTGGCATATCAAATCTGCGACCAATTCAGAGCCCTTGGAAAACCCATTGGCCTCAAGGAGGCTGTAATTATTGGTGGCCTGGACATGATGAAACAATCATTGATACTTGCCGAGAAACCTCATGTTGTCATAGCAACTCCTGGGAGACTGGCTGATCATCTTAAGAGTACAGATACCTTTGATCTGAAGAAAATAAAATTTTTAGTTCTGGATGAAGCTGACAGACTCCTAGATCCTTCATTTAGTGATGATCTTCAGGTGATTTTTGACAATGTTCCAACAGAAAGACAGACATTACTTTTCAGTGCCACTTTGACAGATACTCTACAAGAACTGAGAGAGATGTCAAGCAATGATCCATTTTACCATGAAGTGAAGTCTGAGTGAGTTAAAAAATATCTTGTTATTTTTGTACCTTACCTAATGGCTGGACTAACACATGCAGAGATATTTATTTTTCAAATTGCCAGTGTAAAATGTCCCTCTTAATCCTTGGACCCCTAAGAACGATTAGCATCTAATTTCTCCTTACAATATCATACCTGATTCAAGCATTAAGGTCATGAGAATAAAGGACATGATCACAATTGAAAGAAGCTCTTGATTATTAAAGAAATTCTCCTTCTCAGCATCTATAGGAATGTTTAGATGACAGAATTAACCCTTTAGCTCCCACGAGTGACCAAGACAGAATTTCTCCTTACAATTTCAATATAACTTCATGCAGTCAAGTGATGAGAATAAAGAAAAATATCAATAGATCATTAGTTGATGCATTACCAAATTCTCCAAACTTACATCATTAGAGTTGTAAGGCAGACAGTAAGGAGAACTAATGAGATCTTGGGACATAAAGGGTAAAGGATATGCATACTGATAATAGGCTGTAAAGGGTTGAAGTTGTTCCTCAGTGCAAATTTTGCATTTTTATTTGCATAAATATATGACTGATTAGTATGTGTGGAGTAAAACATTGCACTGTTTTCTTTGTAGCTTGAATTTGCTAGAGAAGCGCTCCTAAGTAATTCTCCCTACTGGCTACCATACAATTCTTTTGATGTCAATTTGAAGAATTTGGTATAAGATCAATGAGGAATCTCCTAAATGATATATTTTCCTTTGTTCTCATCACTTGTCTGCCTGATATTTTATTGATATTGTAAGGAGAAATTCTGTCTTGGTCACTCGTGAGAGTTTAAAGGTTAATACTCATACATCACAATGGCACTGCTGATTAAAACTTTTAAACATGGTGATTTATTTTTTTTTATCAATAATAATTATCCATGAAAAAATTATATGTGTCTGATTGGCTGAAAACTAGGCACTTTTCATGTAACACGAGTGCAAAGTTGTAACACAAGTGCAAATTACAAATAGTGTGCATGCACTGCCAAAATTTTGTCCGTCTTGAATTTCTGTGACATGTTTTTCATGTAAATTGTTAACAAGAAACAACATTATTTCTAAAATATGGAATTTGGTGTAAATAGGCATTCATACATTTTTCAAAGACTACAAAACTCGCCCTACAAGCTTGTGCAATTTTGTTGTCTTTCAAAAATTTACTCATGCTTTTAACACCAAATTGCACTCAAAATTATGTTGTTACCTCACTATACTAACAATTAGTACACAATTTCGTGATTGTCTTCTGTGGAGGTGCATTCTTAACCCTTTTACTCCTAAGAGTGACTAACATCTAATTTCTCCTTACAATATCTCCCCTAAATTACACATGAAGGTCGCAAGAATAAAGGAAATGATCACCAACTAAAGAATCTCTTGATCGTTAAACAAATTCTCCTTGTCAGCACCTTAAGAAACGTTTGATATTAGGTTGTAAAGGGTTAATGACATGGTTATCTTCTTTTATTTTCAGCATAAAAACAGTCACTGAACTTGATCAGAGATACATTCTTGCTCCAGCCAGTGTGCGAGACTCCTATCTCATTCATGTTTTGCGAGAGCATGGAGAAAATAAATCAGTAATCATCTTCACGCATACGTGTAAGAATTGCCAGACACTAGCAAACATGCTCTGGAAGTGTGAGCTGCCTTGTGTGGCTCTTCATTCATTGAAATCACAAGGGGAAAGGCTCGCGGGCTTGGCCACGTTCAAGTCAGGTATAGTCAAGATTCTTGTAGCTACTGATGTAGCAAGTCGCGGGTTGGACATTCCTCAAGTAGAACTTGTGATTAACAGTAATGTGCCGGCGTCTCCAAAGGACTACATACACCGCGTGGGACGAACAGCAAGAGCCGGGCGTGGTGGAATGGCGATAACACTCGTAACGCAGTATGATGTGGATAGGGTGAAACAGATCGAAGCTACCATCAATACCAAGCTTGTCGAGTTTGAAACAAATGAAAATGAGGTTCTGCCATTGTTAAAGGCTGTGATGGTGGCTCGAAGAGAGGCGGAGTTGAAAGTTAGAGGTAGTGCTGTGTTAGAAAAGAGATTGATAAATAAGCGAAAGAAACTGATTCAGGAAGGGAAAGATCCTGATATGAAGGTATCAAGAAGGAAACGAAGAAAATACAAAAAGGAGAGGAACTAACAATAGATTTAAACATTATAGCATCGCTGAAGGAGAGAGAAGTAGGAAGAGAGAGAGAGAGGCATTTTAATTGAAGTTGGATAGCCTGTGGTTAGGGTCTCATTTGTCTGCCAGCGAGAGCTTACTTTAACCATCTCATTCTCAAGATCAAAACATCGATTCTCCGCAAGGGGAAAGGCGTTGAGAAGCGCAACATTTAATGAATGAGGTCTTTAGCTGAGCTGGATGTAAAATCATTGGTGGGTTATCAGTGTAGCACCCTTTTCTATTAAGTCTTGTTCTGTTAATGGAACACAAGTACCATTCACAGATGCCGCATTGCATTTGAACATTTGACCCATAAATTGCTTGGCCTTATTACCGTAACCATACCGATTTCTGACTATTTAAAGTCGAGCCGATAGTAAATTATCAATGAAACATTTTGATTGCTTATCCTTTAAACAGCAACACAAATTGTCGATCGCAAAAGACTGCTGTTGCATTTAAACCATTCCCGGCTGATTGCCTACCGGTAAACGTAACTCCGCGGCAGTATTTGTTTCAGTATCTATAACAGAGGATAACAATTTCTGCCAGGTTCTATGTATTTCGTGTGCGAAATTTATTCACCAACACAATAAGTCTTGTTTCTCTTGCCACTTTCGGTGCGCTCCTGATAAAGGAGTATTTGCATTTGCGTCCTTTCCATTTTTTCTCTCGGTTTACAAAGCAACACATTCAACTGCAAGCGTTCTCGTTTGGCGAAGACAGTGGTCGAAAAACACAGTACTTTGTGGCGAAAATGAACCAGTCCTCCTCGGTTGACCTTGAAAACAGTTGTGATCATTTATTTTTCCATGATCATCTACAGTATCATTTTGCCGATTCAACACACGGAGTTCTCATCGCAGCAGCTGTTTTCAGCTTTATCGCCTGTCCGTTTACCTGCTTTTTGAACGTGATATTTATTTTGGCCGTGAAAACGAAACGAAGTCTTCAAACTCACTCCAACGTTTGTTGGCATCTTTAGCCCTTACTGATCTATTGACTGGGTTGGTTGTTCAGCCCCTCCATGGAACTATGACAATTTTTTGCTGCAAAGAATAAGTTTCCTCGAATTTTGCGGAATAAATTTGGTTTTAGCATCTCCTTTGTCGTAATTTGGTACGCTGTGTTAGGCCACAAAGTGATAAGTGGAGAACGATACCACACAATCAAATACGCTTTTGCACACAACTAAATGCTCACTGAAACGCGAGTTATAATTTTATCGGTCTGGCGCCTGGATCCCGATTACTAGTGAAGTTCATTGAAATCCTGTCGAAAAAAGGTTTCCGAGAAGCCGAAGAAATCGCCATGAGGTTTTGTACATCAAGACGCAATGTAGTGAGACCTGAAGCTTCACAAGAAACGGAAGAAATGGAGTAGAACTCCAATCAGTTCAATTTTTTTGTTTTCGCTCTGTTATTGGACTCTGCCATGGTTTCGAGAAAAGCCAGTGATAAAACGACAGTTCGTCATTTGGCGTTTGGGTCAGCGAAATTGAATTCTACTGTCAGCTATCAAATCAAGACATCACCATTATATTCGGCAACTGTTACCGCTGGCATGCAACAAAATATTGACAACCCATTCTTAAAGGTCACAGGTGGCCTAAGCTTACAACATGAGCCCTCCCAGATATGCAACTGTGATTATGTCCCACAGTCAGCTAAGTAAAGTGATTTTCTGTCAGTAAAAATTAACTCCAAACAGTTTAAAGATTTCTGACTTTATTGAGAAGTCTTTGTACATTGAAGTACGATTAAATTACGCAAATAAACAAGACTATAAGCTATACACAACAGTGTACCATCCAGAAGTTTAAAATTTGACTACAGTAAGAATAGTGACATTAAAATTAACAGATGCAACACAATTTCCTAAAAGTTCTGTAAGTACACCCGAATTTCATATGATTTGCTGTACTCAAATTGCAAATTAAAGCATCATATTAACAAAGATCCATAACATTAATAAATTTGAAACTGTAGATACTCGGCTCCAGTTATCAGTTCATATACTGAATCACTTCAAGCGGAAAATGATTTACCCAACGGTTGCTGAGCTGAATTTACTTTTGGGTGGACACCAAATTCCCCTAACCAAATTACATGGAAATGTGAAGCAGCTAGAGGGGAGAATTAACATTATGATCTTGGTAAAGGGTTACAAATATGCTGCCATAATCATTGCATTTGGTTTAGTTTGCCACATATAAAATTTTCCATTTGAATCAAAGCCATTCCAGAATTAAAATTCTCTGCGGTAGACAAGCAGTAAGTCAGAACAGCTGGGCTCTTCCAAATTGAAGTAGCCACAATTATCAACTTTTTACTATCATGTACTCTGCACAAGGTGGTCAGTTTAATGGCTGACACAAAGTCCAAACCAGGTCCTACTCAACTATTTACAGAGGATTCTGGCTTAGCTTGTTCCAAACACTTTACTCAACAAACTTAGATACAAGGAAGTTGTGTTTGTAACACCAGCGGATTCAAGTGAAACTGGTTCCTCTGTTGCCATTTGTCAGCTGGCCTTTCTGATTATGCAATAAATCACTGCCTGTTGCTTAGCTGAAGTGTAGGATATGGGAATTTACAAAACAAGAACCGCAATTTTTTTAACTATTTTAAATTTGAGGTGCCATTCCTTTCACTCTATACTTATTATATAAAATATCTGCAATATGTTTGGATGAGTTGCTGTTTTGATAAATCACAGAACGATGGCCATCAGTGGTCACATGATAGAACTAATAGTGGAATCTGATGCAGCACTCTGCTCCGAGCTGTCTGTCATTTCACTGCTGCAGTTCATAGGTTCTTTGTGATTAGCTGGGCACTCAAAATGCACACAATGGAACACCTGAGGAGGTTTTCAAAGATTTCACAGTTTAAATGATAGGAACTTTCAACATTTGAAGATATTTTTTCCTTTGGTGACAAAAGTTTTTGTCTATATTTGTCCTTTAGTTTTTTTCTGTATATAGGTGTCAAACCCTCTATTTCACTTCCATATTAGAACTGAACAGGGATATGTGCCGCAGGATTTGGTTTCTAGGATTAGATTGGATTTTTACCTCAACTGCCATTTTGGATCATACAAATCACTTGGTTGCCGCTATTACAATAAAAAAGAACTCTTTTCTAAGCATTAGTCCCAAGAGGATCATACAGATAATGACGACAACTGTACAGTGGAACAAGATCCAACATGGCAGCATGCACAAAATTCTCATTTCAAGATAGCTGATATCTGTCTTTTCCCCACCATGGGAGATTTCCATCTATTGACACATACCAGGGATGTGCAAGTAAAGTAATAAGCGTCTTTGATAAGACTGTCTTGTGGACTTAAAGTCTTAGACTGGGTGGGAGTGTTGATAATGCACAGTTTACACGTCCAATACTAAACATGATGGCTAATTTTAAAATTTATCTCTGAACATGCTGAATATGGGTATATTTGAAAACACATGTATGCTCCTTTCAACAGCTTTTGTATTTAATGGGCAAATCAATTTAAGGAGTCTGTTACCTCATTTGCAGTGTTCTCAACACCAACAATACGCACAAAGACCACTGGTCTTGGCTCAAAGGAAAGATATTGCCATGACCTACATAAGATAAAAGAGGAGAAATTATCCAGAGCAAAAGTTATGAAATCCTTGGCATTGTAGAATTAACATATAACTTTCTTGAACATAAATCAATTTCAAAACAAGTTGTTGCAGACTAGCTATCTTGAGAGTGAAAAGAGCAATCCATTGTAAAACCCCTATCACAAATGACCTTCAAAGAAACTGAGTGCTCTTATATTTTTCATTGTTCAGGGAAAAATTAACATCTGCATTGCATTCTGTGCACAACATACTAAATTTCCTTATGATTTACATTGAAAGAACCAAGGCTGACAAGTACTGCTGTTGAATTGTGTTATGCGACAAATTGTTCAATTGCTTGAGGAGTACATTCCTCCTGACGGGAGTATATATGGGTGGTGACAAATCATTGCAGGGTCAAGTGGCCTGGATGGGTTAAAACATGACAACCTTATGATACTGCTACATTGACCTGAGATAATGACGACAATGGCAACCATGATCACGATGAGAATGAGCAAGATAAAACAATTCTGATGACCACACTTCCCTCTACTTATCACTTGCACTAAATTTTGTTTGCCGTCTTTTAACCCTTTCACTCGCAAGATCTCATTAGTAATTCTTCTCACCATTTGCCATACAATCCTTATGATGTCAGTTTGGAAAACTTGGTATTGGATCAACTAATAATTCCCTAATTGATACTTTTCTGTATTCTTATCACTTGTTTGCTTGATATTGTTTTGAGAATGTAAGGAGAAATTCTGTCGTGGTTACTCATGGGAGTTAAGGGGTTAAAGCATCTTATCTACTTGCTCAGTGTTTCCTCACCTGCATACTTCCTTTGTCTTGTCCACAACTCGAACCCAACTCTGTTGATCACATGACACTTCTATGAAGTAGCTGTACTTTCGTTCATCCAGATCCCAGAGAAGAAGTCTACAAGTGAAATGTATTATTCCTATCATATTGTAATATTGCTGTGATGGGAAGAGCAATTTTTTTTGGCAGAATCTACCAACCACAATCTCAAATTTTGAAAACTTTCTCAGGTTAAGTATGAAATGGTGTTGTCTGGTCTTTGTTTTTAAATCAGGGAAAGCCTATGGTTTTATTTCTTTCTTCTCTACTTTAACATGCTGCATTCATTGATAATGTACATTAGGTAAGTTTTACCACCATTAAATGTCGTTGGTATTGTTGTTTTTGTTGTATTGGGCCTTCTAGCCTATTACCAAACATGTGTCTGTATCTCAGTTCTAACAGTTTGGCTCTAGATGGAAACTAAATTCCAGTTGACATTTCTCTCTGCTCTCATTCCCAGTTCACTTAATGATGTGATGATTTTGTAAGGAGAATTTCCATGGCTATCATAGGTTCCTTACCTCATTGTGCTAACAATGTAGGGCTGAGGTAACTGAACCACAATGGCACCACTTCCCAGCTGATGGCAAGTGTAACCAATGTTCCAGTCGTAATTTCCAACTTCTCCATTTAAAAGGGCATTACGACTTCGACTGACACCCTCAATCACACTTGCTCCCAGTGACGGCAAGGCAACATTCTCAAATGGGACTACATACAAGAAAATATCAATGACTTACTCAACAAAACATATTTTCAAGTCAACTTTACCCGTTACACCCTAACATCAGTATGCATAATCTCTATACTGTTCTGTATACATTTCCTACAGTGCTAACAAGGGGAATTTGTTGAACAATCAAGAGCTTATTCTTGTGATCTCAATGTGTGATTCAAGGATAACTTAGATGTTAGTCACTATTAGGGGTCAAAGGCTTTAAACCCTAAGAGTGACCAGCATCAAATTTCTCCCTACAATGTCACTCCTGAATCACACTTTAAGGTCATGAGAATAAAAAAAATGATCACCAACGAAAGAAGCTTTTGATTGGTAAACAAATTCTCCTTGTCAGCATCTTATGAAATGTATAAAGAGCAGTAAGGAGAATATGCATGCTGATTTTAGGGTGTAAAGGGTTAATAAAGAATTCCTTAGCACCCATTTCAACGTAGTGTCAAAAAAAACAAAACCAAGGTAATCACAACAGCAAATTAGCTCAAAGGATAACACCACCAAAAGCCAATGGGAATTCAAAGTAAAAACAAGCAAACTAACATAATTGGCTCTAGTTTTGAATCTGTCTGGTGGAACTTGTTAAAAATACATAAACCCTTTAACTCCCAGAAGTGATTAACATGAAACTTTTCCCTAGAATATCCTTAAATTATTCAGCAAATAATTTCATGAGAATATTAGAACTTATCAGGTTGAAGCTGCTATTTTGATCTAACACCAAGTTCTCATAACTAATTTACAAGGAAATCTGTGGCAGCTGGAGGAGAGAATTAACAATCAGATCTTGGGAGTTAAAGGATTAAGCTAAAATAGACAAGTTTCTAGTTTCACAAAACTTACCACATGATTGTAAGTTTGACAATTAGCCTTGACTTTGCATATTACATGCATCCATGCATACAGAACGAGGGCATAATTGAAACTCACCAATAACACCATCCTCTCCCAGCTGATATGTAGTATTGGAGTATGAACACTCAAAATGTACCAAATGGAAAACCTTGTTGACAGTGTTGTGAACTCCAAGGACCCGGATATACCTACAATAACAAAATTGAGGAAATTGCATTGGGAACAAATTACTGGGTAGGTTAAGTCTGTACCTTAGCCAAGTGGTTTATTCAGCCAGAGCTTATTCCAGTTTCTATGGCATGAAGCAACAAGGAGTATCATTACTCCCCCTGGGACAGGATGCTAGTCCATCACAAGGGTACCCCCAAGCAATTTATCAGGCTTCCCTGACAATTTGCCAGTCCCTATTTATACTTCTGGTCAGAGAGAGGCACTGCCCTAGGACACATCACAATGTCCCAGCTAGATCTGGAACCCAGACCTCTGCGTCCAACTCTTTAGCTATTGGGCCACAACAGCTCCCATAGGAACAAAGGGTAATAAATGCAAAATTGCTAAAAGAAAAGTGCCACCTATAAATATATGACTTAAAAGCAGCATTTTGTTCCATTGTTTACAACTTCTCACTCTTACATAAAAAATAAGTCATGTGTAGAAATCATGGCATTTTGCCATAGACTTAAGCCCTTAGTCAGAAATTCTGACCAAAAAGGCACATTGTATATTAAGAAAAGTAAAAATTTGTGCTAGGGTAAGCTTCTTCCATTAGAGTTTAATTCAAGTTCTCATGTTGAATTGACTCTCACATACTGCTATTAGTATTGATCAAGAAGCTAAGTTTAAAATATTTTAACTAAAGACTTTTGGATATTTACTTGAAAAACATTTCATTCATCATCACAATCAAATGGTTTTGGTTTAGTTTACACCCAACTTTTGACCACTTGCCTGACAACTCTGGGTTTAAAGTACAACCTTTGCCAGGACCTGCAGAAATACTTAGAGTAATCAATCACTCTAATCCAGTCTTCATTGTCGACAGACACCTCTATGTAATATGAATAAGATCTTGGGTCTTTATTCCATAACAACATCTTGATATTGTTTATTATACTGGGTCTGCCCAGTGCAATACAGATCCCTTTGTCTCCTTCTAGAATGAGATGTCTTGTAAATCCCCGATCCAGGTCAAAATTTGCAGTGTCACCATCCAACAGGGACTCTCTCATTTCTCCTTCAATCACCTCAGCACCATGTTGGGAAGTTGCAATGTTTTCATCTGGAACTAGAGAAGGTTTGAACTCAGGCATTGACATAAAAAGTTTGAATGAAATACAGTAGTTAAAATACTTGTGATCAGATCTCTTTACAGGGAACAAAGAGCCCATTATTTTTTCCCAACTCTTATACTGTAACTGATGTAGCTACAACATGCTCATTGGGTAGTATAACCCAAATTATATTGAGAAGTGACAGGTTCAAACTCAATCGAAGCCTGCCTTCACTTGTTAAAACAATTAATAATAAATTACAGCAATTCTCAGTTGACGGAGGAAAAATTAACATTATTGTCAGCCAATGAGAAATCAAACAGACAACAGATGAACTCCTTGAAGTTCTGTCACAAAGGTAAGAGACATGGTGTGAGTTAAGGTACCCTTAAATGAAACTGGTCTCAGTCAATGTGACTAACAGCTTAACAAGGCAATTTAGTATTATCAACTGAGTTGATAACGTAAATTGGCCATTGTCATTCACTTAACCCCATCATCAGAGCAATTGATGGAGGGCCAACACTTGAAACATCAGCTTTGAAACTCTTTATAGTAGCCAATTTACCTTATCAACTCAATTATCAACTCAGTTGATAGTACCAAATTACCTTGTTATACTCTTGCACCAACACATTACCACAATCTTTTTTAGAAACTTACCCCCTTTAATCATTTAACAGTTTAACAGACTGAGAGGAAACCACCATCAGAGCCAAAGGGGGAGTGACTGACTTATCAGTTGACTGAGAATATTTAACTAAGAAATTTTGAGTTTTTATGCCTAATGATGTCTTCCACTTGGGCCATTACTGTCCCCTACTGCTCTCTATACAATTCCCATGGTACTGATGAGGAAAATTTATTTCACAACCAAAGCCCAAGAGGCACTTGTTTCTTAAACAAAGTCTCCTTGTCAGTACAATAAGAAATTTATAGAGAACAGTATGGAGAATACACTTACTGATACTAGAGTGTTTAAGGGTTGAAGACATTCCTATCAAAAATATCTTAACTTCAACATTCAACTAATTAAGAACCTTTCAAACCTTAAATTCATTTTTACCGCATATGTCGTATTCATACCATTGCCGTTATTGCTGTACTGTTTCAATTTTGTGCATTAACTTACCCAAATGCCCTCGAAAGTTCATTTCATGAACTCGGCTTTCTGTCTTAATTTGAATTGCATCTAGAACGGCATCAGCAGAGTAAAGCTCTGAAGGCCGCACAGTGTTAAACAAATCATGTAAGCTTATGAGGGGAAGTCGAACTGTGTCCAAAATGTCTTTAAAATCTCCTTCACTCATCTCTTCTGCAGATTCGACCCACTCCTGCACAGCCCTAAAAATTTGATTTTCAGGCGCACAAAACGAGTCTCTTTTGACAACTTCTATCAAAGCTGATTTCGTTAAGCACGAAAAGCCATCTGTTGATAAAACCTCCACAGCATTCCTGTCCAGAAAGCTCAAACAAGTTGCACACAAATCATTCATTTGGTAGAGTACCGCGGCATCAAAAATTACGCATATGTTTCTGATGCTTAATATGGATTTTAAATATCCTTGAAGTGCACTTTCCAAAGCAAGAAAACCATATTTATGTGCAAGGCTTAACAGCTCCAAGATCGTTTCCTCCTTATAATCGCCGAGAAATATTTTTCCACTGTAAATATATTTGAGTAAGGCATCAAATGCGGAAGCCGTAGTGTCTTTAATTTCGATCTCAGTTTCTGGGTTGGTTTCTCTCATTCCTCCATACAACAGCGCCCTGAAATACTCACTCCGGGCAGCCAAAACGACCCTGTGAGCGAAAATCTTCGAGCCATCAACATTAAAGGTAACATCTGTAAATTCTTGCGAGCGGAAAAGGGCGCTGGATTGCGAAGACAGCAACTCAACGTGGTCGATTTCTCCAGCCGCTATCTGTGCATTTCCTAGACGAAGATCTGGACTGTCACCCATTAGGAAGTACCCTCGACAAAGCTATCCTAGCTTCTCTGGTCAGATCTGTGAAGCGAGGAGTGAAAAGCGTTTTTCATGTTTACACAGACAGTTCCTGCAAGCTACAAATTTGCTTAACATTCCACGTCAGCTTTGTAACCGCTTACGTTGCAAACCAGGCCCCAGCCGGTAAGGACTAGGGACCAATCCTGATGTAAACTGTGATCAATAAGGCTTCTTTCAGAAATAACAAAACCTGCGTTATGCAGGAACTTAGGAGGTTTCGGTCGAGATTTTTTTTATAAATCAGAAAAATATATAGTTTTCGAGATAAAGCATGTTTTATTCCAGTGAAAAACTACCAGGTGCGATACGCAGGTACTCTATCTCCAATCATGTCTGTGATAAATTTCATTTTTGGCAATCCCCCAAGACAGCGAGAGAGAGGTTTCAAAAGTTAAAATCGAAGCCTGATAGATTTTAACGTTGGAAGATATCTAGAAGTTAGGCTAGCTTTCATAAACAGGCCCGGTTTAGATGGTCTTGGATACTCGAGACAACCATCCCCTCCACGAGACAACCTCAGGGAGCGTTTGTATGGATTTGTGACTTGTAAAAGCTGCCCACTCACCAGTCTCTTTCGTGACAGCTACCTGCCGACGCAACACAACTCGCCCTTAGGCATGTCCCGATTGTGCTTGGCAACTTTTAGTAACTTCTAGCAACTTTTAGCGTTTGGAGCGACTTTCTGCGGTTCTAGCAATCTCGAACAATTTTGCCTTTAGTAGCAAACTTCAAGGGATGTGTAGTTTTAAACTCTGAAAATGAAATCAGCAGAGCTATTTTCGTTCAAGTTCTCCTCATATCCTTCAGCAAGATGTCAAATGAATCATGTGTTTTGTTCCGTTAGACTTGAGAGTATTACATTTCGCTCATAATTTATGAGCGAAATTTCAAGGTATTTTTCTCGACCAATGTAAACATTTATTGTGAGGAAGGAAAAGTAAAACTTTTAATTGAAGTTGATGTGAAAATATCAAGATATTTGGGTTGTAACTTTTTGGCAATTTTGTAGCAATTTGTTCAGTGGTCTAGTGAGCAACTTTACAGCCTATTTTACGAACACGCTATCTCACCCCCCCCTCCTCAACCCCCTCGACCCCCTCACCCCCTCGCCCCCTCTCCCCCCCCCTCGCCCCCCCCCCCCCTTTCTTCCCCTTCCCGAGACAATTCTACCAATTTAATGTAAACGTTTGGTTGAATTAAGTTAATAAGAAAGAAAAGAATGAAACTTTGGCCCGGCCAGGATAACTCGGAGGAGGGTTGTCTCGGTTGCCTGACACCATACAAATGGGCCTTAGACGGACACAATGAAGAAGAAGACACTTAAACTGTTTCCTTTGGTCGACCATTTTCTCTCATATGTAACCTTCCTAGTTGTCACAAGGGAGACTGGTGAGGGGAAAGCTATGACAAATCACAACTCCAGGGAAACGCTAAGTAAAGTTGTCTCGAGGAGGAGGATTCTCTCGGGTACCCGAGACCACACAAACAAGGCCTTTTTGTTTAGTAAACGTGACAAAATGAATAAAATATTTCTTTCTGTTATCTTCACTTCAAGGAAGAACCAGAGCGCAAACTTAGAATATGCGAACACAAACGAAGGAGTTTAATTTGTTGTCACTAATTTCAAGGAGATTAATACGCGTTATTAATTTTTTTTATGAGTTTGTTTCTGGTATCTTCACTTCAAGGAAGAACCAGAGCGCAAACTTAGAACATGCGAACACAAACGAAGGAGTTTAATTTGTTGTCACTAATTTCAAAGAGATTAATACGAGGTATTAATTTTTTTATGAGTTTGTTTCGGGAGTAAATATTGTTAAAAAAAGAAGACAACTTGATAAGTCCTATCTTCTGAAGGAAATATCATATAAGAACTTTTCCAATATTGTAAAACTAGAAAGTAAAATTTAAATCATCTGCTACTATTAAATTCATGTAATAAACCGGAAGCAACAATTTATTTTTCGTAGCAATGACATGTAAGGCGAAAAAGCTGTCATTTTGTTTGCCCTCAGACCGCTGATAACTGACTGAGCAAAGTTTAATGAACACTAATCCTTGTCTATAAAAAAGGAAATCAGACAAAATTAAAAATCGCTCGTGGTAGTTAACGATAACGACTTTTAGCCGAGGAGGATTGTAGCAAGTTGATGAGTTTCTCGTTGAATCAGCATTATATCATTAAGAAAAAACTTAATGAAAGCCGAGAACAGGTGCATAGTAGGGTCTCCGAAATCACTTCCAGTTTACTGAGTCAGTGTCAACCTTACAGTCACGTACATCCCTCTGAGCCCAGCTTTAGGCATTGAAATGTTTCTTCATTTTCAACGTTTAATTAAAGGCCTGTTTCAATTAGCGTCCATCAGTCCCTCCTTGGCGTAAAAGCTGTACTCTAGTTAAATTCAAGTTAATCAACACTTTTTCAGTGTTCAGCACAACGCTGATCTAATAAAGAAGCTCATTTGCCATAATTTCGACTGCATGCATTGTACCTACTGAGCCATAAAAAAAACTTTTCTATGGATCGCGAGTGATTTTACTCACTAAGGACCGAATCTGCTCGACCATACGAGGTAAATTAACAAAGTCTCGAAGCTTTCACTGAGAGGTTTTCAGCTCAAAGATTTAAATGTCAGTCTTGTAGTTAAATGGTTTTTGTGTATAATGAAAGCTTACGAAAACACTGTCATAGTGCTCCGAGCGAAGATACTCTGCATTATACAAAAAAACAGCTGTTTCGTTCAAGTGTAGTCGTGCTTTTGTGAGGAAAGTTAGACTTCGCCCTTAAGAGAGCTATTAACAAGCTCATTCAGACCTATCTAACATGCTAGTTAAATATGCGCCTTTTCTTGCAATGCACGGAGCGGAAAGGGTCACTTAGAAAAAACTAAATATTATAATAATATTGGCTTTGTAAAGAATGTTATTCCGATATTTCTAAAAATCGTATTTTCAAGATTCGATAAAGTTCTAAAAATCGTGGTTTCGAGCTGGTGAATTTTAAAAGTTCTTTCAAGGTTAATCAGAGTCTTTTCTATTTTCTCTCTGTGAATTGAAGTCATCAGTTTTTGCCATCAAAGAATTACCGAATCACTGTTTGGCAGTTTAGGTAATAATTTAGTTCTGTAATGAAGTGTTATGATTAGTTGTGTGTAAAATCAGTCACGGGAAAACTCGTATTAAAAACTATTTACAGCAAACTGCAATTTTCAACATCAAGTTATAGCTGATGAGCCGTATATACAAACACCTGTCAGTTTTTGGAACAAATCTAGCGGCGTAAACACTTCATTTGCGCGGTACCGCCAAAAGATCTAAGAACCATCGAGTTTGCAATTTCTACAATTTCATAAAATATTTAAAAGGTCTCTCACCATCAGGCCCTCAAGCTCTCTATTTATGGATATTAGCCGCTTTTTGTCGAAAGTCTTCTAATTATTTTGGAATTTTTTTCTTTTCCATTGAATCTTAGAAAAAGTCATTGTTTATTCGGCAACGGAGAGAACAAACAGCTTTCTCTTCTCGATTCTTCAGTAAAGTTTAACGCAAGGCTGCAAGAAATATTTGAAACAATTGTAATATTGTGTTACTTTTTACTATTATTTTTTTACATCATTTTTCAGGATTACTACAAATGCTTTTCCCGACTACTTGAAAATGATTCAGTAAATGAAATGTCACCACCATGACGTGAATCAGTTCGAAAACAGCTTTTCCACACCCAGAAGGCAAATTTAGATTTTAAATTTAAGGTATTGCGGTTAATTTGCCAAAATTTAAATGGCTTTCTATGCAAGGGGATTTCCAGAAAGAAAATAAAAAATAATAATAATAATAATAATGAAAAAGGCTAAAACATAAAACAATCACGCAAGGCCTTTGAAAACTCAAAGTACACAATGAGAACCACTGGTGAACTTGGAGAATTTAACCGCCTCAGAGAAAAACAATTCTTGTTTTTCATTTATACACTAACGTTACGGTACGCCCTTTTTAGTTAATGAAGCTAAGAATGTGTGCTGTATACCAACGCGTAGAAATCTCGCGCTAATTCTCTATGAAAGAATTTCCTTTTGAAATCCCTCAGTGATTGATTAATCTTAGTTCTATTACGAAGCACTGAGCAGCGAATGCCTCATTAAAAACAACTCATTTGGAAGGCTGGAGATCAGGTCTTTTTTGTGAACTAATTTGACTTCAAGCAGCTCTCCGACAACACTCAGTGGTGACAAAGGCTTTTCGGCCTTAGGGTTGCATTGGGGTAATGGTTTTGGACTAAGACATTACCGTTTCGTTGGGAACGATGCGATTTTCCACGTGTACGTCGGCAGCCTTTAGAGGAAATCAGACTGTTAAATTCTCATGCTTTATACCACAAACCAACATAAAATTTCTTTTTCCAAGAGCCTGGCTCCCGGACAATTTTCTCAGCAGTGCGAAAGAGAATTTTCATAAATTGATAGAGATAAAATCACTTACAGAAGGCTATAGAGTAAAGGTTTAAAAAATTGGTGGCGGGTTTTTTCGTTTGCATCTAAGTTTATTCTTCCCCAGTGTAAACGCCGAATAATTTGTCAGAATGTGTCCGGGGTTGTTCAAATTCTTCACCCGTGGAAAAAAAAAGAGCAAATGTTTGCCGATTTTTGGTAGATTCTTCTCGAAGAACCTATAGACTTTTGCACTTTTTGGGTCAGCACTTTGTAACACCGGCCAAGTTTAATTGAGTTGGGGGTATTTCTTTTGTAAACCAGCGGACGAACGCGGCCTCATAAATAAATTCAGATTTCTTTTCATCTGATTAAATTGAGTTATTTTGACGACAGCGCAGATTACTCCCTCGGTGTAAAAAATACAAATTGCAAAATGTATTGAAATCTGAAGTCAACAAAAAACATTCCGACTTAACGGTTTTGTAGCAAGAGAATTCAAACAGGAATAATTGTATTGGATTATCCATCGACTATTATTATAAAGAGGAACTAATAACTTATTGCTGAATAAAATCTACTGCAAAAAACTTACATAAAATTAGTTTCGTTCATTTGCAAAACAAGCCAACTTCAATATGTTGTTGACGATTAAACAAAGTAACATATCAAAAGGAAAAAGTGTAATTTAAAATTTCGGCTCTATCGTGCATTGAAAACAAAGGAAGCTATAAGCTGCCAGGTCTGATGCACTTGAGAGGTATCTAATATATTCTCAGCTCATAAACTCTTCGATCGGTCTTTCAGTCGCACCATGGGACATTTCATTGTTTTCTCTATGACTGACAACTTGTCAAATATCCTCTCACGCTCACTTCCAGCTTGACATCTCATGCGGTTCTCTTCCGAGGAGCACTGACATGGTTTCCTAGACAAAAGATAAAAAATCTTCAAGATCTTTTCGAGTCATGAAATAAGCAACTCTATAGCTCCTCAGAGCTTGAATATGGTAATATCAGCGGGGAACATAATACCCTCTTGTTTTTTAAACACTCGCCAGGATTCAGGTGGCTAAGGTCTTTGATAATGTCAGCTAAAAGGCTTTCACGAAAAAAGGGCTTTAACAACAAACTGTTAATCCTGGCTTTTTCTTCCTCGATTGAAATGTAGCAGGCTGGATATTTTCTTGTCGCAAATCAGCTTTGCTTTTGCTTTGTAAACATGCCGTTCTAAAGAGCGAAGGAACAAAAAGATGCGCTTTTAACCCATGTTACATGATGTTTCAATGTTTACTTTCAAATCCCCGCGCTAAGCTCGCTTCAGTCACTAATTAAGTGTAAAAAAAATTGACTGCTTGTCCGCACAGAATGATGAAAGACGACGGACCGATTCAGAAAGTTGGAAAATATCGCGAAACAAAGGAATAAAAGTTGAATGCGGCTTGGGGGATAACTTGATGTGTTTTTGCGGGGTCTAAGGGAACTCTTCGTCAATTCATTATTTAGATGACCGCCGTTTGATAGATAATATAGCTAATAATACAGCCGTATAAAGAAGTTTGACATTTAGGTGTCCTGAGGCTTGATTGACAGCTGCGGATTGATCGTTAAATTTCCTTCGCATTATTTCTCTGTTGAGGACAATAGCTAATTATAGCTAAATGAAGATAAAAGTGATTGCAGGAATATTAAAGCTATCCAGATATATTGGGCCGCCGTGAAGTGAATGTCGCATCCATCACCAAGGGAAGACGGGTCAAAAGTCTTATTAGGAATCGCCTGGGTGATTTTTCATTAGCCTCTAACATCATGAGCCGCGAAGTACAATTTTGTTTTGCTATTCCGCGCGCCGAGGGATTTCCTCCTGTCAAACGTTCTTCCCAGATTCACTCGTTTGCTATTCAGGACATCCTTGGTCTTAGCGAGAAGAGCTCAAAACCGAAGGCGGCAAGTCACCAAAGTGTGAGCCTTGTAAAATGCTTTTCGCCGGTTTCAGCCCGATTAGAGGCTCAGAATGCCGACCATGAAAAGGCTTCTGCACTACCAGGTGAGTGTCTGCCACAATTTCTACTTTGTTATCCCAAGATCAGATTTCGTTTAACTGCATTTTAAACACCCCTTCTACGGTTGTTTTAGTGAGCTGTTCCGCTGCGGTCGTCGGTGTCTTGATTGGAACAAATGATCGAAAGTAATGGTTTGTAATGCCCTAATTAACAACTGGTGTTCATTTCAAGCCTTAGCAGACAGATTCGTCAAACCGTCGGGGATTTCTTTCCGTTATCTTTTTCGAGTAATTCCGTGAATTTGCCAGAAAACTTTATTCTCAAAAGACTTCACAATGAAATAAATTTGGTTTCCGGACGATAGATAGTACAAACCTAGGCTGGATTTACTTCAAAATGTTTGATTGCATTTTAATGGATTTCTAACTGAACGCAACAAACTCCGGAAAAAACAGCTGCCACGCTTATAATATAGTAGAGTTTCGCAAGAAATTTACTAACGCTTGTATGTTTCATTCCGCTATTTGTGTTTTGTATTACTATAAGAGTTTTTCGCGTTCTGTCACAGCGTATAAATTTGTGGATAACAATTCTGTTTAGTTTCTATTAAAATGAAAATGGCAGATTTATTCCAGTGAGAGACTGCTAATTCGCAGAAATATCAACTCCTTCAAGGCGTCTAAATGGAAAATCATTTCATCCTTAGATCATCACGGGACAGACAGTAGTAAAATTGACAAGTGCCTGTACCTAAAGGGAGACAAAACTACGGCGAATAAGAAGGCACCCAAAAAGCGTCGACATCGCACTATTTTCACAAATTATCAACTAGAAGAACTGGAAAAGGCTTTTAAAGACAGCCACTATCCTGACGTGTATGCGAGGGAAAACCTTTCTGCCAAAATCGAATTACCCGAAGACCGAATTCAGGTATAGTTAAAAATATTTATTTATTTATTTATTTTCTACTTTTCCAAAAACATTCCAACGACAAGCGGGGGAAAAATCCCTGAGGAAGGCTCAGTCGGCCTTTAAATTTTTAATTAGTATATTTTTTTGATTTTTGATCACCTTCCTTCAGTGCGTGGCTCAAAAAGAAGACATCTGCCTTAGCGACGCAAAGTAATGCTTTTGTACCGACGATCTGATGAGCTTCTTATGCAGATAGAACGTCCTGGAAAAAATTGAAATGAAACTGAAAAAAAAAAAAAAAACAACTCTGCGTTGATTAAAACACAAACGATTCGCGGCGTGTAAATGCTTTGCCCATCTCACCGAATTTGTTTTGTTCGCCACGATGGTGAAAGCTCCGGGAATAAAAATTAGTCCGCAATTGGCATTCATTAGTGTTCATTAAAGTTATGAACTCCTTTTAATTACCGTCATTATACGCCGACCTGATTTCAGAGCCGCAGGTGTTTCTGATTTGACAACAAGCGAGGTTTTCAATGATTCTTCATTTTTTTTTCTGAAATAATAATGATGATAATAAACCGAGATCAAGACTCACGTCAAACAAGGGCTCGTAATCTTGAATACTATCTAAAATCCACACTTGAGGTAAATTAAAAACCAAAAAATTTGAATTTTTTTCTCACCATAAACCGAACAAAGCGTTCAACAAATGGTGCCAAAAATATTGTTAGTATATTAGCTATTGTAAAAAAATCGGCGGAAAACGGTCTTTAAATGTATGCTTTCCAAAATTGGAGGGAATCTTTATGCGACGGAAAAATACATCGGAAGTTGAACAGAAAAAGGAGCAAGCCGGTCTACAATTGAAAAAATTTTAATTGCATGCCATTTTTTTTCTTTGAACTATGTCGCCTTTTTGTTGAGCGGATTCACTTTTCCTCGGAATTTGAAATTTTACATATTTGGTGGTCGGTAATTGCTTTCTTAATTATAATTCAACGACCTTTTCGGTATAGCCATCAAGTTGATTTAGCGCCCTTAAATTTTTATTATTGCGTAAATATAGCATATTATACGAGTATATGGCGGCGGAAATATACTGCGATAACATGCCATAAAGCGAAATAAAAACTAACAGGAAACACATACAGTTCTAATGAAGTTTGCACGAGGGTGAAAACTAACTTGTCTATATTTCATTCTCAAAGTTGACATGAATCAATACTAAAGTTTGCAAAAGAGTCTTTTCATCTGTCACGGTTTGCAAGTTAAGGTATATTGGGCTAATGTAAGAATTTGACTTAGGAAAACATCCTTCAACCACATTTCCTAAAAGGAGACATTTTGCCGGTGGGTTTGCGTTTAATTTGGAGCCTAACAGCCTTTTCAATTATACACTTGCAATGTCTCACAAGCACGTTTGTGTTGGGAAGTTTTTGTTTTTCGTTATCATTACATCGAGAATTAAATGAAAGAAAATTTGACAAGCCCGTTTCTCACAAGTACTGTTGTAATTACTTTTTAACAGAATCCTCAAACACTGCCGGAAAACCTCCACATTTCAATAAGCTTTGACAAACAATGATTAGCGAGTTAGGTTTCGTCTCGAATTCTCCTTTTTATCAGTCTCTCGACTTTCCTCAATCTTTGAATGAGCATTGATCTACGTGCATGATAACAGGTTTTCTCTCGATTTTCTTTTATTTCAAAAGCTGACAAAATTTCCGCGTAGAATACAAATTTGCGTCGCGTCACAGCAAAAGAACGCGTTCATTTCGCTGCCATTGAGAAAAACAAGTTTAATTCTCCTTGACAGCGTTTGTAATTGTTACTTGTGATGAGATTCAAACTGTGTTTTCCCGCTGAGATAGTTTAAGGCCGTTGTTTCAGTCAGGATTAATAGCTCTATTCAGCTGTCTTGGCAAGCGAATTAGTAATCTTACACTGACCGTGCTAGCGATTGATCTGTGTATTACGATATCAGCTGAATCATTTTAGCACGCACGGATGAATCGGGAGCGTTTTCATCACCAAAAACTCCCGGCGCGGGGGCGACTGAAATATGCATTTGACCACTTCAACCTCGGCGAGTTTGGATCCCCTTAAGGAGGGGACAACAGCGGACTCTGGGCTTGGGTTTGAAGTTAAAAATTAGAAATAAACACTTTGTAAAAATTCAGACTGAACTGCTAAGAGAAGTCCATAAACTTTTCGCTGCTAATCAAAACAATCGATTTGTGCTGGAGTTCACCGCCCGTAAACAAATTGAGTGCGCGCTCGAAATACGTACTTCGTTATTAAAACTACCCATCTTCATTTATTTCAAGGACTGAAGACAGTCTTTCTAATTAGAACCTTTGCCATACATAATGTTGTCTCCGTACTGTAAATTCGTTACCAGTTTTATACAAGGAAATCTCCATTTTCGGTTCGATTTTGATTTTTCTAAACACCGCGTCCCCGTTTTAATTACCATTGCCCAGAAGAGTAAATAATTCGATGTTGTTTCGAGTTTTCTAGCTAATCATTAAAACCTTCAGTGATATCTCTGATTTATAAGCAAGCCAATTTTCTCATGCTTGAGCCATAGGCTTACTCTTTCAGCCAAGATACAATCAAAGAAGCTGCGAAGCGGCGCCATTGTTTATAATGTTTTTTTCCAAATTGCCAAAACAGACAATCTAATAAGAAAACGGCTTAATTTCTTTTTTGAGAAATTGATGAAACATTCAAGAAAACCTAAAGAAAGAGAGGAACACGGTGTTGATTTAAAACAGCGTGCACTCCAAAACTTGCCTTTCAAGTGCGTGTGTTTTACGGATAAATTTCCACTCTCCGGAAAACACCACGCTAAGTTAGATGAAGCCCTTAGGTCATATCAGAGATCTTTTAATATTTTGTTTGTTATTTTACTCTGTGTCCTTGCCTATTGGCTCTTTTGTAAAGCTAATTTAAACGAGGCAGTGGCTACCTCTTGAAAGAAATTCTGAGGTTGTTTTGACTGCATTTAAAACTAACTAGCTTTATATCCGACGACCAGAAGCAGCTTCAATTTGTGAAAACATACAGAAGGAAAAAATGAAAACCATGAAAGAAAATTCTCTCCAAAATTATTAAAAGTTATATACCTTCAAAAATAATACAACGAACGTGTTGTGGTCAAATCATACTGTTGTTCGTCACAATTTAAACAATAGAAGCTTGAACTGCTCATAAATTTCCTCCATCGTTTCTATCCGCTGGATGTTCCTTTCAGTTCAAAATTGCATGGTTAAATAACGAAAAAGGAACTTCTTAAAACAAGACAGTAGCTAAGGAAAATTGTTATTGTTACAACAAAAGTATTTAAAAAATTAACGAAGTCGTTTTCGTGGGTGCGTGTTACAACTTCCGCCATCTTGCACATTTGCGACCGTAAACTTCTGGGCTACACACATATTCGTACATCTTCTCCGTAGAACTTATGCTTTTGCTGAATATAACATTCACCAATCAGTGCTAATAAAAAACATCATTAGAGAAACTATAATTAGGCTTAAAACAAATTTCCAAATTGCCTTGGTCGAAAATATCACAGAGGAGACAACAAAGAAACATTGGTTAAGATTATAAGTTAGTAGTCGGCAGAAAGTAGAAAAAAAAAAAACGTTTTAAAAGATAGGAAGATTCATCAGGAGTAAAGACTTCAAATCTACTTTATAAATTTCATTTTTTTGTTTCAGGGATGAAAAACTGCACGACTTTCGTTAGTTGTATAATTCCGGCAGTTCACCTGCTTTTTTTTTCGACTCAAAATGTTTACCCAAACTACTTCAAGTCAGCTTATAAACTACCCATTTATGTCCAGCTGTTTGGAACGGTTCGCGAGCGCTTATAAAAATCCTCCTGCAATCATAGTTCGAAAAGTGAAAGACGTGAACTTTTATGTAACGCCGCAAAACGAAAATTGTTTATACTAAATTTGTCGTTGAACAGTATGGCGTTGGTCGGTTAGGGCTTGTTTTAAATCAACATGACAATCAAAACGAACTAAAGGTCTCGTAAATTTTGCTCCAGGCGATGTGGAAGAGTAATGAAACTAGTTTATATGCGGTAAAATTAATAGACTCGTCATGGAATCGAAGTTGAAAAGAAACTGTTGCTCAGAATTTGCATCCAAATTTTCTGGCTAGAAATTAAGGCTGAGAGACATGACAGAAAGCCTACAAATGAAGATTCAAATGAAAATGGAAAATAAAGAAAAAAAAAAAAGACTCCAAAAAAAAAATGTTCCACTTATTCCAAATTAATAAATTTCAATTAAAAATTTGCTTCTCAATGAAAAATGCCCTGAATCTCAAAAAATTAATCACTTCCTGAACATGTTCGATAAATTTCACGATTTCAGGATACTTATTAAGACTTAGAACTAGACTCACTCCGTTTGCATGTTTGAACACAAGAATGTTGCAAAAAATAAACGGAAAATGTATAGTTTAGCGCGTATAGACTGCTTTTACTGTTTAGAAATGCCTGATTAGTTTATGACAAAAGTATTTGCTTCTTTTGGAGACAATTTATCACGTAAATCGCAGTCTTTTGTTCATCAAATTCTGCTCAAAAAAAAAAATTTTTGAAAAGAAAAAGCACAAGGTGAAGCGTAAATCAAACTAACAAAGAGCAAGGTGCATTTCGACAAATTTTTTCTTATCAGCATCTTTTCTTTATTATTTTTCGCGTCGTGGTGGCCGACAAGTTATTAACTATTTTTGGCCTTTTCGAGGACAGAAGAAGAAAAAATATGAGTAATTTTAATCACAAAGCTGGGAAAACTATCTTCCGTTCTTTTGTCAGAAAGGCTTACTAATTCAAACCCATTTAAAAGTTTAAGCGTGTGGCCACGTTTCTTGTTTTCAAGGGTTTCCGTGTTTGCATGCCGTGCGCCGAAAGAATAATTTTTAACTGAAAACTTTGCGCACTTCAAAATGGGAAAGGCTGTTTGTCTCTGATAAATCAAACAATCATTAACAAAACAATGCCATTTAGGAATGAATAGATGATAAATATTCTACACAGTCTTTTTTCTATCTTCTCGGCAAATTATAACCTTGACTTTTTAGGTCTTTAAGAATCGGCGATAAATCTAGCTTACATAAATCTAGCTTACATAAATCTAGCTTACATAACTGTAATGCACGAAGTAAAATGGACTCCTTAAATTAACCAGCTTTTAACTTAAAAATAAAAAGTAAAAAAGAAAAAACCAGTTAAGTTATAATCACTGATAGAAATAATTTTCTTTTCCGTTACCTTTTTTTGTTTTTTTTTTTGGTGGAATCATTATGAGAATCTATCGTTAATTAATCGTTGCCCTCTCTCTCATGGTCATGAAAATTTCGGGAGGAAACTAAACAAAACTCTGATAAAATATTCTCCTTTTTCAACATTCAAGGCATATAATGAAAACCTGAAACTATGAAGACGCTGTTTTTCTGCGGCCTGAGTTACAATTGCTTTGAGTTTAGCTGTTTTGGCGGTCTTATTGCAAACACAAAAGAACAAATTATGAAAACTCCCAGTAATACGACACTAACAAGCAAAAACAAAACATTATTAGTTTTGAAAAGCGGGCCTTCATTGTATAAACTTGCTCTTCAGGCAATCTAGATCACTAAAGATCATTACGATTAATTTTAGAACAAAACGTGCCCATAAATAAGGTTTTGATAGCTATATAAACTAACTTTTAACGACCTCACGCATACTCAACAAAATCACTAATTCGTACAATAATCAAGCCATCCACAATAGGTCATTAGGCATAAAATTAACACATAAACAGCGCTCGAAAAGCAGAGATTAATTGAAGCACCAAGTAAACATTGCTTTCTTTTTAATAACGTAAAATTCCTGGGTTGCACACCGCCAGCATATTATGAAAAAAGTGAACAGATTTCCGCTTCGATAAGTCGAGTCTGGGATTACAGAAATTGGACAGGAGCAAGTTTCTTATTCGGTTCAGAGCGACATGAACTGTTATGAAATAGGAAGTAAATTTATCGGATTGGAAAATTAATAACTGGAAAGTTTATCCCGGGTAGCCTTGGAAGGAAGATAACTCTGCTTATCTCTGTTTATTAGTTTCAAGTTCAAAGAAAAGACTTCCTCGAATGAACAACAAAGACGTCGTTTTCATTCATTTATTCTTGGCCTTTATTTTCCAAACTGCCTTAGACCTTTCGTTTAGAGAGCCTTTCTTTACAATTTACGCTTGAAGAGGCTCTTCTTACCTTGTTAAAACTCACTGCGAATAATTAAAATTTCCAATATTCTTATAATAGGGGAGCCTGTTTTTGAGGTTGATGCTATTTTGTTTGAAAATATAAATCTCAATTTCCTCTTTCATAAAAACGTTATCAGAGATATCTATACTAGATGCATGTAGTCAGTTATATGTTAAGGAACGCTATATATTTGACTTTGTTTAACAACAATTTGTCTCGACTGCAAAAAGCCTCAACCAGAGTTGCATGAATAATTTTCCGCGACATTTTTTAGAAACACGAGGACTGTGCTTTTCGAAAATCATCGAAAATGAATTTTAAATAGAAATCTTTGATCTTATGTAAAATGAAAATGAAGGTAGATGTATTCTTAAAATTAAAGTTTTGATTTTGTCATGAGAGAATTTTCAATCGAGTTTGGAAAAATTATTCAGGAGTAAATTGCTTTTGTTTTCCAAAGTGTTTTGCGCTCTCGAAGTCGGTTCCTCACTGAACTTATATTACTTATAGAGCAAACACTCCTTCTTTAAATCATTTTTGCCTTGCTCGCTTTTTCCAAAGATCTTTACGAGCCGAAACTAATGGAGTAACTCTTATTTTCACTTCGTCAGGTCTGGTTTCAAAATCGACGGGCAAAATGGCGAAAGAAGGAAAAGTGTTGGGGTCACAGCTCCATAATGGCCGAGTACGGGTTGTATGGAGCGATGGTACGACACTCCTTACCCCTTCCCCCTCATCTCACCTCTAACTCGGCCCCATGGCTGCTCGGCATGCATAAAAAAGCAAAGCTCATGGAAGATAAAATCAAGGTAGAGACCTCGAAAGAGACTGGGGATGACCTCAGGTCCCACAGTATTGCGTCACTGAGGCAGCGAGCTCAGGAGCACAATGCCGCAGTCAAGCATCTTCAAGAACAAGAGGCCATGATGATACAGGTGTATAAAAATAAAGAATCGAAGGAAAGGAAGCTTTCCGACAGTGGATCCGAAGGAGAAACCGATTTGGAAGATATGTGATTAGAAATGAAGAAATAACAGTCCTAAAATTAGAATCTTAGAATAACATATCGACTGTGATGTTTAGAGGAATTTTTCGATGGACCGTCATAAAACTAAAAGCAAAGTAGTCTCAGGAGCCAATCATAGCAAGGAAAATGTCAATAGGAGCCAATGAGGAACTTGAAAACTGTCTAAAGCGCGGGAAAACGCGGGTGATCTAGTCGCGATTGACTTATGTTTTGAATCTGATTGGTCAAGAAAGTGGCACGACTTTTCTAGACCAATCACAGAAAAACCAAAGCATTGTGGGACTACTTTTAACATTCAATTGAACATTTCTCTATCAAGCCATTCAAGACTAGGCACGAAGTAACAGAATGGCGGGAAAATTGGAAGAAATGGAAAATCTTTCTCGCCAAACCTGAAACCAACAGACAAAAAGCAGGAAAATATTACGACGGACACAAAAGCAGTGTCCCTCCGAGCCTCAACTAATAAAACACAATGCATATGTAATCTATGGCCTGGTAAAGGATTTTACATCAATGCTTACAAGAATTAATCATTTGTGCACAATGAAAAAAAGTTATTATTACTCAGTGCAAAGTATGTAGGATGTTCATGCTTCTAAGAGCCTGTTACAAAATGAAATGAGCTAAAACATTTTTATCTTGTACATAGTTACAATAAAATAAAGTGTTCTCTGAGTCACTGCCACCGACAAAAGTCCATTTCAGGACTACTCTCATGATCACTCGAACGCTAAGGTCACACGATAACTAAATTATAGAAGCGTACTTTGTAAATGACGAAGAGCCTGTCCACAGAGAAATGCTGTATGGAAACTTAATGGTATACAGTTTGTAAAATAAAAGCTTAGAGGTGTTTGAGACGAGCATGGCGAACAAAGGGCGAATGTAATTGCTTTTAGAAAGGACCTGCTTCAACGTGTTCAATAAACCAACTGGAGAGTCTTTTTTTTTAATATTTCAAAACTAAAATCTACACAGAAAAAAATTCACAGAATACACGTATTTAGGTGCCGAATGCGTCTAAGAAACTTCAATAGTATTTATCCGATATTTGTAAATAAAACGCTTCAACTTTATTGTGTTGTTTTGTTTCGAAGTCTCTTCTTAGGACTCATCTGAAAAAACGACACGGGGCATTCTAAAGATCGAAACTAAGGCTGGTCTAAAACTTTTTTTTGCTTCTAGAAGAGCTCTGCTGAGACTTCGACTTGACCCTAACACGTGTCTGCATTAAACAGGTTATGATAAATTGCACAGGCCAGGGTTATGACAAACCAAACTCTTCGGTATGTTACAGCCTTCCATTTTAATCTTACATCATGTACATCATGTAATGGCTACGTTACTTCATCTGAACCTCTAAACCTTCATCGTTTCTGCAAGTTCTGTAACGACGGACTCCGAAATAGTAATTTCATGACATGCTTGGGCGGAAGGGGGGGGGGGGAATTAGGTGCGTTTCACTCGAGTAGTTTGAGGTTTTGCACCCCTACTCGAGGCTTCAGGTAAGCGTTACAGTTAACTAAGATACTAAAAACACCATCTGAGATGCTTCCTATTCCAGTGTGAGACAAAGATAGTTGGCCGTTCTGAAAAATGTTTCCTTTACCAAGTAACCTAAATCTTCCCAGACACAGTATACTGTTTATATGTTTGATTTTTGTGACATTAGGATGCCTGCACCCCCGCAGAAACAGAAGGCTCGTGGTGGAAGCTTGGGCTTCCTGTGGCCACTAAGGGTGGGTTCTCAATATTTCGTTGCATGCCGCACGTGGTGACGGTTGCTGTGGTGTTACTGATTTGGAGACTACATTCCCGTGGCACACTTGTAATGGCAGCTCTAACCGAGGGAAGTTTTGCTCCACCATTTCTATTGCTTTTCGAGCTTCAGGTCTCACTCCAACGCGTCTTGGTCTACACAGATTCCTTGCAATTTCTTCGGCCTCTTGGAAACCTTTTTTCGACAACAATTCAATGAATGCGACGAGAAATTGTTTGTTTCGACAAACGTGTATAATCGGGTTGATAGTAGAAATCAATTGTATTAATCCAAACACGAAATGACGAACTATAGTTTTTTCACTTTCCGAAAACTTTTCTCCGAATAGAAACCATGTGGCAGACAAAAGACCCATTGGCAGAATGAAAAATAGCAAAAGTGTAACTATTATCAAAGTGGTTGACTTCAAGGCCTTTTTCTCTCCCTTGAATTTGGCATTGGCCTCCTCAGAAATTTGACTGGCAAGAATCCGCTTTTCATGGCGTCTAGCTTCCTTATACACGAGGACCTGAAGGAAGATGGTTGAACTCAACAATGTTATTGTGAAAACTACGACTGGAATCATTGTCACCCTGGAGAAAAAAAAGTAAACAGGAATGCCCGAGATCCAGGCGCAGGCTGATGAAACTAGAACACGCGTTTTAGTGATCATTTCTTGATGTGTGAAAGAGTATTTGATTGTGAGGTATCGTTCTCCGCTTATCAAAACCAAGTGACATACTACAGAATGGCAAGTTAGGAAGAAGGAGAAGCTAAAAGCCAGATTTACTTCGCAAAATTCGTGAAAACCTTTTCTTTGCAACATAAAAATTGTCATAACTCCATGCAGAGGTTGAACAACCAACCCAGTCACTAAATCAGTAAGCGCTAAAGATGCCAAAAATATGTTGGAGTGAGTTTGAAGACGTCGTTTGGTTTTGACGGCCAAAATAACCATCGCGTTCAAAAACCAGGTGAACGGAAAGGCAACGATGCTGAGAATAGCCGTTACGATCAGAATACTGTGTGTTAGATCAGAGAAATTGTATCGGAGACGAACTGGAAAAAATAAATGATCACAGCTGTTTTCAAGGCCAACCGAAGAGGACCGATTCATTTTCGCCACACAGCACAGTGCGTTTTTCGACAACTGTCTTCACCCAAACGAGAACTCTTGCAACTGAATATCGCAAAGAAAGTGCGTTGCTTTTGAAACAGAGAAGATAAAGAGAAGAAAGAAGTGAAGTGGACGTAAATGCAAATGTATTTCCTTTATCAGGGGCGCACCGAAAGTTGAAAAATTGACAAATACTTGTGGAAAAACTTCTCGCGGCTGGCATTCACGAGTTACAACAGAGACGATGAAAAATGTTTCAAATACTTATGGAAAAAATTTTCGTGGCTGGAACGATACCATCCACGACTTTTTTTTTTCACAAGTACCAGATGTTGCCTAAGAAACAAAATTTATTGTGTTGATGAATGAATTTGCCGACGAAGAACTTGAAGCCAGGAAACTCGGATATCTCTGTTGTAATTAATGTAATTAACAAGTACAGAATCACGTTAAGCGGAAAGCAATTAGCTGAGAATCAGGTTTGAACGCATGCAACACCGAGTGGCCTTATATGGTCGATATTATGTATTGGTCGCTATTAGAGGGACTAATCACCGCCGACTCGACTTTCATCTGTCAAAAATCGGCGGTGTCGTTACTCTGAGGCCATGTAATATGGGTCAATTTTCTAGTGGACATTTTAAAAACTATCAACGTATCTGTAAATGGTGCTTGTATTCCATTAGCAGTACAAGATTGAATAGATATGGTTGTTACACTGAGTACTGGCTAATGATTTATATCCAGCCTGACCTACTGAAAGCCTTTTCTTATGGGATAAGAAGTAAGCAGTAAAAAAGGCTGTTACCGACTCCATAAATGTTTCTCTCAGAGCTTCTGTAGGTTGAAGAAACTCAAGTGTTTTTTACCGCGCGAAAAGAGGAAAGTCCTTTTGCGACCTTATGTTTATATTTGTCTTTTTCCAAGCCTCCTTTCGACACTCTCTCGCTGAGAAGGTCATCGGTAAACAGTTCGAATCGAAATAATAGCAATTTAGTGTTTCTCTTTCTGCCTTTCAGTCTTTGACTATAGTCATGTGCTTCATCTGCCCACACGCACCTAAATGGCGTACTCTTGATCGACTCTTGATCCAACTTAACACCCAGTACAAGCTACTGATTATTCTACGGTGATATTTTTGCATCAAATTCAGTCAGCTTGAAATTTCCATGGACAATGAATGGAGCAAGCTTCTGATTCTCTCGTCAATCTCGTCTAATGTGAGGTTCTGTGGGTGGTGAAAAGAACTTACTCATGATCTTGAAAGAAATATATGTTGTTCACTAGACGGGAGGTCCGTATTGGGAAAAACTGTGCCCGAGGTCTTGGATACGGTACACAAGACAGAGGGCACAGTTTTTCCCAATACGGACTGACCTTGGCTGGTGAATAACATTTTTATTTTTTTCTAAAACCTAACAAATGGTTGTAAAAAGAACCGCCTGCTGTGAGCGGGCCGAATGGGAAGAATACTGCCCGCTCTCGGAACCAATCAGATTACAGGATTTGTGGAATACCGCCCGCTCACGAATTGAGAAAAAAATAAAATATATAAATATTCAAGAGTAGAATATCCAGCTAGCATTCCATGATTCGAACGAAAGCATATCTTGAATGTAGGGACGTGCGGTGCGTGCGAGGAATGTGAGTGTAATAAAGCGAACGCGCGTGGCAAAATTTTGGCGAGTGAATAGAAGCTATCAGTTTTTTATTCATAACCATTACAATTTCCTCAAACGTGATTGGCGCGTTAGCTGCTTTCTTTTTTACTAATCATTCTATAGAGCTGTAATCGGACAATTGGCTGTAATCGGACAGTTGAACCAGCCAATCGTATTAAGTCCACTCAGCCAAATCCACCAATCACGGAATTAATCACAATAACCATAGCAACAACCACTTATCCTAAGAAAAAAATTGAGGAATTTCCAAAATGGAAAATTTTTACTCTAAATATTGTCTCTACCAGAGAGATTTGACCTAAATGTATTTGTCGTTTTCAGAAATTGTAACAGTTCTGATTAATTGGTAACAGGACTTCTTGTCGTCCAATTCTGTCTGTAATCATGCTCGTGATTGACAAATTGGACTCCCGCTTCGTGACCGTCCAATTTTGTTACACCGTTATGATTGCAGGTTTGATTTCAGAGCGAATTGGACTCCACTTAGTCCTGTTACAATTATTGCTTGTAATTGGACAGTTAAAGGGACAGTTAACACGTGGTGCCTATGTAAGTGCGTATGCGTGTATGCGTTTTTCATGCAAATTACTAAAAAGTAACAAATGATATAACGTGCAGTTTGGTGTAAATAACCACTTGTACATTCTTCAAAGACTACAAATTGCACGGGACCGTAGGGCGAGTGCAATTTAGTTGTCTTTGAAAAATTGACTCATACTTATTTACACCAAACTGCTCTCGTAATTTTGTTATTACTTATACTTTATATGGCAGCTTAAGGTAAAAATGAGTATGTTGACTGAGTAGAGCCAAAGGTCAATTTTCCCCCAGAAGAAATGATTCCATCTCTCCCCATCGGCAGAAATATTGGACAAGATGGCGGCCGCGCTTGCGCATTTCGTCCATAATGGCGTCCAAATAATGCCATTTCCTCCCATCGAAAAACTTCCTAACGCGCCAGAATATCCCTTATTTTCCATGTTGAGTAAGTGACGAGACGCCATGTTGAAAACTATGACTGAAATAGTTAAACACAAGCAACGCTGATCTTCGAATCGTCGGCCATATTTGTTTATATATGTTCTTGCAGGGAAATAAATTAGTTCTCAGGTCCTTTTCGGAATAAAAATATGCCAGGCATTGAATGCAAATTCAGTAGTCTTAGCGCGAAAATTAAATTAAAGCAAATCAAAATTCTGACATCATGTCATCGCTCTGCCTCGAAAAATCCCAAAGATTTACTTACTCAAATAGAAGATCTGCGGTGCTCAAATTGTATAAGTCATGGTACGAAACACTCTTCTTTGCAGATCGAGCCGTGATCGCCCCCATATTGAATTCTCTTGATATTCTATTGTTCCGGAGTGTAATACAATATACCGCTGATAATTGTTAGCGGGCTCGAAATATCCTTGATTTCTGGCGATGCTTTGTCAGGCTGAAATGTTACAACCGAAAAACGCCAGTTTTAATGCTCGAAGTCAACAGTGTTAGATAACTTGGGGAAACAATGAAAGATGATCTTTTTGGGTGTTGTCACGAGCGTGAGACTTATTGCAGAAATCGTTACTAATTCAAACCTTTTTAAAAGTTTAAGCGTGTGGCCACCTTTCTTGTTTTCAGGGGTTTCCGTGTTTGCATGCCGTGCGCCGAAAGAATGAGTTTTAACTGAAAACTTTGCGCATTTCAAAATGGGAAAGGCTGTTTATCTATGGTACCATGTGGGAAAGAATAGATGATAACTATTTTTAACAGTCTTTTTTTCCGTCTTCTCGGCAAATTCTAACCTTGACTTTTAGGTCTTTACGAACCACTAAGATCACTAAAGATCATTACGATTAATTTTAGAACAAAACTTGCCCATAAATAAGGTTTTGATATAAACTAACTTTTAACGACCTCACGCATACTCAACAAAATCGCTAATTCGTACAATAATCATGCCATCCACAATAGGTCATTAGGCATAAAATTAACACATAAACAGCGCTCGAAAAGCAGAGATTAATTGCAGCACCAAGTAAACATTGCTTTCTTTTTAATAACGTAAAATTCCTGAGTTGCACACCGCCAGCATATTATGAAAAAAAGTGAACAGATTTCCGCTTCGATAAGTCGAGTCTGGGATTACAGAAATTGGACAGGAGCAAGTTTCTTATTCGGTTCAGAGCGACATGAACTGTTATGAAATAGGTAGTAAATTTATCGGATTGGAAAATTAATAACTGAAAAGTTTATCCCGGCAGCCTTGGAAGAAAGATAACTCTGCTTATCTCTGTTTATTAGTTTCAAGTTCAAAGAAAAGACTTCCTCGAATGAACAACAAAGACGTCGTTTTCTTTAATTTATTCTTAGCCTTTATTTTCCAAACTGTCTTAGACCTTCCATTTAGAGAGCCTTCTTTTAGCACTTTGTTTACAATTTACGTTTGAAGAGGCTCTTCTTACCTTGTTAAAACTCACTGCGAATAATCAAAATTTTCAATATTCTTATAATAGGGGAGCCTGTTTTTTAAGTTGATGCTATTTTGTTTGAAAATATAAATCTCAATTTCCTCTTTCATAAAAACGTTATCAGAGATATCTGTACTAGATGCATGTAGTCGGTTATATGTTAAGGAACGCTAACAACAATTTGTCTTGACTGCAAAAAGCCTCAACCAGAGTTGCATGAAAAATTTTCTGCGACATTTTTTAGAAACACGAGGACTGTGCTTTTCGAAAATCATCGAAAATGAGTTTTACATAGAAATCTTTGATCTTTTGTAGAATGAAAATGAAGGTTGATGTACTCTTCTTTTGCTTTCCGAAGTGTTTTCCGCCCTCGAAGTCGGTTCGTCACTGAACTTATATAACTTATGGAACAAACGCTCCTTCATTAAATCATTTTTGCCTTGCTCGCTTTTTTCAAAGAGCATTACGAGCTGAAACTAATGGAGTAACTCTTATTTTCACTTCGTCAGGTCTGGTTTCAAAATCGATGAGCAAAATGGCGAAAGAAGGAAAAGTCACAGCTCCATAATGGCCGAGTACGGGTTGTATGGAGCGATGGTACGACACTCCTTACCCCTTCCCCCTCATCTCACCTCTAACTCGGCCCCATGGCTGCTCGGCATGCATAAAAAAGCAAAGCTCATGGAAGATAAAATCAAGGTAGAGACCTCGAAAGAGACTGTGGATGACCTTAGGTCCCACAGTATTGCGTCACTGAGGCAGCGAGCTCAGGAGCACAATGCCGCAGTCAAGCATCTTCAAGAACAAGAGGCCATGATGATACAGGTGTATAAAAATAAAGAATCGAAGGAAAGGAAGCTTTCCCACAGTGGATCCGAAGGAGAAACCGATTTGGAAGATATGTGATTAGAAATGAAGAAATAACAGTCCTAAAATTAGAATCTTAGAATAACATATCGACTGTGATGTATAGAGCAATTTCTCGATTGACCGTCATAAAACTAAAAGCAAAGTAGTCTCAAGAGCCTATCATAATAAGGAAAATGTCACTAGGAGCCAATGAGGAACTTGAAAACTGTCTGAAGCGCGGGAAAACGCGGGTGATCTAGTCGTGATTGACTTATGTTTTGAATCTGATTGGTCAAGAAAGTGGCACGACTTTTCTAGACCAATCACAGAAAATAAAGCAAAACCAAAGCATTGTGGGACTACTTTTAACATTCAATTGAACATTTCTCTATCAAGCCATTCAAGACTAGGCACGAATTAACAGAATGGCGAGAAAATTGGGAGAAATGGAAAATCTTTCTCGCCAAAACTGAAACCAACAGACAAAAAGCAGGAAAATATTACGACGGACACAAAAGCAGTGTCCCTCCGAGCCTCAACTAATAAAACACAATGCATACGTAATCTATGGCCTGGTAAAGGATTTTACATCAATGCTTACAAGAATTAACCATTTGTGAACAATGAAAAAAAGTTATTATTACTCAGTGCAAAGTATGTAGGATGCTCGTGCCTCTAAGAGCCTGTTACAAAATGAAATAAGCTAAAAAAAAAATTTTTATCTTGTACATAGTTACAATAAAATAAAGTGTTCTCTGAGTCACTGCCACCGACAAAAGTCCATTTCAGGACTACTCTCATGATCACTCGAACGCTAAGGTCACACGATAACTTAATTATAGAAGCGTACTTTGTAAATGACGAAGAGCCTGTCCACAGAGAAATGCTGTATGGAAACTTAATGGTATACAGTTTGTAAAATAAAAGCTTAGAGGTGTTTGAGACGAGCATGGCGAACAAAGGGCGAATGTAATTGCTTTTAGAAAGGACCTGCCTCAACGTGTTCAATAAACCAACTGGAGAGTCTTTCTTTTTTAATATTTCAAAACTAAAATCTACACAGAAAAAAATTCACAGAATAAACGTATTTAGGTGCCGAATGCGTCTCAGAAACTTCAATAGTATTTATCAGATATTTGTAAATAAAACGCTTCAACTTTATTGTGTTGTTTTGTTTCGAAGTCTCTTCTTAGGACTCATCTGAAAAAACGACACGGGGCATCTAAAGATCGAAACTAAGGCAGGTCTAAAACTTTTTTTTGCTTCTAGAAGAGCTCTGCTGAGACTTCGACTTGACCCTAACACGTGTCTGCATTAAACAGGTTATGATAAATTGCACAGGCCAGGGTTATGACAAACCAAACTCTTCGGTATGTTACAGCCTTCCATTTTAATCTTACATCATGTACATCATTTAATGGCTACGTTATTTCATCTGAACCTCTAAACCTTCATCGTTTCTGCAAGTTCTGTTACGACGGACTCCGAAATAGTAATTTTATGACATGCTTGGGGGAGGGGGGGAATTAGGTGCGTTTCACTCGAGTAGTTTGAGGTTTTGCACCCCTACTCGAGGCTTCAGGTAAGCGTTACAGTTAACTAATATACTAAAAACACTATCTGAGATGCTTCCTATTCCAGTGTGAGACAAAGATAGTCGGCCGTTCTGAAAAATGTTTCCTTTACCGAGTAACCTAAATCTTCGCAGACACAGTTTTCTGTTTATATGTTTCATTTTTGTGATAATAGGATGCCTGCACCCCCGCAGAAACAGAAGGCTCATGGTGGAAGCTTGGGCTTCCTGTGGCCACTAAGGGTGGGTTCTCAATGTTTCGTTGCATGCACGTTATCATAGTTACTGTGGTGTTACTGATTTGAAGGCTTCATTTCTCGTGGCACACTTATAATGGCAGCTTGAACTGAGTGAAGTTCTGTTACACCATTTCTATTGCTTGTCGAGCTTCAGGTCTCACTCCAACGCTTCTTGGTCTACACAGATTCCTCGCAATTTCTTCGGCCTCTTGGAAACCTTTTTTCGACAGCAATTCAATGAATGCGACGAGAAATTGTTTGTTTCGACAAACGTGTATAATCGGGTTGACAGTAGAAATCAATTGTATTAATCCAAACACGAAATGACGAACTGTAGTTTTTTCGCTTTCCGAAAACTTTTCTCCGAATAGAAACCATGTGGCGACCATTAGACCTATTGGCAAAATGAAAAATAGCAAAATTATCACTATCATCAAAGTGGTTGACTTCAAGGCCTTTTTTTCTCCCTTGAATTTGGCTTTGGCCTCCTCAGAAACTTGACAGGCAAGAATCCGCTTTTCATGGCGTCTGGCTTCCTTATACACGAGGACCTGAAGGCAGATGATTGAACTTAACAATGCTATTGTGACAGCTGTGACTGGAATCATTGTTGCCCTGGACAAAAAGAAGTAAACAAGAATGCCCGGGATCCAGGCGCAGGCTGATAAAACTAGAACACGCGTTTTAGTGAGCATTTCGTGATGTGTGAAAGAGTATTTGATTGTGAGGTATCGTTCTCCGCATATCAAAACCAAGTGACATACTACAGAATGGCAAATTAGGAAGAAGGAGAAGCTAAAAGCCAGATTTACTTCGCAAAATTCGTGAAAACCTTTTCTTTGCAGCATAAAAATTGTCATAACTCCATGCAGAGGTTGAACAACCAACCCAGTCACTAGATCAGTAAGCGCTAAAGATGCCAAAAATATGTTGGAGTGAGTTTGAAGACGTCGTTTGGTTTTGACGGCCAAAATAATCATCGCGTTCAAAAACCAGGTGAACGGACAGGCGGCGATGCTGAGAATAGCCGCTACGATCAGAATACTGTGTGTTAGATCGGAAAAATTGTATCGGAGACGAACTGGAAAAAATAAATGATCACAGCTGTTTTCAAGGCCAACCAAAGAGGACCGATTCATTTTCGCCACACAGCAGAGTGCGTTTTTCGATAATTGTATTCGCTTAAACAAGAACTCTTGCAACTGAAAATCGCAAAGAAAGTGCGTTGCTTTTGAAACAGAGAAGATAAAGAGAAGAAAGAAGTGAAGTGGACGTAAATGCAAATGTTTTTTCTTTTATCAGGGGCGCACCGAAAGTTGAAAAATTGACAAATACTTGTGAAAAAACTTCTGGTGGTTGGTATTCACGAGTTACAACAGAGACGATGAAAAATGTTTCAAATACTTATGACAAAATTTCTCGTGGCTGGAACGATACCAGCCACGAATGTTTTTTTTCACAAGTACCAGATGTTGCCAAAGAAACAAAATTTATTGTGTCGGTGAATGAATTTGCCGACGAAGAACTTGAAGCCAGGAAACTCGGATGTCTCTGTTGTTATTAATGTAATTAACAAATACAGTATCGCGTTAAGCGGAAAGCAATTAGCTGGGAAATGCGGTTTGAACGCATGCCACACCGAGTGGCCTTATGTGGTCGATATTTTGTATTGGTCGCTATTAGAGGGACTAATTACCGCCGGCTCAACTTTCATCTGTCAAAAATCGGCGGTTTCGTTAGTCTGAGGCCATGTAATATGGGTCAATTTTTCCAGCGGATATCTTAAAAACTCCCAAAGTATTAGTAAATGGTGCTTGTATTCCATAAGCAGTACAAGATTGAATAGATATGGTTGTTACACTGAGTACTCGCTAATGATTTATATCCAGCCAGACTGGCTGAAAGCCTTTTCTTATGAGATAAGAAGTAAGCAGTAAAAAAGGCTTTCACCGACTCCATAAATGTTTCTCTCAGAGCTTCTGTAGGTTCAAGAAACTGAAGTGTTTTTTACCCCGCGAAAAGAGGAAAGTCCTTTTGCGACCTCATGTTGTCTTTTTCCAAGCCTCCTTTCGACACTCTCTCGCTGAGAAGGTCATCGGTAAACAGTTCGAACCGAAATAATGGCAATTTAGTGTTTCTCTTTCTGCCATTCAGTCTTTGACTATAGTCATGTGTTTCATCTGCCCACACGGACCTAAATGGCGTACTCTTGATCGACTCTTGATCCAACTTAACAGTCGGTACAAGCTACTGATTATTCTACAGTGATATTTTTGCGTCAAAATCCGGCATTAACTTCAGTCACCTTGAAATTTCCATGGACAATGAATGGCGCAAGCTGCTGATTCTCTCGTCAATCTCGTCCAATGCGAGGTTCTGTGGGTAGTGAAAAGAACTTACTTATGATCTTGAAAGAAATATATGTTATTCACCAGACGGTAGGTCCGTATTGGGAAAAACTGTGCCCGAGGTCTTGGATACGGTACACAAGACAGAGGGCACAGTTTTTCCCAATACGGACTGACCTTGGCTGGTGAATAACATTTTTATTTTTTTCTAAAACCTAACAAATGATTGTAAAAAGAACCGCCTGCTGTGAGCGGAACGGATGAGGAGAATACTGCCCGCTCTCGGAACCAATCAGATTGCAGGATTTGTGGAATACCGCCCGCTCACGAACTGAGAAAAAAAGTAAAATATATAAATATTCAAGAGTAGAATATTCAGGTAGCATTCCATGATTCGAACGAAAGCATATCTTAAATGTAAGGACGTGCGGTGCGTGCTAGGAATGTGAGTGTAATAAAACGAACGCGCGTGGCGAAATTTTGGCCAGTGAGTAGAAGCTATTAGTTTTTTATTCATAACAATGAAAAGTGTTGGGGTCACAGCTCCATAATTGCCGAGTACGGGTTGTGTGGAGCGATGGTACGACACTCGTTACCCCTCCCCCTTCATCTCACGTCTAACTCGGCCCTATGGCTGCTCGGCATGCATAAAAAAGCAAAGCTCATGAAAGATAAAATCAAGGTAGAGACCTCGAAAGAGACTGGGGATGACCTCAGGTCCCACGGTATTGCGTCACTGAGGCAGCGAGCTCAGGAGCACAAAGTCGCAGTCAAGCATCTTCAAGAACAAGAGGCCATGATGATACAGGTGTATAAAAATAAAGAATCGAAGGAAAGGAAGCTTTCCGATAGTGGATCCGAAGGAGAAACCGATTTGGAGGATATGTGATTAGAAATGAAGAAATAACAGTCCTAAAATTAGAATCTTAGAATAACATATCGACTGTGATGTTTAGAGAAATTTTTCGATTGACCGTCATAAAACTAAAAGCAAAGTAGTCTCAGGAGCCAATCATAGCAAGGAAAATGTCAATAGGAGCCAAAGAGGAACTTGAAAACTGTCTGAAGCGCGGGAAAACGCGGGTGATCTAGTCGCGATTGAATCTGATTGGTCAAGAAAGTGGCACGACTTTTTTAGACCAATCACAGAAAATAAAGCAAAACCAAAGCATTGTGGGACTACTTTCAACATTTAATTGAACATTTCTCTATCAAGCCATTCAAGACTAGGCACGAAGTAACAGAATGGCGGGAAAATTGGAAGAAATGGAAAATCTTTCTCGCCAAACCTGAAACCAACAGACAAAAAGCAGAAAAATATTACGACGGACACAAAAGCAGTGTCCCTCCGAGCCTTAACTAACAAAACACAATACATTTAGATTATTGAAAAAGGGTTTTACATCAGTGCTTACAAGAATTAACCATTTGTGCACAATGAAAAAAAGTTATCATTACTAAGTGCAAAGTACGGTAGGATGTTCATGCTTCTAAAAGCCTGTATACAAAATGAAATGAGCTAAAACATTTTTATCTTGTACATAGTTACAATAAAATTAAGTGTTCCCTGAGTCACTGCCACCGACAAAAGTCCATTTCAGGACCACTCTCATGATCACTCGAACGCTAAGATCACACGATAACTAAATTATAGAAGCGTACTTTGTAAATGACGAAGAGCCTGTCCACAGAGAAATGCTGTATGGGAACCTAATGGTATACAGTTTGGAAAATAAAAGCTTAGAGGTGTTTGAGACGAGCATAGCGAACAAAGGGCGAATGTAATTGCTTTTAGCAAGGACCTGCTTCAACGTGTTCAATAAACCAACTGGAGAGTCTTTTTTTTAATATTTCAAAACTAAAATCCTCACAGAAAAAAATTCAGAGAATACTCGTATTTAAGTGCCCAATGCGTCTTAGAAACTTCAATAGCATTTATCTGATATTTGTAAATAAATCGCCTCAAAGTTATTGTATTGTTTTGATTCTCTTCTAAGGACTCATCTGAAAAACGACAAGGAGCATTGTTAAGATAGAAACCAAGGCAGGTCTGAAACTTTTTTTGCTTCCACAAGAGCTCTGCTGAGACTTCAACTTGACCCTAGTACGTATCTGCATTAAACAGGTTATGATAAATTGCAGAGGCTAGGGTTATGACAAACCAAACTCTTCGGTATGTTACAGCCGCCCATTGTAATCTTCTAAGATTTAAAAATCATGTAATGGCTACGTTATATCATCTGAAGTTCCGAGAACTTCGGAAAAACTTTTCGGACATTATCAAATGACCGGTGTTCTTCTTTAATGTTTCGGTTGGCTAATGCTGTTAAAAGCGTTAAAATGAAAGAAAAGCCTTTTAAGTGGTCGGTTTTAAAAAATCAACCACTCTAATAATAGTAACAATTTCCCATATTTTTGGCCGATTGCTTCTCTTTACATCACATGTTTATTGTGAGGAGAAAATTCTCGGATAGTAAGATTTCATACCGTCCTCTTATGTGAGGGTGGACAGACTTCAACCGCTCACTTAGCAATTCGGTTATAAACAAGATTTGAAACGGGCAATTAACTTCATCTTTAGCTCTTTCCAGTCGTTGTAAATGAAACAGCCTAATTATCGTCCTTAATTTTCTCTGTGCCATCTGTCCAACACAGCGGTCAAACGTTTGCGCATGTGCAAACGTCGTACTGGTGGTGGGTGGTGGTGCTTTCAGGCTGTCAGATGTGTCACACGAGTAACAAACAACCACTCAAGCTAGTCACGGTGTTTTGGAGACGTACAACTTTTGGTGAATCAACAGGATACCAGTACTTGAATAATTTTTGTGTTCGAAAAGTCTCGAGTTTTCCTTTTCCCTAGCTCCTTTTAAAAGGATGCGCGGAAAAATTGGCGTGCAGGCGGCTAAAATTGATCCCCTCGCGCATGCCCAACGATTGATCGCTGTGTTCATCTGCCCACACGCGCCTAAATCGCGTACCCTTGATCGACTCTTGATCCAACTGAACACCTGGTACAAGCTAATGGTTATTCTACAGCGATATTTTTGTATCAAAATCCGGCATTAACTTCAGTCAGCTTGAAATTCCCTTAGACAATGAATGGCGCAAGCTTCTGATTCTCTCGTCAATCTCGTCTAATGTGAGGTTCTGTGGGTAATGAAAAGAACTTACTAATGATCTTGAAAGAAAATTAAAGCCAAATATATATCATATAATATATATATATATATATATATATATATATATATATAGATAGATAGATAGATAGATAGATAGATGTGCGAGGAATGAGTGAGTGTAAGAAAACGAACGCGCGTAGCGAAATTTACACGAGTGAGTAGAAGCTATTAGTTTTTTTAATCATAACCATCACAATTTCCTCAAACATGATTAGTGCATTAGCTGCTTTATTTTTCACTAATCATTCTGTAGAGCTGTAATCGAACAGTGTGATCGAACAGTTGACTGTAATCGGACACCTGTAATCGGACAGTTGAAGTAGCCAATCATACTAATTCCACTCAGCCAAATCCACCAATCACAGGTTTAATCACAATAACCATAGCAACAACCACTTATCCTAAAAAAATTGAGGAATTTCCAAAATGGAAAATTTTTTATTTTAGATATTGTCTCTACCAGAGATATTTGACTTAAACGTATTTGTCGTTTTCGGAAATTGTAACAGTTCTGATTAATTGGTAACAGGACTTCTTGTCGTCCAATTCTGTCTTTAATCATACTCGTGATTGACAAATTGACTCCCACTTCGCGGTCGTCCAATTTGTTAATCACTCATATGATTACAGACCGAATTGGACTTCACTCGGTCCTATTACCATAAAAAATAACATTCATGAAAAACTACGCGCGTCTGATTGGCTGAAAACGAGTGCATTTTCATGTAACACAAATGCAAAGTTGTAACACGAGTGCGAATTACAAATAGCGCGCGCTGCCAAAATTTCGTCCGTCTTGACTTTCTGTGATGCGTTTTTCATGCAAATTACCAACAAGTAACAGCATAATACATTCCATATCGTGCAGTTTGGTGTAAATAAGCACTTGTACATTTTTCAAAGACTACAAATTGCACGCGACCGTAGGGCGAGTGCAATTTTGTTATCTTTGAAAAATTGACTCCTGTTCATTAACACCAAACTGCTCTCGCAATCATGTTATTACTTATACTTTATTTGGCAGTTAAAGGTAAAAATGAGGTTACCTGAGTAGAACCAAAGGACAATTCTCCCCCAGAAGAAATGATTCCATCTCTCCCTTTGTCAGGCTGAAATGTTACAACCGAAAAACGCCAGTTTTAATGCTCGAAGTCAACAGTGTAAGATAACTTGGAGAAACAATGAAAGATGATTTTTTGGGGGGTATTGTCACGAGCGTGAGACTAAGGAAAATTTCTTATGCCGTTTCAAGGATCGAAACCCAGAAGTTCGAGTTTCTTTTAAGTTCTCCTTTTCCCTCCCTTCCGTCACGTGGTCTGATCAAAGTAACAGTAAGAGAAAAGGAGTACGAATGTTTACGAGCGGAAGAAATGTAAGGGGAGAGGGAAAGGAATCATAAGTTGGTCGAGAAGTACTGGACCCATTTCTGGATCCTGGTGAAGGTTTAACCTAAAACCCTTGCTCCGAAACCCACCGATAACTTACGTTCTTCCTGAAGTACTCCGGCGAGAGACCTTCCAGGTGCAGTATTCTTTTTTCAAGATCGGAGAGTCTCTCGTAAACGTCTTGTGGTACAGGTCTCTCTATATAGGAACACAAACAAGAGTATAGTATTTTGGTCTTCGAAATGTTGAAATATAAACAAAAAAATTGAGTAACATCCGAAGTATATTTTTAAGAATTTCGTTTTGTAATTGAGACATTATTTAACATAATATTTGTAGCTTAACTCAAGAACGCCTCTCAAAATCAACATAGTTGCTAAAAACCTCCTGGTATATTAAAAACGCTCCTGGAAAATCGCCAATTATCACTGGAGTAATATTCACGAGAAATTTCAAGGAATTACTTCCCAGACTACGATTTCTATTAATATGGGAAATATTTTTCCAAGGGAAAATATCAATTATTTTGCTTCTACCTGAAGCTTGCAATAAAAAACGGATCAAAATTTACGCAAATAATTCTATAATTGCGTCATGTCCATAGCACGTCATAGAACTCTTGTCAATCAAGGAGACTTCAGAAAAAATTTACACCAATCAAAATTTTGGTGATTTCCCTGAGAGGTCCGCATCAAAGTTATAAATTAAAAGCATAGCTCTTTTCTTACATCCCACGATAACCTTGTGAACAATATAGAGTGTTTCAATCTAGACGAGTTAGTATGTCCGGACGCGGAAAAGGCGGAAAAGGTCTCGGCAAAGGAGGTGCTAAGCGTCATCGCAAAATCTTGCGTGATAATATTCAAGGAATCACTAAGCCAGCTATCCGCCGTCTTGCTCGCCGTGGTGGGGTTAAGCGCATCTCTGGATTGATTTACGAAGAAACGCGCGGGGTCCTTAAAGTCTTCCTTGAGAACGTGATTCGTGATGCTGTTACCTATACAGAACATGCCAAAAGGAAGACGGTCACAGCCATGGATGTTGTGTATGCGCTGAAGAGACAAGGCCGTACGCTGTACGGATTCGGCGGCTAGACACGTTAGATTTAACCTCTCTATATCAAAGGCTCCTCTAGGAGCCACCACATCTCTCGAAAGTCGTAACCAATAAAGGTTTCCTGTATGAAATGGTAATCAGTACATAACACTCAATATGTTGCCTGTTATGTCCCCACTCCCAGATTCATCAGATTTCGGATTGAACTAACTTTCGACAAATTGTGACGAATGAGCGCGACGTCAAATGCGAGAAACCGTAGCCTTAATCTGACGAACCCTTTAACTAGCTTTGCCGATCTTTCTTATTTTAAAGCTACTGGCATGCCTTAATTTTGCTTTTGATTAGATCCACATTGGAAAAAACGATGAATAGATAACTGAAACTGCTACAGCAAGCTGATGTCTTCGACCGGCATACATCATTTTGAACACCACATGACAATCGTATCGGATGTTTATGAAATATTCAGACTGAAAGTATTACCTCTTAAGCGTACCAATCACTGTTCGAGATTTTCGATCCGCATACTAATTGATCCGACGATTATTTCGTTTAAATAAAAAGGTCATCTAAGCAAACCTCAATCAAGATCTCTCAAAATGGCACCAAAGGTAGCCGGCAAGAAGGGCGAAAAGCGAGCTGGTAAGGCAAAGAGCGCCGCCGAAGGAGGAAAAGGTAAAAGAACTCGGAAGCGGAAGGAAAGCTATGCCATTTACATTTACAAAGTCCTCAAGCAAGTTCACCCAGACACGGGAATCTCTAGCAAAGCAATGGGCATCATGAACTCTTTCGTGAACGATATTTTTGAACGGATCGCCACAGAAGCTTCAAGACTGGCCCACTATAACAAGAAATCGACCATCAGCTCTCGCGAAATTCAGACCGCAATCAGGCTGCTTCTTCCCGGTGAACTGGCTAAACACGCCGTCAGTGAAGGAACCAAAGCCGTAACTAAGTACACGAGCAGCAAGTAATTTACGAAATCTGTTTGAATTACGTGGGCCTCAAAGTCCAGAAAACCCAGAACGATTCAATAGAATTGTGTTAGCGTGATTGGAGGATTGGAATTGTTATCGATAGTAGCACGAGACTTGATCGAGTTGCCCTCAACAAAGGCGCAAAAAAGTTGACATTTTTATCAATTTTTACGTTCAATTAACACGATAAACTTAAATCATAGTCGGTTTTTATAAGAATTTGACCTGTTATCTCATTTCTCCATTAAATTTTTTTTCATATACGTGCTAGTTCAGATGCCAAATCTTAGCTGATTGATTTCACAGCCTGTCTTTGTCTTTGTGAAGACCCATAGCTTTACTTGTTTTTATTTTCCAGACGGAAGTGAACTGCAGTTTCATATTGTGTTTCAATCAAAGTTAGGATACATGCAATTGTTGTACTAGTCAGACTCTAATAAATTTGATATTCAGATGTTGTCAGACGAACTGAGGTACAATGTTGACCAAGTCATGTTAAAATGATTTAAGTCGACGTGATCAATGTTTCCCAGTAATCAATTATTAAACAAATAAAGTGGGCAGATGGAGTGATTCTGTGAATGTGAGATTCCTGTTTTCATCTGCATGTGTTCAAAACTTTGCCGTGTTCCAAGACAAGCTGTTCAGGATTACTTTAACCCTTTAACTCCCAAGATCTCATTAGTGATTCTCCTAATTATCTCCTATGCAGTTCATGTGATGTTAATTTGGAGAATTTGTTATTGGATCATCTAAAAAAATTCTGTCTTGGTCACCCATGGGAGTTAAGAGTTAAACTTTGTTGTGTTACCAACCAAATTCCAACTAGTGTTGTACCAACTGTTGCAAACACCTGTTACACCCTTAACCTTTTAAATCCCAGATCACATTTTGAATTCTCTTTACTGTCAACCATTCAATTCTTATGATGTTAGTTCCAAGAATTTAGTATTGGATCAACTATACAATTCTTATGATGTTAATTCAGAGAATTTAGAATTGGATCAACTAATTATCCCCAACTTGATATTTTTCTTTATTCCCATTACTTAAGTAGTTGAAATTGTATTGATATTGTGAGGAGAGATTCAGTCTTGGTCACTCATGAGAGTTAAAGGGTCAAATCAGTATCCACATTCTCCATACTCTCATCCATAAATTTAGTTAGGTTCTGACAATGAGAATGTGTGTAACAATCAAAGCTTCTTAAATTAGAGATCATTTCCTTTATTCATATGATCCTAATAAGTGATTCAGTGTTACTATTTTACCAATAAATTAGATGCTGATTACTTTTAGTACTTAGAGGGTTAAGTTGACACCTGAGGAAAGCCTAACCTGGTCTGTATCCGAGGTGGATCTCTATGTTTCTGATGCGCTCCTCTGTGCTGTGGCAAGAACTAACTCCCATGCCAATTTGAGAAGCTACTGGGGTTCTTTGCTTTGAGAACTCAGGTCCAAGTGCTTGTGCCTCACTTGCGCTACTTGTGTTTTCAACCTGTGTCACTGTTAAAGAGACCTTGTCACCAAGGGAAAAAACTGGTGGCTTTCTGGAAGCTAAGAGGCAGGGCTGGGATAGTGGATGTAAAGTCATGGGGACAATTAGAGAAAGAGGATTGCTGAAATTATGCACTTCCCATACGGTCGATAAATACTATGTTCAATCAGTTAATTTTTGGTACAATTTTTTTTTTAGATGCAATCCCCATTGCAAGGTGGACCTTATTCAGAAATCCTCACCTTTTAAAAATCATCATTAAAAGTTGACTGATCTGGTAAAATTTTCTAAAATAAGCATAGAAATACATTAATGAGAAGAGTAGATACAAATTCGTAATCAATCAGCACAACATTTTCTTTAAAAAGAGACTCAAACCCTTCTGAAGACATGTTTCTGGAGCTCTAGTTTTGGGAGAATAATCTTGATCGGTTCATACCTTTAATGTGGCTTTTTTGTCCATGTCTGTGCACAAACACTGCATCAACTCGTGCACAGCTAAATTCTGTAGACATTAAAAAAAAAGAAAAGAAAAAAGGAATTGTCATTTAAGTGTGATACACAGTCAAAATACATTAAAATAAAGTGAAAGCAAATGTTATTAAAAAATAGGAAAATCAAAAATAATTGAAGATATTTTAAAACTCATTAAAAAATTACTTCTCACCAACCATTGTTATTTTCTGTATCAATGATGCTACAAAACTCCCTCTTGTTAAGCAAATCCACCTCCAAACGTTTCCTTTGCATGAAAGCTGAAATTCTCCTATCAATCTAAGTTGGAAAATTTCCATGAAACATTAAAATATTAGATAAACTAATGTTTACATGAAGTGTAATAAAATAGTAAAATGGCAACTGTTTAATTTTTTTTATGTAAAGATTTTAGTGTTCCTTTGAATTTACCTCAGCCTTTGAAGCATTAACTTGAATCAGTGATGTGTCTAATTCTTCGATGTTGTCAGACACTAAAAATAACAATGAAAAAATGTTTAAATGATAAACATCAACGACAAAAAAAAATTTAGTCCATTCCAAATGAAACTGAGATTCAATGGTTTAACCCCAGGGTAACATGTGATATAGTGTAGTCTGATTGTCCAAGTGAGTATAGTCATGAAACTGAAACACTTCATATTGTATAATAAAATTTGCCGCAGCATGTATTGGTTGGTATTGAAGTGATTTAAGTTGTATTGAAACAACTTTGTACATGTATCAAATTGACTTGTATCAGAAGGACTTTGTATTGAAACAGCCAGTCCTCCATGTGACCATTCAGCTCCCTTCTGTTAAGTCTTACACCCATGTATAAGGTATAAATTGTTCCTTTATAAGAAGATCTTTGAATCAGAGTTGTTTTATCCTCTCAAAATTGCTCTTAACTCAATGATAAGAGTACCAGTTTTATCTTCGTGATCATCCTCTATCTTCATTTTCTTAGCCTTGGGACTCATTCCAACTGGGTCAGTTCCTTCATTTTTGTCACAATGGCTCTATGAAAAAACAAACATTAATTAGTGAACCAAGAAATATGCCATAAGACCAATTTTATTTATATCACTTCTTCCTGGGGGTATAAAAGACACAAAAAAGGGTGGAGGAAACACATAATTTGGGATACCAATAACTTCATGGATGGTACATTACAAGAAGAAATACAATAGCCTGGCAGGTGCAGTAAGAGAGATGGGAGAGGAATGCCAGTGCAGCCATCTCCCTTTTTCTCTTAATTTGTGCTCAACCCCTGTCAACACCTGCTAGGTTGGTACTGAGAAATCAACAGGAATTTGAGCTTCCTTAAAATTGGAACTGCAAGCTGTTTCCTTGAAGTGAAAGTAAAAATATGGAAAGGTGACATGACACTTGCTGAAAGGAGGTATTGGGGGGTTTGGAATAAAAGATTTTGCACTAGAATTGGTGAGATGTGTTTCACCACAAGGTACTAAATAGTCAGAGGTAATAGTGGGCAAAATCAGTTGAAGACTTAGTTGAACAATCACGACAAGAAGACTTTAAAATTGCCAACAAAAATGCCACTTGTCTTCACATGTAAATTTTCATGACTGAAAAATATCTTAATTAAAACCTGATTGAAGAAGATACCTTTAACGATTTGATCTCTTCCACGAGTCGTGAAAGATGTCCCAAAACAGTGATCTCATCGGCTACACCCTTCAAAAGTTTTTCCCGGCAGAATGTAAAGTCGACCAGCTCTGCAGGCAGTGACAACTGTTTGAGAAAAAGATTCCGAAATGTTATGCACTTCTCGTCGATGTGTATTTGAAGGAAAATCACCCAGAAAACTTTACCTGTTGAATAAAACTTTCAAACAAACTAAAGAGCTTTATCAAAACATTCTCGCGCTCCATATTTACAATTATGATCGCGTTGAAATTCTCCACAGCGCGTCAAGTTGCCAGGCCACTAAGCAGCATTCAGTAAATTGCGTGGTCGCTAACTTTCCCATGCCTGTTTGTATTTGAATCAAAATGTTCTATCATGTAAGTGTTCACTTCGATCATTGCTTTAAAACCAGCCATGATTAGCGTTAAATTAAGTGAAATGCCCAACTGATTCTTTTTGTGTCTTTAGATCTCACTAGAACACGAAATCTTGCTTCATCCGCGCTACTTTGGGCCGAACTTGCTACAAACAGTGAAGCAGAAATTGTTCACTGAGGTCGAAGGGACTTGTAGCGGAAAGTAAGCAGTTAATTAATTTTTTCTTTTCTTTTTTTTCTCTTTGTGGAAGATTTGAGAACATAATTATATCGCTGGAACTACGCTGTTTCCTTCAAATGCAGTATCCATTTTCACAAAAATCTCGATGTCCAAGAGTTAGACAGTTACTGTAGTTCATAAGTAAAGCACCTCCGCTTGTGCCCAATATTGATGGACAAATAATTCGGTAAATTGTGTATATAGACCACTGAAGTGGAACTATTATCTTCTTAAGGTATGGATTTATCATAGCTGTCACCACAATTGACAACATTGGAGTTGGCCACATCCAACCAGGACGTGGATTTGTTGTGTATCCTGTCAAATACAAGGTTAGCAGAGGTTCATTCCCATTATGGTACATTTCTTTTTCCATTGCAAAACTAATAATAGTATTTTTCTCTGTTCTGATTACTTTATTTGTGTCTTTTCAATGCTCAGTGGAAACGGACTCCAATGAATGATTCATTTACCCTTTGTTGTTACAAATTGTTTTTTTTTACAGGCTATTGTTTTCAGACCATTTAAAGGTGAAGTTCTGGATGCTGTAGTCATGCAAGTAAACAAGGTAGAAAATCTCCAGCAAAGTGCGAAAGAAATTGTCACCTCTGTCATGAACCCTTTAACCCCAAAGAGTGACTAGCATCTAATTTCTCCTTACAATATCACCCCTGAATCATGCAGTAAGGTCATGAGAATAAAGAAAATTATCAGCAGCAAAAGAAGCTGTTGATTGTTACACAAATTCTCCTAGTCAGCACCTTAGGGAATGTATGGGGAACAGTAAGGAGAATAACTTTACTCATGTTAGGGTGTAAAGGGTTCAGTGCCTTCACTGAAATCTCTTTTGGCCAGTCACTCATTTTTTTCCTTCCCTTTGTAGGAGTAGAATTTTACGATAAAATTTAGCCATGATCAAATGATTGATTGCAACAATTTGTCCTTTAACCATTATGCTTTCCTTTTGATCTCTTCTTGTAATTGTTTGAATAATTCTAAATTGCCCTGATCTGATCAGTGACAAATTTTCATCACTATATTTATTTCAGGTTGGGTTGTTCACTGAGATAGGACCTCTTTCATGCTTTGTGTCACGCCATGTAAGTATTTTTCAAGATTGACTGCTTTGTGGAAGGTAACCTTGTACATGTTTTAACTAAGTGCAGTAATAAAAAAATGAATCAGAAATGTTTATTCAGGAATAAAAGCTGTTAAAGTGTGCGTAACAAAGTGATTGACTTGGTCTGGGTTGAAAACCTGGCCAGGTCATCGTGTTGTGTTCCTGGGCAAAACATTTTACTCTAACAGAGCTTCTCTTCAACCAGGAGTATAAATGGCTAACTGTCAAGAAAGCCCTATGAAATGCTTGGGGGAGGGTGGGTAACCTTGCAATGGACAAGCATCCCATCCAGGGGGGAGTAGTGATACTCCTAGTCACTTCATGCTACAGGGAAACTGGGATAAGTTCTGCCTGGCTGGGCCACTAGGCTTAAGTACAGATGTATTTTGTTGAGTGTAATTTGTTAAATTCTTAGTTTTGGTGGCCATTCAACTTTGTTGGAATGATAGTCATTTACAGTATTCAATTCCTCTTCTCCTCAGATCCCCTCCAGGATAAGGTAATTGGGTATTATCAACTGAGTTGATAGCATAAATTGGCCACTGCTAAGAGTTTCAGAGCTGACGTTTGGTGGGGTTGGCTGTTTGTCAGAGTGAATGATGCAGGGCTAATGCTCAAAACCTCAGCTTTGAAACTCTTGATGGTGGCCAATTTACATTATCAACTTAGTTGATAATACCCATTACCTTGTTCTGTCACAGTTTCTTCAGAAATGTACCCTCCTTCTATGGTAGCTTGATTTATACTTTGAGGCATAAAAATGTTGGTGTTTTTATTTGTATGCTACTGTCTGACTAGTATTTATATATATTTGCTTTTAAGTCAATCCCATCAGATATGGATTTTGATCCAAACTCTAACCCACCATGTTATAAAACAAGAGATGAGGTATGGTGTTGAAAGTTTACTGGAACTTGTTTGTTTGTGTCAGGTGTAACTGAAAACAGTGTATTACATGTAATGGTAATGTAATTATATTGAACATGTGAAACAGCAAGTAAGGTGTACTTCCAGGGAAAGAAAATTGTCAGAACTCCCTCTTGCTAAATGTTACTAGTGGGTTAACCCTCTCACTGCCTTTCATGAGTAATTTCCTTACTGTCTGCCATACAACTGTTATGATGGAAATTAGAGAATTTGGTATAGGATCAACTAATAATCCCTTAATTTAAACTTTTCTTTATTCTCAATACTTGTCCACATGATATTGTATCAATATTGTAAGGAGAAATTCTATCTTGGTCATATGTGGGAGTTAAAGGGTTATCTTGATCATGACAGAAGACTCAAACACCTTTTACTTATCTGGATCTGAAGAAATAGTTGTACATCGTTGATGGCTAAGTAAACAAGTTTTTGAATGATTGAATGGTCAATTAAAAGTTGATAACTTTAAGTAATTCTTTCTGTATAGTTAAAGCTTGAAATCTGCCATAACAGCTCATTTAATTGTTTTTTCTACTTTTAACACCTGTTTCTGTTCATAGGACAATGTGATTCAACAGGATGATGAAATTCGTCTCAGAATTGTAGGAACCAGGGTTGACGCTAATGACATTGTGAGTTTTGTGATTCCATGTGTTTAGTAGATCGTTGTTCTTTAAGCGTCAACTTCTTCACATCAATTTGCTACTTCTTCATACTATCTTCTTTGGAACTTGCAAGTAGAACTTGTCAAATAGTCAAGACCTTCTTGAGTTTGTGATCATTTCCTTTATTCTCATGACCTAAATGCATGATTCAGGGACGATACTGTCAAGAGAAATTAGATGTTCATCACTTTTATGGGTTAAAGGGTTGAATGTGCCTTTGCGAACCCCTTGGAGTGCACTGGTAATTTGTGCAGGAAAATTTTTAATTCCAGTGTGGTTATCTTGTGGCTCTCAAGGGGAGGACTTGAAATGCCTCTTGCTTTGAGAGGAATTGTAAAACCATCATTATGTGTACAGTAATGTCCTTAGAAAGTTCTCTAATTTCTTTAAAAGTAATGTCTGGTTGTTTTGATTTTCAGTTTGCTATTGGTTCACTGATGGATGATTATCTTGGTAAGTGTTGTTGTCTTTTTCTTGAGCCCCATATAAATAATCTGTGTTGTTATGGAATAAATGATGGTGTTGGCAAAAATGTCTTCATGTGGCCAAGATTCTAAGTGTTTCTCCTCTGATCAAGAAAGCCTACTGATATTTATCACCTTCCCTTTCTACAGGTCTTGTCAGTTGATAAAGCTGAACGTTTCTCTCAGTTTTCATTGCCTTTGGAGTTATTGTTCAGTACAAGGGAGACATTGATCAATCAATCAAGATTTTGAGTGAACCTTTCAGATTTATCTAACAAGAGATCTTCAAAGTGTTTATGGATACCACACTGTACATAATTATGTATTAATAACACAGGCAAAGGAAGAGTTTTCATGGGTTCTCATTGTGTTGCATTTGTTGAACTTTTTTACAGAAATAATGGTAGTGTAGCTTTTGTTTTTGTGGCAAAACTTATAGTTTTTAAAATTCATATGGTGAATGGGCTTGTGCTACTAAATACTTTGATACTAGAAATGCAGCTTGTATAGAACACTATGAGATTGCTAGGTATCGTTTGGTACATTAAACCTCTTTTATTTGTTTTACAAAGTTTTGTACATTTTTACATGAAAAACATAAAGTACAAATATATATATATTCCAAACACTATTTACATCAGCGAACTCCTCATGGATGACATGGATCATTTATTCATTTTCATAAAGTGTTTTCTTTTCTTGATTTTTGTTCATGTGTAGCTGTCATCATTGCAAAATTTTGGTTTTGTTTTTCTCTTTTAAGCTTAGTGGTAAATCCAGTCCTTGAGCTAAATTTCGATACCATTAACCTTTCATTTCCAAGATCTTGTTAGTAATTCCCTTTACTCTGCCATACAACTCTTATAATGTTAGGTCAGAGAATTTGGTATTGAATTAACTAATAGTCCCTGATCAATATTTTCTTCATTCTCATCTCTTGTCTGGTTGATATTGTAAGGAGAAATTCTGTCTTGGTCACTCGAGAGTTTAAGGGGTAACATTAAAATCATTCCAGCTTAAAGGGTAGATCTTCTTTCACACAGACTGTATATATATAAACTGTTTCAATATTCCTCTATATTCTAGTGAATAGCAAACACATTTGTAAAAGGATTTGAAATCAGAGGGTTGCCTGTGCGCAAAGGCTTAGGGACCAAAGTCACACCAATGTGCTCTTCCTCTGTGCTCCTTTGGGAGGTTTGGGTTCAGCCACCATTACTTTCATTGGCATACCACCAACAACCTGAAGAAAAAAATTGTTTCGAAGAATCTATGCAAGATATTAAAAGAAATTACATAATCCATACCTTGAGGAAAAAAGAAAGGAAAGCTGTTGTTATAATATCAATACTGAACTACACGACGTGAAAGAAGAAAAAAAAAAAACAAGAAACAAACAAAATGGAGAAATCCCCAGTTCATGATAAGACATTTCCCCTTTGTATCCTAACACAGAAAGGAAGGTTTCTTGGCTGGAAAACATAAACCAGCTGAGGACTCGAGCTGCAAAAAGTCAAGCCATTGTGGAATTCTTGAATTGTAACTCCCATCCTACCTCCCAAAAATCTCCATGTGTTAGCCATCCATTAACAACCCTAACTTTTAAGATGGTAACAGAAAAGTTTGTGCAGAAGATTTTTGCAGAATTTGCTGAAAATTTAGATAAAATGACTCCACACCCACCCTTAACAAATCTCCTTGAAGGGAATTCAAAGTAACTACCATAATAAGCTTCTGAACTGGACCCATTAATTTGCTTACCTTTCTATGCAGCTGTTTTATGGCTCTTTCCGCACATGCACTATCCACGTACTGGATAAAGGCACAACCCTGAGAGAGAGACCATGCAGGAACAAAATTATCAACCACAAAATAATGCATTGATTGATTGGTTGGTTTATTCAATGAAAAAAAAATCAATCTAAAGAATGAGGTGCAGAAATTAGGGACTGTATGCTTTTCCATTGAGTGTTGCAAAAAAGCAAACCAAAGTAATATGATTGACTGGGCCAATCAGAACAAAGGGACATATCACATGGAGCCAATGAGAAAAGTAAAGGCAAACAAACCACCTGAAGGGTGCAAGAACATGAGAGACCAATTACAAGTCACATTTGGCTAAAGTTTTGCTTCTGATTGGTTAGGTGGATGATGCAACTATTTGAACCAATCACTGCCCATAGCACTGGCTCTAGAAAGTTCCAAATGAAGGAAAAAGGATGAAGGGACAAAAACAAAAATAGGCTGACAAAATAACAATGAAAGCAAACAATGATGTTAAGGAAAAACCACAATATAAGGTGATAAGACACAATGCAAAACCAGAGAGGAGAGTGGTAAGGCTTCTTTGAGTACAAGAAAAAAAAATACTCGAGAGAAGGGGAAGAAAACACATGAGGATAAGAGGCTGTCTGAAATAGAAAAAAGAAAATGAAGGAAAATAAATCTACCTTGGAAAATCCATTGACATCAGTAATAAGTTTAACTTCCACAGTTCCAAACACTTTGAATTCATTGAGCAGTTGTGCCTCAGTTAGGTGTTTAGTGCATACTACATACAGACGACTGTTATCTGTTTCGTAATGAATGCCAAATACTCCAAGGTGACCTTGGACACCACAACTGCGGAGCTTTGAACAAACCGATTTTATCTGTCAAAAAAGCAATGCAAACAAAATTGCACTGATTTAAACAAGCCGTTGAAAGCTGTTTCTCACTACATTTGCTCTGTATGACTTTTTGGCTCTGGATGCTCTCAGAGTGCATTTGTTTCCCACTCATACTGCCAGTGTAAAATTTACTCCCACAAAAATACGTCCCCCCCCCCAATAAAAAATATTTCAAGCATATTCGAAGTCAGTTCCTTCAACTCTGTCCTCAAGCTTTTCTTTACTACTTGGAGGAAAAACAGCAAGAACCCTGAGAACGAACTACGATGCTACAATGCTACCATCCCCTACCAGGAGTTGTAGTATAAGAAAAAGAAAATTAATGACGTTGAATCATACATCAAATAACTTACCAGTGCAACTTTTTGGTCATGAGTGAGCCACTGAATGACTTGTTTTTTATGTTCATCAGTGTTACACCTGTAAATTAAAAAATAAATGTATATATATATATGTTATTATTATTATAATTATTATTGTTTATAACAATGATTCAATTATAACTTTATCTGGCTAATTGTTTGGCAAAAGCGAGAACTGTTATGTAGTCTGGGCCTTTAAAGTCCTTTTTATTTCACAGCTACTGCCTACTCATATCCACTTGCAAGGTACTGAACAAAAACATGGAAAGAACAGTGTAAAAGATTTACCTAAAATTTAAATAAAACAAATTATGGTCAACATGATACCTTGTCCTCTCACAGGTAACCTCAAACTCTCCAGACAAATGCTTCCCTGTATCTTCAATTTCTTTATTGTTTTCCAGACGAGTTTTTGCGTAAGTTGGATCTTGTCCTATTTCAGGCAGAATTGAAGATGTTTTGTTATTTACTTCCAAATTAATTTGGTATGAACATTCACTTGAAACAGCTTCATTTCCACCCTCAAAGGCATCTGTATTTATGCCATGGCTGATCACTGATTCTTTGCACAGAGCTGCAATTCTGGTCTCCGTTTGTGCTAATTCAATTTTGTTTTTGTCCAAACCATCGTCAGTCTTAAATTGATCCCCTGATAATGAATTGCATTCCGTGTCAAACTGAAAGGAGTACAGTGGAAGAGGATTCCGAACTAATTTCTCAATTTTCTGAATTTTTCTCGGTGTTTCTTGGTCCCATCTTGCGGTGCATCTCTTCAATAATGTCCTGCAAGAGAGTTTGTTGAACAATAAATTCAGACAGGCCTGAGATCACGAGATATAAAAGAAACAAGAACAGGTTTCTTAGTAAACAATGATCTGAACACCTTGAGGCACCGCACAAAATACGTAGAGGGGTGTAAAAACTATTAGCTCAACACGATCCTTCCATAAAAGCCTCAGATATCTTCCTGAAAAATCTCATAAGCATAACCCTTAACTTGCATCATTCAGTGGGGGATCTAGGGGAGGGGCCCAAGGGACCCAGGCTTCCCCCTTATTTTGGGTTAAAAAAAAAAAATAATTAAAAAAAAAAAAAAAAAAAAAAAGACTTGAAGAATTTTATCAACTCAGTTGATAAAAACAAATGATCTCTCTTCATCAGCCTGTCTGTCTGTCTCTGCCTGCCTGCCTTTCCATTCATCTGTCAGTCTATTTAGTCCACCTCTACCTGTCTGCCTTTCATTTCATTTTTTCCAACCATTTACTATAAACTTCTGCTCCTTTTCCTTCCTTTCATTCAGTTTCCCATCATATTGCTTACTTTGGTACAAGGTCCTCCTTTTCTGAAAACACTCTATCAGAAACAATGTTCCCTTTTGTTTTTGTGGTTGTCCTATGCAAAGACACCTATGGAAAAAACACCGCCTGATCAATTATAGCAAGCTATCCTCTGGGAAAGTATGGAACAATACTAATGATGATCTTCTGCTAAATCAATCCAGATAAAAAATTCTAAAGGAAATCTTCCACATCTTTAACCCTTTAACTCCTATGAGAAACCAAGATGGAATTTCTCCTTACAATATTAATACAACAATATCAAGCAAACAAGTGATGAGAATAAAGAAAAATGTAAATGGGGGGATTATCAGTTGATCCAATACCAAATTCTCCAAACTAATATCATAAGAATTGTATGGCAGACAGTATAGGGAGAATTACTAATAAGATCTTGGGATTGAAAGGGTTAATTTAAATTTAAAATGGAATAAGACTGAGACAGTGCAGAGAAGACTACTGGTTACTGCAAACTAGTCAAGACAAAATACTGAACCTTCAATTGGTAGATTATTGTTCCTGCCTCATGTAAACAGCATGCTATTGTAAAAAAAAAAGAAGTAGTATATACATCTCTTACCTTTTCACACTGTTTTAAGCCTGGTTTGGTTCCTAAGGAATCTTTAGTATTTGACAAGACTTCATTCCTCTTTTCTTGGCCCCAACCCAACTGCATACAATGGCCATAAATTTCAAATTCCTGCATGCTGTTGGCAACAAATGCAGTCACATCAAAAATGTTCTACCTATTTTTCAACCTTCCATACAGGGTTAATTTTGGGGGATATTTATTTTATACATCCAGTAGATCTCAAGAATTTTTTTCTACACAAGCTGTTTGAAATAACAAAAAGTCTTTTCCAATGTCAGTTATAATTACCATCCCTGGTGCTTTCAACAAATATCAATGTTTAGTTAAAACAGTTGACTACGTTGAAGATGGTTCAGAACACAATTTTGCCAAATAATGGCAAAAATCTTTTGATAAAAGTAGGCCTTAAAAGTGTGCCTATTATTGTGGATAAATTCATTAACCCTTTAACTCCCAGATCAAATTTGTAATTCTCCTTACTGTCAACCATACAATTATTATAATGTTAGTTAAGAATTTAGTATCAGATCAACTAATCATCCCCAAATTGATATTTTTCTTTATTCTACACACTTAATATCTGGTTGATATTGTATTGATATTTTAAGGAGAAATTTTATCTTGGTCACACATGGGAGTTAAACGGTTAACCCCTAAGAGTGATAAACATCTAATTTCTTCCAATAGCCTAAGGCTATGAAAATTAATTAAATGATATCAAACTCATAAAGCTCTTGATTGTTAAATAAATTCTCTTGGTCAGCATCATAGAAAATGTATAGAGAACAGTATAGAGAACTTGTACACTGATGTTCGGGTGTTAAGGGTTAAAAAGTATAAATTCACTATCAACGATGTTAATAGTTTTGCTGGTGTTTCAATGAAATAATTTTCCAACCAAAGATATAAAACTTACCATATCATGGCCAGTTCGGCAGATCTTCTACAAGGTAATGTCACAAATCCATAGCCTTTTGACAGATTTCTGCTAACATCCACAACAACATGGGCCTAAAAGAAGATCAGTGGAAAAGGAGAACTAAACAGGCAAGTATAGTTACATGGTGTTTAATCCTTTAACTCCCATGAGTGACCAAGACAGAATTTCTCCTTACAATATCAATACAATATCAACCAGATAAGTCATGAGAATAAAGAAAATTATCAATCTTGGGATAATTAGTTGATCCAATACTAAATTCTCTGAACTAAAATTATGAGAATTACATAGTTGACAGTAAGGAGAATTACAAAATTGATCTGGGAGTTAAAGGGTTAATTGTTTTTGAACAAAGACTCCTTTAGAAGGAAGGGCATAAATGAGGTTTTGGTGGAACACCCAACCTGTTCAAAAAAGTGAGGTAAAAATATCTTTGAGGCAAGAAAAAATCCTCCCTCTGCTCTCTGAGAAACCCAGAAAGGTATTTATCATTGAGCTTTATAACAGGAACTTTTTTGCCCAAAACAGAGCTCTACCTTCATCTTCTTTTCATCTCCTTCTTTCAAACAGAATGCTTTAAAAGCAGTGTGCAGAACTTCTGATACAACCCCATGGTGCAGGCCTCCCACAAAAATATTACAGTTGTTAGGAGAAGCAGTCAATGTCTTCCACAGGGCGACATCTTTTTCACTGGATAAGTAAGTATGGTCTTGAGCGATACTGTCAAGGCCAAGTGAATTACTGGAGGCAAGACTCTTGTGTTCCTGTTTTAGGGGCAGAAGGAAACAAAGACAGAAAAAAGCAAGGCAAAAAAGGCAAATTGTCATTTGGCACCATTCAGATCAGTAAAAGATGGGATAAAGGACTTTTAAATAATTATTTAACTACTGTATACTATACATGATAGAAATTGAACCTGTCAGTGTAAGGGATTCATGCTGGTTTGACTCTTTGGACAACATGTACCTCCCACATAATGGTTTGGAACTTTCTTGAAAAAATTACCTCAGACGACAAGCAATGTTACATAGTTACAAAGCCTGACTATCATCTACCTCACATTTGCAAATGTCATTCTAGTGACATTATTATATAGTAATCACTGTAAAAAATACAATCAAAATGTGAGATCTTCGGAATGGCATTATTGTCATGGTACTTTACATTCATTTCATCCAATCCAAATGACACAAAAGGAAGAGGTGGAGGTTGGAAATTTTCTTGATGTGGCATCTGGTTGACATAACTCAACATCTTTTGGACAGAAACCTCTTGTTCCTCTGATGACACTAAAGATGGTCAGGATTGTTATGAAATGAATTAATTAAAATATCTATTAAAATTGTATAACAATAAATTAAGACAGAAAATGACTTGAAACTGGGCCTATTAGTTGATAGTATCATGTGATTCCTCTGTTGAGGATAGAACTTAAACAGATTATTGTTGGTGAGAAAGGTTGATTTCTGATGATCGATGGTAAGGCAACATCAGAGTCAAGGAAAGAGTTGTCTGCCTTTTAATCGGACTGAGAAAAAAAGAAAAAAGAAAAAAGAAAAAAGAAAAAAAAACTGACCACACAATTTCCAGGCACAAACTTAAGCGATACCGTGCAGCCAAGAAAGTTTCCTTTCCCTATCTCCAATGATGAATTAGGCTAACTACACCAAAATTTTGTTAATCCTTTAACTCCCAGATCAAATTTGTCATTCTCCTCACTGTCAACCACACAATTCTTACAGTGTTAGTTCAGAGAATTTATTATTGGATCACCTAATTATCCCCAAATTGATATTTTTCTCTATTCTCATCACTTATCTGGTTGATATTGTATTGATATTGTAAGGAGAAATTCTGTCTTGGTCACTCATGGGAGTTAAAGGGTTAACTGTCACTAACAAAAATCAGGACTTCCCTTCCTCCTACAATCATACAACACAATTGAATGATTTCACAAGGATTGTATACTTCATGCCAGTGTCATGATGGCGCCAAGGCAAAAAAAAACAATGATCCATGAACTGGGGAGGTTGAACTCAGGGATAACAGGAGCACAAGCAGGGTGGGGTGGGGTGGGGTGAGGTATAGAGTCAAAAACCTCTCTCCTCCAGAGGCTTAAAAAAAAAATAAAAAGTTGCTGAATATTCATTGATTTGTGCCTGTCCTCATTCTGTGTGGCAGATATCTCCTTGTAAGCTTCTGTGAAGAGGAGAGGCTATTGAAAGTGATACTTCTTCTACAAAAAGTGTCCAAAATCCTTTCAAAAATGGGACAAATACCCCATAAGTCCTTCCCTGAAACTCAAACATCATACTAACTCTTACCTTCAAGTTGCTTTGCTTTTCTTAAGATTGTCACTGGAGCCTTTATTCTCTCCAGTTTCCTTCTTTTTGCTCTTGTTATTTCTGCTGGTTTCTTTACATATTTTCTGTGACTTGGGTGTGGTTGACTCTTCTTGCCTTGCTGAGTGTTTTGGTGACACCTCTCTGAGCTTGAACACCCAACTAAATTTTATACAAAAGTGAGAAAACAAAGCAGTCACAAGGCAATAATAATCTATTTGACTGACTAACTGACTGACTGGCTGGCTGACTAGCTGACTGATTAGCTGACAGACTGGCTAACTGACCAGCTGACTGATTGGCTGGATGACTGGCTGAATAACTGGCTGGTTGATTAACTGACTGATTGGCTGGCTGACTTGCTGACTGACCCACTGACTGACATACTGATGCACTGAGTATTGATAGACTGACAGACTGACTGACCGATCCAGGACTGTCTGACTAACTGACCAGCCAAGTGATTGACTGAGTGAATGATTAACTGGCTTATTAATTAAAGAGGATAAGTAGGAGAGGGGAACATCTATCAGATATCGAACTGGAAATAACCACCTTACCACTGAGTTTCTCATCTGCCCCCAAAAGAAGCAAAACTTCAATGGCGTCTTCAAATAGCTCATGTACAACAGGATCATTTTGAGTATCAGATATTTCTTCGTCCTCCACACTGATGCATGGTGGCGTCTGCATTCTTGGTTAAATCACAGAGCACATTCGAAATACGTATTTTGGTTTATCCAACCCTCAATCGAAAATAAGATTCTTGATGGTGCCTGTAATTTCTAGTTTTTGAGCGAGCATTTCCTCTAGGGCAACAGATCTAAAATAATAAATACTCTAGAGTGAAACATCGAAACGTGTTGATGACCATATCTAAAATCTTTCGCAAATATAATCACTCCAGAAGAATTATAAACACTTCAAACAGGCGAACCGCCATGACCTACTACGACAATATCTTTAAGCAGCGGATTCCTTACAAGGGATTACTATGTCGTGTATTTCCTTTTGCAGTATCCCCGAACACATGACCAAGAAACCCAACATGGCGGATGAGTAGCGCGGCGGCCTCTTTTTGCCAAACGGTTCCTCTGACAGTGGCAATTATTTGATGCTGTAAATTTATTTAATGGTCATAATGGCTTTGACTAGCCGTTTACTACGGTGTCAATCACTCATGGGATTTCGCGCGCTAATCAATCCTAGATTTACTGGTATCTTATCTGCACGTCAGGTCAGTATGATAATAATACTTATCCAAAAACTTGAGGAGAGGAAGAAACGCGATATTCTTTTTTTAGTGAAATTGAGATTGTATTTGATAGCATTATGACCCGAATTGAGATTTAAAGTGGCTTTCAGTTCATTTTATGAAATCAGCTTGTTTTATATAAGAAAGAAGCAAATAATTGTTGATGGTGATGTCATGCAGATTGCTCTCCAATTTTTCGGTTAATGCAAGGACTAAGTTTCTTATCGTTATTTTATGGTAATTTTTCCACCCTTGGGTATCCACTACATATAAAAATTCCATCCTTGGGGACCAATCATGTTGTGTACCAATTTCAACAAACAAATTCTGACAAGTGACTTCCAAGATGATAGATGACTCTCATTTATAGTTTCACTTGGGTTTCCAATATGGAGGCCAGGTCAAATTCCTAACCTTGAGGCAGTGCTGAAATGTCAAAATCTGAACTAAAGGAGGGGGGATCCTCTCAGTCAATATTCCATGGGTAGCCTGCCCCTCCCCCATTTCAAGGAAAACCCATGATAGGTGCACTATACTAATAACAATAGTGGAAGGGGGTTCATACCATTTACACATGTCATCTGGTTGAAGTTTTTTACGCAAACATTTTATCAGTGCACCTGGCTTTACCCTGGTGAAAATCTTTCAAGGATCTTTAAGGATCTTACAAGATCTTCATGAGGACCTTTGAGGATCCTCTTGAGGATCTTCATGAGGATCTTCAAAATTCTTGTTAAGATCTTCAAGGATCCTTCATTTTCTTGCCAAGATCTTCAAGGATCCTTCATTTTCTTGCCAAGATCTTCAAGGATCCTTCATTTTCTTGCCAAGATCTTCAAGGATCCTTCATTTTCTTGCCAAGATCTTCAAGGATCTTTGATTTTCTTGCCAAGATCTTCAAGGATCCTTCATTTTCTTGCCAAGATCTTCAAGGATCTTTGATTTTCTTGCCAAGATCTTCAAGGATCTTTGACTTTCTTGCCAGGATCTTTAAGGATCTTTCATTTTCCTGTCAAGATCCTTGAAGATCTTGTCTGGATCTTCAAAGATCTTTACATGAACTTTGAAGATTCTTTAAAGATCTTTGAAAATTCTTTGAGGATCTTCCAAATTCTTGTTAAGATCTTTCAGGATCTCTCATTTTCTTGCCAAGATCTTCAAGGATCTTGTTGAAAATTTTGAAGATCCTTAAAGATCTTGGAAAGAAAATAAAAGATCCTTAAAGATCTTGGCAAGAAATTGAAAGATCTTTGAAGATCCTGGCAAAAAAAAAAGAAAGATCCTTGAAGATTTTGACGGCCAAATTAAAGATCTTTGCAAGAAATTTGAAGATCCTTAAAGATCTTGACAAGAATGTCAGGAATCCTTGAAGATCCTGGCAAGGAAATGGAAGATCGTTGAAGATCTTAGCAAGAATGTTATAGAACCTTCGAACTTTTGACAAGAAAATAAGCATACTTAAATCCTCATACTAAGTTAAAAAGAAAAATTGAACCAAACATAAAAAAAATGAAGATAAAACTTTTTATTGCTAAACAAGAATTACCCATCCTTTTCTAGTAAGACTACTTCTACACTATTTCTGTTCAGATTTTAGGTTAGTACTAAGATTTTCATTTTCCAAAAAATCTGGCAACAGTCCAGCTCAAAGGTAAAAAGACCAAAATATATGTGTTAAACTTGTCTAGGACTAGACTATGACCAGACTAAGACTACTCTTACAGAGGGGGTAAACATGAAAAAAAAAAAAAGGCAAACAAGAGTACTTCAATGACTATATTTCTGAACCATATTAACCTATATACCAAAGGAAAGCTTAGGAATCACACATACTGAATATAACTAATATGTTGCCCTAAACTAATTTGTTATTTGACATCAGATCAATTTGTCCACCACATGGTGTGAAAAACCTAAGTATACTTGAGAAAAGATAACTGCACAAAGATTGCATGAAATCAAGTGTTTTTTGTGTCAAAACAAAGTACTAGGGCCGTTCTTTTGGATGAGCTAAGGAACTTTTGGAGTCGTTTATATTATGGGCACAGTGCCCGTTCAAAGTTCACCGAGATTATTAGGTGAGTTATTCCACAATATCTTACTTAAAATTCAGCTTATGGAGAAACTGTCGGCTTATCCAACTCAACTCAGTAAGAGGATACAGCCCTGAAAACTTCAGATTAATTGAACTAATACATCCTGAGGTACAAAATAAGTGTTTTCGGGAATTCATATGACAACCTCTAAAAGAGCTTTTTAGGTTGTTACACAGAACCAAGTAAATTCACACCTTCTTCAGAAACATGTCCTTCAGTGAGCGTCGAGGAGAATCTCTCTAGATCGATAAGCCTTTATCCTTGTCCCTGTAACACATCATTTGCATCCTCACTCTCCAAGAGCTCAGAGCAAGAATCATTAGGCGAGGATGGCAGAAAACGCCTTTCCTTTACTTTTATTTCTGTGTACATTTTCCCCTTAGTTCCGACCATTGTCGATGATATTTGCCGTAACAACGAGCTTCTTATGTTTTTATGCGACCGTTAAAAATCTCGGCGCGTATAAATTCCTATCCCATAATGCAAAACCCTATTTACTGTCATGTAAGTTGTCACAAAGTTTCCCTAAAGCCTCAAGCATGGCGTTGCTATGCGTTAACCTTCATTACACTTATTGCACAATAATTTTCTGCGAAAATTCCTTGTTGTGTTTAAATTATCCATATCAGATTAAAAAAGGATCGTTGCAAAGAGCTGTACAAAATCATGAAATGAATCTTTTAAAGATATTTGGAAGATCCTTTTCAATTCCTTGAGGATCTTGAAGGATTGTAGAACAGATTGTGCAAAGATCTTGACTAGAATTCTTAAGGATCTTAGCAAAGATCTTAGCAGGATCCCTGACAGGTTCTTTTGAAGGTCTTTAAAAGATCCTCATTAAATCCTTGAGGATCCTGAAGGATCCTTGAAAAGATCCTGCAAAGATCTTGACTTAAGGATCCTTTAAGATCCTGATCAAATTCCTAAGGATCCTGGCAAAGATCTCTACAGGATCCTTGAAAGGATCTTTTGTAGGTCTTTAAAAGATCCTCATTAAATCCTTGAGGATCTTGAAGGATCCTTGAAAAGATCTTGCAAAGATCTTGAGTAGGATCCTTGTAAGATCCTGATCAAATCCTTAAGGATCCTTGCAAAGATCTTAATAGGATCCTGGAAAGGATCTTTGGAAGGTCTTTAAAAGATCCTCATTAAATCCTTGAGGATCTTGAAAGATCCTCAAAAAGATCCTGCAAAGATCTTGACTAGGATCCTTGCAAGATCCTGATTAAATCCTTAAGGATCCTTACAAAGATCTTGAAAGGATCCTTGAAAGGATCTTTTGAGGGTCTTTGAAAGATCCTTGATAAATCCTTGAGGATCTTGAAGGATCCTTGAAAAGAACTTTGCGAGGATCCTTATGAGGATCTTTGTAATATCCTTTGAGGATCTTTATCAAATCCTTGAGGATCTTAACAAATGTTTTTGCTTACAAAGATCTTTGAGGATCTTTTACAGATCCTTTAAAGATCTTTTAAAGATCCTTGTCCTTAAGGATCTTTGGCAGGTCTTTGTCAATCCTTGAAGATCCTCAAAGATCCTGTGAGGTTTTTCACCAGGGTAGAGAAGCAGGTAGAGAGTTATGAGTTACCTAAATCCACCAAAGACAATGAACGGATTACAAGTGTATCCTTGGGATCAGTCGCCCATAAATTTCTAAATGCTCCTAAAAAATGAAAGTGAACCATTTTCTTTTCCTTTTGGATATTTCTGTGTAATTGGCAAGTGTCTCAGGAAAGCTTGCGCAGTTATGCAGGTCAGGTTTGTATACATACTAAAAAGATTGCACTACTTTCTAGTTACCATCAACTCAATGGTATCATTGTGGAAGAGCTCTTGCACCTCTGCCTAAGCCAGAACCCTTGGATATAGAAGACCTACCTTGCTATGGTATGATTGCACTCTTAATGATGAACGTGAAAAAATTATGCGTTTCTGACTGATTGAAAATAAGTGCATTCTCATGTAACGTGAGTGCAAAGTTATAACATGAGTGCAAATTACAAATAGCACATGCATGCTTTCAAAATTTCTTCTGCCTTGACTTTCTGTGATGTTTTTTCATGTACATTATTAATAAGTAATTAAATGACTTCTCTTTCAATGTGGTGTAATAAGCACTTGTAAATTTTTCAAAGACTACTAATTGTACTTGCTCAATGGGCTTGTGAATTTTTTTGTCTTGGAAAAATTTACTTGTGCCTATTTACACCAAATTACACTTGAAATCATGTAATTACCTATTCATATATGTACACATTGGTTGTAATTTTAACATCTGAAGATGATTTACCTTATTCACTCCCAGCAGTGACCATCATGGAGTTTCACCATGCATTTTTTCTGGCCCAGAAGTAAATAAATATTGTGGAGACATTTGAATTTGAATTAGTGAGTTTTAATTGGCTTAATCTCCCACCTACAAAAGAGCAACAAACTTGGTGGCCATTAACAATTTGAATTAGGAGTGCTGGCTCACCCCACAGGACACCCAAAGCTAATAACACACCAATGTTTATGATGTACTTCCGCACTTTTTAAATTCACATTTCAGTGTTTACATTCACACCTTCTACAACTTGTAAACTTGGGTTGTAACAAAGAAGAGCGAATCTTAATCTCTGCTGAATTTTTGGTGTTCATGCAGGTGACTTCAGTCCAAGTGTTTGCAAGTTTATTGCAACAAGAGACTATGAAAACCACAACTCAGGGATACTAGCTTGGGTCACATCCTTCACTTCAGAGAATCCTCTGGGATTGGTGGAGTTGAATGAATTTGTTTTTGGAGCCAATCCAAGGTATATTTAATTTTTTCACACAAACACCTTCAAATGTGATATTTTGGGTATGAAATTTTTTTCACTTAGTTCTATATTTGCACACAAAGTTGGCTATAAATGGGAAAATTCCTGTTGTTGTTCATCCAACTAATCTGAAACTTTTTCAGCCACCTGGCGTTTTAAAAATTACAATTGATTTTTAAAATGGAGTTTAGTGTTTATGGATATTTAGCAACTGTTAGTAGCTTCATAAAAAGAAGAGTTAAGTAATGAAAAAAAGGAGAAAATGAAAAAAAAAATTATTTTATGATAATTCCAGTTTGACCATGACCTTTTTTAAAGCCTAGAAAACAGGGTTTCTAAAGAAAAGATGGTAAACCACTTTCATTTAGACAACAATGCTGGTCATTGTCTTGTGTGGAGTTAAGTTATGGGAAGAAGGTCTGCCTTGGTAGTGACTCACTAGCTATGTGCAGGTAGGCTTAGTGTCGGAATTGGTGGCCGTGTTGCTGAAGGAGAGGCCCAAAGGGGTAAACTTCTCTGTTGAGAGGCGTCAAATCTAGGCTGAGAACTGCTTTAAAGGGCATTGCAGACATTTTCTGTGAGGTCACATGCTATATTCAGCAATAGGTCGTCAAAATTCCACTGTGTAATCCATGCTTTTTAGAGCTTTGGGGCACTCTTGTCACAGACCCCTCTCGACCAAGTACTGAAATTTGTTTTTGACGTATGTCTAGATAGAGAATGTCTTCTAAAAAAAGGCTACTCAAACTTTTCAATATCATCAGACTCTGTGATCAAAGAAGTCACAGTGGCAATTGTTCAGACAAGCTTCTTTATGGGTAGAAAAATTAAATGCAAATTCATTCTTTACAAAGGAATTCTTATTTGATGTTTCTCCTTTTCTAGGATTGACATTTTACACAGAGTTGTTGTCTGGTGGAGAGCAAAAAATAGAGCTGTAAGTTACAAAATATGTTGATCTGCCTCAAAAGTGTACATAAGAGTGGTTGATAGAGGAAATGTTGCTTATTTAATTGAAGGGTTGGGTTGATCAAACGAGTCCTAGTTTCACAATAATTCACCACAGAAAAAGAAAGACTATTGGTCACTTAAATTTCATTGTAAAATCAGTTGGACACAACTTCAACTTGCACAAAAAACTGATTTTTCAGAGACAGGAAAGACTTCTCATTACAAACAGTTTACTTTAAGTGTATTCTGGCTCTTATTTTTCAGGGAACTGCAAAAGTCAAAAATCGCGCAGAAAGAAGAGGTGGTGGAAGAAAGCCTTGGAGACAAAAAGGAACTGGAAGAGCACGACAAGGCAGCATAAGAGCGCCACAATGGAGAAAAGGTGACATAATGATTGAGAACCATTTTTGCTTCTTTCCTCTTTAGTGGTCAGCTTCTATTTGGGAAATGAGCTTATGCTCCTGGTGGAAGGAAGAGTGTATTTGAAAGAGTGGTCAGGTGGAAATTAACCCTTTAACTCCCAAAAGTGATTAACATGTAACTTCTCCCTGTGATATCTGTAAACTATCCAGCAAACAGGTTATGAAAATTCTCAAACTTATCAGTTAGAAGGTGTTGTCTTGGTCTGATACCAAATTCACACAATCAGTTCACAAGGAAATGTGTAACAGCTAGAGGAGAGAATTAACAACAAGATCTTAAGAGTTAAAGGATTAAGCCCACACCTTGTCATTAGATTTTAGATCATAGAGAAAATCAGTTTTTAAGGTCAAAGCTTACCGTCTTTCAGGTGGTAGAGTACATGGTCCTGTGCCAAAGAGCTACAAGTATGGATTGCCGAAAAAAGTCAGAAGAATGGGTCTACGTACTGCTCTCTCTGTCAGATATGCACAGGTACAGCTTGCTGGTTGTTGTTCTTGGTTTGTATTTAACCTGTGAAATTGAATCCTAATTCTACCTTTTGACCATTTTGCTTATTTCCATTTTTACAGGGATATTTGCACATTGTAGATTCATTTGAGGATATTGAAAATGATCGGGTAGGTTTCTAGTTCAAAGGCAAACGAAAAGAAACAATTTCACTTGTAGAAAGTCTGGTTATAAATTAACCTGTCACTCCCAAACCTCTTTGGTAATTTTCCTTACTATCCACTATTTAGGGTGCGAAATTGCACCTAATACAGGTGCCAATGTGACTAAATTTTTCACTTTGGTGACCAAATCCTGAGAATTAGTTGCCAAATTGGCTACTAGAATGTTTCACCATAACCTTACCAAGAGATATAGTGAATTAAAAAGATTTGCAAGGATAAATCTGCAGCAAACTTCCTCATTAAGTTTGTTTCCAAAATGCAGCATGTGCATCTCGATCTATAACTAAACAGCATCTTGGATTTAGGTGAGCTTGAATGTTGTATATCATCCATCCTAGAGTCCACTTTGTAGAACATTAAAGATCCTTTCCCTAACTTATTTTGGAGGGTCTATCTAGAACACTGACAGCATAAAAAAAAGGTTTTGTTTGTCTTTGAAAATGGCGACCAAATTTTTTTGAATTGGTTACTACTTTGAAGAATTTAGGAGCCAAGTGGCTATCGAAAAAAAAAATTTATTTCATGCCCTGACTATGCATTTCTTATGAATCACGATAGTGTTGAGAGTTTGTTGTTGGATCAACCAATAATCCCCTAATGATATTTTCTTTATTCCCTTCCCTTTTCTACTTGGTTATTAATTAATGTAAGGGGAAATTCTGTCTTAATGAATTGGAGTAAAGGGGTGAGGGTGTTGATTGTGGTAATCTATTAACTTGTAGAGATTTGAACTTTTGTTTGTCCATCGTTGAACAATCTCTGTGGCACAAGGTATTCAATAATTCTTTGCTGATTTAAATTACAGGATTTGATTCCAATCTTGGACAAAAGAGGCTGGACAAATGTAGTCCTGGTTGATTTGTAAGTGTTTGGTTGATCAAAAAAAAACTATCCTAGCTAGAATCTTTGCTTTTGATACCTTCTTTGAAAGAATATCTCTTTTTTGGGAAAAAATTTTCTATTCACAGGGGTTTTTTATTCTAATTTTGTTTTTATTTAATGAGAAGAACAAAGTGCTTGCCTTTGTGAACTACATCTGAATTTGAATATAAACACCTCTTTTTTTCCCCTACAGTGCACCTAATGAAATAATCACAGAGGCTGCAGGAGGGATGAAGACTGTAGATGTGCGTCATCCCAAAAGTATGTTTATGCACTCCCTCAAATCTCACTGTTGTTCTTTTTACATCTCATAACAAAATGTGCTGCTATTGACAATAAACCTGTTCTTTTTTTTAGACCTAGATGTTTACACAATATTACATCGCAAAAACATTGTGATGTCCTTGAAGGCTGTTGAGTTTCTTGAGGATATCCTTTGTGAAGATGATAGGATACTCGTTAACAAGTTTGACTAAGCTTTTCTTATAGTGTTGCTTCTGCTTTGTAAATATTCTATTTCGATAGTAAATAAAAAGTTCAATTCAACTTATTGTGATTTTTCTTGCCTTGTTGAGTCTTACTTTCATATAGTCCAGAGATTTTGAGAAAGTTGGAAATTTAAAAGCAGAAATCTTCTTGCATCCTTTTCATGCAATTTATCTTTACCTTTTAATCCCTGAGAGTGACTAACATCTAATTTCTCCTTACAATATCCCCCCTGAATCAAACATTAAGGTCACAAGAATCAAGGAAATGATCAGCAACTAACAAAACTTGGTTTTAAACAAATTCTCCTTATCAGCGCTTCAAGAAATGTATAGAGAACAGTATGGAGAATATGCACACTGATGTTAGGGTGTAAAGGGTTAACACTTAAACTCCCAAGATCTGATTGTTAATTCTGCCCCTCTAGCTGCTACACATTTCCCAGTAAACTAGAATTTGGTGTTAGATTAAGACAAAAACTTCCTTTGTCATGCTACTAACAGTTACTTTTTGTCTGATTAATAAAAAAATAAATTATGAAAAAAAACCCATGTTTTTAACCCGTTTACTCACATGAGTGACCAAGACAATATCTCCTTACAATATCTATACAATATCAGGCAGACGAGTGATGAAAATAGAGAGAAATAACTATTAGGGGATCATTAGTTGATCCAGTAACATATTCTCAGAACTAAAATCATTGGAGAACTATTAATGAGGTCTTTGAAGTCAAAGGGTTTATGTATGAAGACAACAGCAACTCTGTTTTAAATAATTAATAAGTAATTTATTTAAAAATCTTGATGTGCATGTGGAAAAAATGTATGTGTAAATCTGCCAGTGAATAACCTTTTATACATTAATGAGAGCCAAAAATTATTTATTAGTCCAATCATTCAGTAATTGGCCATGTTATTTCTTGAAAAATTTAAAGAATGTATAGAATGCAGCAGATCATTTCACACTCTGGCAAGACTTGATCTGACTTCCCATCGTAAAGCTTGTCTCTTTTTCTCTGTTGGTACAACATAGTTATTGGGAACAAAATTGCGTTGTGGTTTCTGAAAAAGAAAAGGCAATATTATCGTTAAGGAGTGGTTTAAACGTTTTGCAAAAGGTACTGAAAGTTTTGCCAACTTATTATTTTCATTCAAAGGTTTTGCAAATTTATTTTCTGTCTAAGATTAAGAGTCTCCTTGTTATCTGATACACTGTAAGGTGTCCCTGAACCTTAAACAATGTTGCCTACCATATTTTCATTCAAATAAGTTGACCCATTCAGCTTTGTCTTATAAACCCTTGAATCCCAAATTCTGATTTTGGCACCTAAAAGGGGTCACAATGGCCTCATTGCTTGGTGACAACTTTCTTGCTATGCACATTTTCAGAATTTCATTGACTATGTATTTATCTTAGCTCACCTCAAACACATCACATTGCAACATCTTGCCCTATGGAAAAAATTTTACAAAACAATTAGCAAACCAGGGAAGATGTAGGTGTCATTATTAGCACTCTGGCAATTAGATTTATGTACAATTCATCAAACTTAGAAAACCATGAATATCTCAAATATTTCTATCAAGGATCTGTATAACCTACAGGGCAGGTATACTTTTGGTGAATAGGTGCTTGGTAATTTCTTAACGAAAATTATGGCCACCATCTTTGATTTTAATGGAAGAGAAAGGTTGGGGAGAGAAAGAAATTTGTACCAAGGGGATAGCTGACAGTCAAAAATAAGGAGAGGGGTGGGGGGTACAGGATTATCTTCTTGCCCTTCCCCTGCCCCCTACCCCCAATGTCCACTCTAACTCTAAATCAAACATGTCCAGTCAGATAAATGGCCATAGGCTTATAGCATTAGCTTACCTTAATGAGATGCCTGGCTAGTATCTGTACTAAATTAACAACAAGTTACATCAAAGATCAGGAAAGGCAAGCACACCACTAACAACAACTGCCATCTCATTAGTAGTTACTTACAGAAGCTACTGTTCAGTTCTCTTACTGATATTACAGTTGTTACCTGCCCTGTGTTCTGAGTGAGACAGTTCCTTTTTTATTCTGCTTTAGAGCTCGTCCTTAACCCTCTCATTCCCATGACCTCATAAGAAATTCTCCTTACTATCTGCCATACAATTCTTAAGAAGTTAGCTGAGAGAATTTGGTATTGGATTGACTTTTAATATCAACTGATATTTTTCTTAATTCTCATCGCATTTGGGCTTGATATTGTATTGATATGGTATGGAGAAATTCTGTCTTGGTGACTCATGAGAATTAAATGGCTAAGGACAGGCAATGCACAGTATATCCCTGGCTTACTTCTGATTGTAAAAGGTTCTCAATTTACAGTCCTACCATTTTTTTAAAAAATCAATTTATAAATAAAATTATTTACCCTGACATTCCATCGCAGATTCTTGTGGCTCTTCTCTCCTGGAGCTTTGTTTGCCTGCCATTCATACTTAAATTGGTGATATCTGCAACAAGAACAGAAAAAACAAATACATTTTATAATTACATTAACCCCTCAAACCCTAAGAGTGACTAGTATTTAATTTCTCCTTACAATATCACCCCTGAATCACAAATAAATGTCACAAGAAAAAAAGGAAATGATCACCAATGACAGAAGCTTTAGATTGTTAAACCAATTCTCCTTGTCAGAACAGTATGGAGAATGTGTCTACTGATGTTAGGGTGTAAAGGGTTAAGTTACCATAAAAAAGCATTCATTACAATATGTTCACTACATGTACTGACAAGCAATTAACAAAACAAACAAACAGTAATTAAAACAAAAGCAACAACAACAAAAGGCCTAATCACACAAGTCAACATGTGAATGAATTTAAAACCTGGGAAAATGGATTAAGTTCAAACCTTGAAACAGGATCTGACTTCTTTAATTGTCGTGTGTGAGGGTGACGAGAGGATGGCCTGATAACTGCAAGAGACCAGATACTTAGTGGGTTGTGAGCCATATCAACAACAGCTTACTGGAAACTGTGAGTCTCAGTATACCAGTAATAAATATCTGCTTACTGTTGATTATTTGCTTAAAAGAATAAGATAAATTGAGGATCTTTAAGGAAATTGGAAGAGAGTGTTCCAATTACAATTGCAAATCAAAAAATTGAGTTATTTTTGTTAGCTTGGATGACAACAAATTTTGGAAAGCTCTAAGGAAGCTCTGCAGAAATAATTAGTTTTGTTGTCAGTGAAAAATTAAACAAAGTGTGCAGAGTATGCTTTTCAATAAAGCCCCTTTCATTAATTTAGAAGCATAACAACACTCATGTTAACCCCAACTCTCACACCCACCCCTCCCCTAAAATACCAGCGTGTAGTCTAAATTTGTGCCAGAGAAAGAGAGAGAGAATACTAGTGATTCTTACAAGAAGGCAATCCTCTTTCAGCATAATTTTCCCATGGTCTGAAGTTATTTGGTCCTACTTCACTATCAATACTGATAACATCTGCATCATCTACATCACCACTGTTCAAGGGAAGATCTCGTAATCTCTGTTCTAAATCGGATATATCTGTGACTGGAAAAAGATAAAAAACTTTTTCAAAAAAACTTGAAATTTGAAAAAAATATCATGCTAAAATTTAGAAGATTTTTCATGATCTGTCAAACCTACCAGACTCATTTGTGGTGAAAGATTCATCAAATACTCTTGGTTCACCATCCTTTCGTCTCAAAACTTTTCTCTTAATATTTCTACTGCTGGTTCTGGATTGTTCTTGAGGTGAGCTCTCAGCAGTGGTGGTGGATTCTCCTCTGGTTGGTGGCTTTACTGGATGGTAATGAACATTTTCCTTGCCATATGGTTGATGATTTATTTTTGTCTAACAAAGATAAGTGATCAGTAATTTTTTTAAGTCATATTTAATAACTCTTTACACCCTAAAATCAGTGTGCATATTCTCTACATTCTTCTCAAAACAGTTCCTCAGGTTCTGATATGGAGAATTTGTTCAAAAATTAACCCTTCAACTCCCGTGAGTGACCAAGACAGAATTTCTCCTTACTATATCTATGCAAAATCAAGCAGACAAGTAATGAGAATCAAGAAAAATATCAATTATGGAATTAGTAATTGATCTGATACCAAATTCTCTAAACTAACATCATGAGAATTGTTTGGCAGACAGAAAGGAGAATTACTAATGAGATCTTGGGAGCTTAAGGGTTAAGAGCTTTTTGGAGGGTAGTCATTTCCTTTAATTTAGCCCTTTAACTCCCAGAAGTGATTAACATGTAACTTCACCCTATAATTTTTAGACATTTTCCAGCAAAACAGGTGATGAGAATATTCAAACCTATCAGGTAGAAGTCATCATCCTGATTGAAAACCAAACTCTTGTAACTAATTTAAAGGGAAAAGTGTAACAGCCATAGGAGAGAATTAAAAACTACATAGTGGGAGTTAAAGGGTTAGTGTTTGATTCAGGGGTGATAGCGTAACAAGAAATTAGTCGCTTATCACTCTGAGGGTTCAAGAGGTTAAACTACATTGGTCAGAGGCAAAATAGAGTTGAAATTTTCCTTTTCAACAACACACACAAAAAAATATTCTACTCGTATGTACTCCCAAGATCAGAACTAGAGCCCAAGAACTATCAATTTTTTGAAATCCAGGGAGTAGCATGAATCATTGATAATTTGGTTCTTGATGATAATAATGACAATGATGATGATGATGCTAATAAAGGAAGATTTTGCCAAATATCTCTCCCTATAATATCTGATTGAGAGAAACATAAAACGAGATAATTAAGTAATCTGCCAAATAGTTGGCCGTATTCAAGTCATTACGATGAAACTACCTTAGCCAAACTTGGAGCTGACTTTGGTCGGGGGAACGCTGAGTCTTCCAAAGGGTATCTGTGCCTATTAAGAAGTTGGCGTGGTTCTGTACTGCTGTCTGAAGCTGAGAAGGAGACCAAACAAAGATCAAGAGGATGAACAGAAGTTGAGTGGATTTTACGGCAACCTCTTTTGGAGTGGCGAATTGTGATGCTAAATTTTTGAAATAACAGCGCAAAATTGTGACTGTAAAGGATTACTGATATCAATTGTTTCCTGTGGTTTGTCTAATCAATAAGAACCACATTTAAAATCTAAAATTGATTAGTGCTTACCATCAAATGGAGATGAAGAGGTTTCTGTTCCTTTACTCCTGTCTAAATAACTGTCAGTGTAATAACTTTCATTAACTGATGATGGAGAATCTCCACTTCGAAGAAGACCACTTTCTTCGGAAGTTGACCTTTCTGATTCGATAAGCTCTTTCAAGTCTACAAAGGAAGACGAAATTTAAATGCAACATCAAGTGCGATCACATCGATCGATAAACAACGTCGATCACTTTAGCGGACTCAAAACTTTGCAAGATGCAATTTAACTTGAAATACGACATATTACTCACAATAAACAATCTCGTTGATTTACGAAGAGAAATTTATCCAAGTCAGAATTGATTTGAGTTGAGATCAACTAATCAACATTCGAAAAGTTTCTCTAATAGAAACAATCTTCTACCACTAACACGAACCTCTTTGGAATTGATTCAGCTTATCTCGAGGTATATGAGAGTATCCGAGTTCTTCTAGTTTCCTTCTGATCTCCTCTTCTGTAAAATCGAAGCTTTGTGCCATTATGCTCTAGAGATAAATACAGCTTAGTTTACCAGAAGCTCAGTACGACTTGAAAATCAATTACAACGGTACATTAGTGTCCAGGCTTTCGCGTTAGTTGAGCATGTGGTTACGTATGGCCAACATGACATACGTAAACATTAATTTGAGGAGGAAATTGTGCTATTTTTGCGGCATTTTTTTTCTGCTTGCATCGCTCACGTGAGGGAATCAGATATCAAACTGAGAAAATCACTTCTAACTTTAGTCAATTTTTCCTTATTCTGTTCCGGGAAGGTGAGAAATATTTAATTCATCCACTGTCTTTGTCTTTAACTCGAATGCCATATCTTCGTAACGTTACGATAGATCAATCTACTCTGTCTTTTGCAGAAATGCGTTTCGTCTTGCCTTTGATTCTAGTTTTGTTGGGTCTGTTGAGGGTGGATTCCTTTGGACTTTTCAGGTAGGCTTTCCTCATTTGCACAGGTTTTTTTCGTCACACGCGCGCCTGGAAGTAAAAACAGTTGATAAGTTGAATATTTTAAAACGTGCTTTATTATTAACCCTAGGCAAGCGACCTGCATTGTTTAATGATAAATATTACTGGCTTTGAAGTGTAATGAAGCGAATTCGATCTCATAGAGATGCAACGTAATCTAAAATTCACTGTAGCAGTGTACCGGAGGTAAACATAATATTTACAATTGGAAGTTACGAAACTTCATCTTCCCATCGATTTTTATCACCCACTCCCGAATTTTAAATTTGTTCCCTACTTTTTTTTTCACACCCTTGTGTACACGTAGCCGTTATTTATGGCGATAGGACTGAGTTGAGTCCAATCCGGTCTATAATCATATTAGTGATGAAAAAAATCATATGGCTGCGAAGCAGAATCTGATTTGTTAATTACAAAGTCTGGTTAATTACCAATTAATCAAAGCTATGACAAAATTTGAGAAATAAACCAGCCATTGCATATATGTTTTCATAGAAAACAACAGTTGACTTGGCTAAATGCGCGGCAGTGGAGTGGAGGCATCACACTTACTGTTCCATCACACAGGCATGAAGTGTACACTGCCCAATTACAAGCATGAGGGGTGCACTGTCCTCTTAGTGCTCATTGTTCATAATCGATGTATTATAGATTTTAACTAATTTTTAAGGTCATTTAATTAATTCTCATTTACATTTAATTATGATCAGCAGCCCAGAATACGAAGATGATGTTGATTTCAACCTGTTCATTTTTACTCAGTGGTGGCCACAGACACAATGTTATCAGGTTAGAACGCTTATGGTTAAAATTATATCATATTGACACCTAATCCCTCCCCTCTTTGTCAAGCTCCTCACTTCCCATCGACAATCAAGGAGAGCCTATAGCAAATAAACAACTAAGGGGAGAGGGATTGGGAAGCAATGAAATACTTATTACTGTTAAATGTTTACCTCCTTTCCCCTGTCACTGTCAGTGGCGTCATTCTTGCTACACCTTTAACTCTTTAACTCCCAGACCAAATTTCTAATTCTCCTTGCTGTCAGCCATACAGTTCTTACAATGTTGGTTCAGAGAATTTAGTATTGGATCAACTTATCATCCCTGAATGTATATATTTCTTTATTCTCATTACTTATCTGGTTGATATTGTATTGATATTGTAAGGAGAAATTCTCTCTTGGTCACTCATGGGAGTTAAAGGGTTAAGTCATCTTAGACTTTCCTCCATTTCACCAATCAAAATAGCACAACATCAAAAAATTTAAAACTTGCTTGTCACATCACATGCCTGCTATATACCTGAGTTGATTAAGTTATCAGTTTATAACTTTGCCCAATGATGTTTAGCTCAAGGTCAAACCATGATATTATCATAAATTTTGAAAGATTTCTTATTTTAGTATGTTAATATGTTTTACAATTTTTAACCTGGAAACTAATCGATATTGCATGTTATTACAGCTTGTAATTAGGTTTTAATAGATTGTATACATCATTTACACTTTTTATTGATGGGAATTGTCACATATAGAGATAACCTCATGATTTCCATTTCACGAGGTATTTCTGTTGTTATAATTATTATTTGTATCTCTTCAATGAAGTATTTTATTGAATTGTATTTTATACTATTTTTGATTTTGATTTCTTTGTCCCACACTTGTGACAAGATGAAAAACATCTTTCTTTATTCTTCTATTTTTCGATTTGTTGTTTGTGTTTGTGTTTGTGTTTTTTTGGTTTTTAAGGCTGATGTAAAGAACAAGACCTGCGTACCTTCAGGAATTTCTAAATGGACAATCCATGGCTTGTGGTACAAATTGTCTTTTTTTTTAATCTTTATTACCCCATTATCATCATTGACAAAAGAAATGATAATATAATTAATATATAGTATGGTAAATGAGCACAGAACAACAACATCTCAAAAGCTTTTTACTCATCATCTTTTCGATTATTTCTTTCATCAGTATCTTTACTTGTGTGCAGATCTGGTAATGTGTTTTCTTTTTTCTTGACACTCGACAATCAATTTAATGGGGGCAGGGGATGGGAAGAATGCAGGAGATGGGTAAGGATAGGTCTGAAAGTGCATTATCTGGGAAGAGGATCAGGGGAGAAAGAAAACAATGTTGTGAAAGAAGGTGCTGGGTGTCAAAAGTGCAGAAGGGGGAGAGGGAGCACTGCATAGGAATAAGGTTGTAGCCAGGATTTTTTTACCAGGGGTTGCACAGTTTTTCATGAGGTGTAGCTTCTTATGATTGGTGCATGTATTTTCCATTGTATAGGGTTTGTGCTAAGTAGAATTAAAGGGCATTCATTCATATTATGAAAAGGGGGTCACAGGCATGTTAGGACTATCCCCATGCTCTGCATTCTGGGAAAAGGGAAGATTCTCATCCCCAGGTCTCTCTCCCTTCCCTGTGTAGAATTCCCCCACCCATCCTACCATCTAGACACCTGTCTTCAAGAATCATGAAACCATCAAAGAGAGAATTCAAGATTATTTGCAGCAAATTCCTGCTAAACTCATACCTAACAGATAATTTTTCGTTCCTGGCAGGCCAACTATTGGTACAGAACATGCACCTGTGTATTGTAACAAGTCCTGGCCCTTTGATGAGAAAGGCATTGAGGTAATTTAAATTCAAGACTCAAAGGCCTCTTCATCAGGATTTTTTCAGAAATCATTGTACCTGAGGTTTGGTACTCATGGGCGTTGGGGCTCTCAGGCATGGTGATACGTTTTTCAAACCCCAACTTAACTCTTCAGCACCCTTACCCCTCATTTATACACCCCCACCTGTCCAAGCACATCTTTTGGCAGACTGTAAAATGTTTCCGCCTATTTCCCCTCTAATATACATGAAAAAAATTATACATGTCTGATCGGCTGAAAACAAGTGCATCTTTCACGTAACACAAGTGAAAAGTTGTAACACGAGTGAAAATTATGGCAGTGTGCACTGCTTAAATTTCATCTGTCTTGACTTTCTTTGTATGTTTTTCATGTAAATTATTAATAAGTAACAACATGCATTGAAAAATTTACCCGTGCTTAATTAATTAATTATTTATCAAAGATATCTGCAACTGATGTTAAAAGAGTTTGGCCATTGTTTGATTATGAATTTTGATTTGAAATGATGGTTGTACATGGCAACTTGAGAGTATGTTGCATCTCTTTTTAGGATTTGATACCAAAATTAATGCTTCAGTGGCCATCTTATGAAACTCCTGGTGATTATGTGGGATTCTGGTAAGGGTGTGGTGGGTATGTTGTGTTCATACGTGACAAAGTGTGACATCAAGTGAGCTCAGCTACAACAAGTGTTACTGTCTACAGCCCTCATAAACAGCCCTGAGTGATAACTGAAGAAACTACTATTCACCTTTTTGCCGCCGAAAAGACAAAATCGCTTGTCAATAGTTTAATTTCCGACCATCATGTTTTTGGAGAATTGATAGAAATGATCTAATTTTTTGCTTCTTTTGTGGCTAGTAATAAAACAGCTGTTCTCTTCGTTGTCTTGAAAGTGGTGGGTATTTGCCTCATCTTTGGCGAATAAATATTTATTTTTTATGTCTAGAAGGTCTATTTTATCAGGCTCTCCAGTTTTTTTGTTCTTTGCTTCTTACTCAGGAAACACGAATGGGATAAGCATGGCACGTGTGCAACCAATCTTTCATTCTTGAACTCTGAGCACAAATACTTCCAAGTCAGCCTGTCGATGAACATCATGTACGACATTTTCGGGTGAGGAGTGAGCTAAACTGAAACCAAAAATTCATTATTTTGGTAGACTTGATCCAGCAACTGGTCGAAACTGGTCCTCTTTTTGGTTGTGGGGAAACTTTTTTGTAGCTTTATTGACATTTTTGTCTTCCCCTTTTTTTTTGGTTTTAGAGTTTATGTTTCTTTTTCTTTTTTTCTGCAGTGCTCTAAAAAAGGGAGGAATTGAACCAACAGGTGACAAAACTTACCAGGTAGGGAATTTGAGGTGAAATTGCTCATGATTTTTTACGACTTTGAGGGGTTTTCTCAAGCATCGTGTTTCACCTGATCTGTTCCAAAAAGCGGCCTTTTGTAGCTGATGTAACCCAGATTGCATGAATTGGTGTCCCTTATCTGAGGAGAGTCTGAGCAACAGAGTGTCTACGCTTTGCCGTGTTTTGTGCAGACAATGGTTTGCCCGTTTTCCCAGACTCGGCCCCAACTCTTGTCACTTTTCCCCCTCGCTTTCCTCCGTTTTCCCGCTCTCGGCATTTCTGGCAATAAATGCTTCTTTTTCTCTTTAACTTGACACTGTCTCAACATTCGTACCTTTTCCTGTTACCCTTTTCTAGCACAAGTCATCTCCGATACGTTTTCTTTCATTTGGCCGTTAGTCTAAGCAAGTCGTGTGTCCCCACGCTGGGCAGCGGGAAGAAACAAATTTTGCCTGCACGTGGCGTAGGCAAGGAACACGTGTTTTCCCTCATTCATCAGTGAAAGAGTGTAAACAGTTGAATGCAATAAGCTACTGAATATTTTCATTTCTGTCTAAGGTATTTCTTTGTCTTTGAAATGCTAAGAAAAATTCAGTGGAGACGAGATATCTTGTGGACAATCATGAATGGCTAACTGAAATCATGATTTACTTAATTAGTTACTTGTCCTTTTTGCTTCAAGGTGGGAGATATTGACGCTGTCCTGTTCGAGTTTTTTCAAGTTCATCCTACAGTCTACTGCCTGCCTGTCAAGGTAAGAAAACCACCCATTGTTTTTTCATCTATTGTAAATGTTTGATTCATTGCGAATTCGTTGAGGGGCGGTATCACAGCTGTACAGGAAGCGCCAAGCGCCAAGCGTAAGAGGGAGTGACGGAAAGGATTATTATTATATCGTTGGCAGCGCCCGTGGGCGATATGAAATGAATCCCTTGTTCTGATTGGCTACCCGAGAGGGCACTATGGGCCTATCTCGTCCGCTAGAGATTGCCCGCTTTTATCCCGCGCGACGAAAAAATTGCTTGGAGCGGACTTATAAAGTTCGTAATTTTTGGGCAACGCAGGCAATGGAGTCGCAAAAAGCAAAACAAAGAAATCAGAAACGATTCTCGTGGGTTTATTGTGCTACAAACACAGGTGGCTTTCTTTCCCGGCTCTCGAAATCAATTCTGAATTAATTTCGAAATAAAAACGGAAAAAAAGAAGGAGACTAATATTCAGCCATCTTGACTGAACAGACTTTGTCAATAACGCATTTTTACCATATAAGTGATCGGAAGAAGGATCTTTGGACGAGACAGGATCTAAAACGTTTGGGACAGAGTGTATTTCAGCCTTTAACATGTGTCTTCCTTTCTTTTTTGTGTTTTACTCTTGTAGCATTCTGTGCAGATGTTAAGCTATGTGGAGTTGTGTTTCAACAAATCTCTGACGCCAATTAATTGTTTGAACACCACCGCGAACTGTGATCACGAAAAACCCGTGCAGTACCCACAAATCATTCATGCTGGACTGGAAAGCGTGGTCTAGCGTTCATCGTTATGATAAGATCAGATTTAGATGTAGAAGTTAGGAATTTTTCTCATTTTTTTTACAGGTAGAGAAAAATGACTCTTAAAAAAAGTTCACAAAAGATCAAGTTAGCGAAACGATAAAAAAAAACTAATGAAAACAGCTTTTAAAAATTCTAAATAATTAGGAGCAGTTTTTTGTCTAGGAGACATTTGCAAACGTTTGATAGACAGGTTTGAGGACGAGTTATTTTTGTAATAGTCTGGAAAACCTTTCACAAGCCTTACAAACAACGTGACCGTATCAAATTAAAAGATTTCTGCGTCCTTCTTAGCATGTAGTTTACTTCATTTAGTTGAGCGACAAAAAATTCAATTACAGCAAAACCTCGTCTTGAAAGAGCTGCATCGAGGTTTGTGTTTCTTGGAGAATCTAACGAAAGTTTTAAAGCTGGCGCGAAGCTTTAAATAACTACAGGTGCTTTAATTCTAGGCTTCGTTGTTTTTTTACTATCATGCGGGAGAAAATCTGGGGCTCATGCATAATCCATTTGTAAAATAGGTAGTGAGTAAAGTGATTAACCTAAAAAGTGTGAGCTTGTGAACGAATAAGCCCGCAACCAATAGCCTTCTTGTTAAGTTTTAAACGACAAGTAGATTTATTCCGAAACAATTCGATTATTTTCTCTCGATTTCTTTGCGTGATAGCAGATAAGGGTGAAATAGAAATCTGGAGGTCATAATTTGATTGTTGATTAATATCCCGGTAGTAATTTGTAGGATTTTAGTACTTCGGTGTTCTTTGACGTCATGATCACGTTTTCGAAATTCAAATTTGTTTGACTTGAAGATGCCTCTAACCTTAAGATGACTCTAACCTTAAGCCGTCTGATTTTGCTGTCGCTGCTCACTGAGCTGCAAAGAACTCGTTAGCGAGGTAGGCTTTGCCCGTATGTTCGTATGCATGATTAAGTAAAAATATTGGCTCTTCTTTTTGAACGAAAGGATGACTTTAATTATATATATATTTTTATTGAATCAGTCAATGGAAAGATGAAAGGGGTGAAGAATTAAATAAACTTTCTGATGAATAGAAGAGAAACGTGGTTTAGAGTATATTAGCACAATGGTTTTCCACCGATTCAGTTTGAGCCAACCTTGTCCACTTGTCAGTAATTCCTTTTTTCACTGTTTACGGCTTCTGCTCACAGGTAGACCATGATTGCCTTTGATACTGAGACATTTTTGAGACGGTTTATTCTTGGGGAGAATAGTGGAAAGTACTCGCTTGATGTGCGGTACATCTCCGACTTTGACGTCACCGAATTGATAAGCTCATGTTGGTCGCAGCCCTGCCTCTGTTCATGTTTGGCTCGCAACAGATTATCCTTCGAAACGCGCGCTGAAAATCTTGGTGCAAAGCGCCGTATAACACAGGGTTCACTGCCGCGTTGAAAAACACCAACACGGTCGAGCTGTACTCGAGCGCGCGTGGGACGGCTTTGCGGCTCACGAAGATCGCCCAGAGGTTCGCGATTCCTCGCGGAATCCAACAACAGACGAACGCCATAACAACTGCAAGAAGCACTTTTGTGACTCGGGCTTCCATTAATTTACGACGTCTGCTTCGTTTCGCTCGAGTGGACGCTGATGATTGTTCGCTAAGATCCGAAAATCCTGAATTAGTAATGTTATCTGTTGATATGGAGAGATTGTCAAAGGATATAGTTCTGGGTACGTTCTCCTCTCCGATGTTGCGACTAATTGTTGATTCACTTCTTTCCTTGTCCAAATTCTGTGTCAATTCTAAGCTAAATGTTTGCTGGAATATTCGCTTCCCTTGCGATCGCATATGTTTGTAGACACCTAGATACAGCACTGCGGAGAGAATGGATGGTATAAAGTAACATACAACATGCACAGTGATCGCATAGGCCATATTCGCGGACCATAGTATGTTGCAAAATAAAGTGCCTTGTATGAATCCGAGCTTGCCCCATCCATAAAACGGAAGCGTAGTCCAGATTAAAGAAAACAACCATCCTAGCAGCACAGTGCATATAGTGCCTCGCTTGTTGCAACGAGTTTCATACGAGTGAGGGTAAGCCACAGCGATATACCTGTTTACGCTGATGTGAAACAGGGCCAAGATTTGACCAGCAGTTAAGAAAGCATTTATGAAGCCCGTGAGACGACACACTACCCAAGGCAAAACCCATTCTTGCGTGACAGCTAGCGTCATAACAAACGGCACGATTGAAACGGTGATCGATAGATCCACCAAAGCTAGGTTCACAACAAGAATAGCGGCCGTAGTTCGTAGGCTTTTTGTGCGGTGCACAGCCAAGATCACCAAGACGTTTCCGAAAATTGCAAACACCATTGTGCAACCCATGGCGACAACAGACAGCAGTGAGGCGACCGAGATTGAATCGGCAACCGGAGAAGCGGTGGTATTAGAGAAAGATGTGAACGAAGTTGCGGTCTCCATTCGATGGCGGCAGTCAATATAGAACAGAGATGATATTGTCGTTAGTACTTACAAAGCAAACATTTTTTCACCCACAACTGGAACGAGAACGTGAGAGTTTTGCGTCAGTCAAAGCTGAGGGCATCAGATTGATTGTCGCAATGTCTTGTGATGATCCAACGTTCTGAGAATTGACAAATTAGCAAATTCTTTTGCCACCCACGAACATCCGGGAGAAAAACAGTGTTATACTTGCGTACGGATTGCCCTTTCGCCTCGCTTCTGCCCTGTAAATACAGAACCGGTCTTTGCACGATCAGAAAGCGTTAATTTGGCTTACAGACTTCCTCTACCTAAATCTTGGTTTTAAGTTCCATGAGATTATAAACTGACTAATATCCAAATTTAGCGCAAGTAACCCTCAGGTGTACTTTTGTCACTTCCGTTGCAAGAAAATTAACGAGGGAAGCTACAAAATATCATGGTTGCTAATTATTATGGATTCATCGGCCAGACAGTGCTCTAACTCACATAGGTATAGCAAAACACGCTTCCATATTTTCAGTTTTTTAGAAAATGCACAAACCAACACTAAGACCCAATTTCTTTTCCCATGCGTCATTACTTAAAGGAGCAATTTGCTTCTGTTAGAGTTATTAATTTACGAACGTCATATTCTTTGTAAGAGTTTTGTAATAACAAATTAAGGAAATTAAAAACAAGGCTTTAACGCGGCAAGAGGTTTGTTTTACCTTCTTTAATTTTTGGTTGAAGCCCTTGAGAAAAGAAATTTCCTTTCTACGGAGCTAGTAAAAACTTGAGTTGACAGATATTTCCCCCTTGTCAAACAAAGATAAACAAGGCTGTAAATGAGACTTGTTTTGATTTGCGCAACCTTTGGTAAAGGTATATTACATTTGTACAAGCAGGAGACCTCTATACGTAAGATGTCAGTAATACTTTTCAATGACACGAAAAAAATTCCATCGAGTGCGCTTGGGTTTGTCATAATTTGAACTAATATCAAGTTCATACATGAAAAAATTACGATAAGGAAATTTAATAGTTCATTTGAGGAAGCCCTCTAAGTTGTGAATTAATTAGTATACTAATGTTGCGTCCGACCCAAGGATTTCCGACATTTATTTAAGATATATCTTAACGATGAAAAAAAATCGTGCACAATCCTTATATGGATGAAATATAATCGGAACCCCTTTGTATCAGATATGAGTCTTGTGATTATTTCTTTGTTTAAGGCAAAGAACAAATCAGTAAGGATTTGTTCCAAATCAATGTCGGTTTTTTTCTGTAACTTGAATCCAAGAAAGAAGTAATCAGGTGACGTGAAAAGACATCTGTCGCGTTGTACTTTGAATCGGGGGTAAAGAGGGTAACTGGATCATCTATCATCGATTATTTTCATTTTTTCCTTTTTTTGATGATTTATGATGGACAAAATTGGAAAATAAGGAAAGAAATACAGTGTTGGAATGTGAAGGTTTCGTTGTATTACCGAAAAACATCCGTTTGTGATGTACTGCTTCCCTTCAAAAAAGTGTTATTCATCTTTAAATCTCTCGGTTATCAGGCGGGCTGTGATCAGTCAGTTTTTTACAAATTGCAAAATGATAAGAAACTGGACTTTTCCTGATACAAATGTAAAGAAAGAAGCTGAAAAACGCAAAATAAACGAGAAATTTCCTGCGTGTCATCCGAATCGGCTATGTCACGCGAGTGTTATGTCACGCGTGTCTCGCTAACCTCGATCTAGCAATCCCTTCACTCTCTCGGCAAAATGGCAGCCGATGAAGAATCAACCACTTCCAAGAAGCTGATCAATGATCCTTTAGATGCGGTAGATGAGGCTTTAGAAGGTATCGTTTTAGCCAATCCTGGGTTAAAGTTACTAAAGAATCATCGGGTTATTATCCGAGAGGATGTGAACGAAATACGAAAGGCAGGAAAGGTAACCCTCATCTCAGGAGGTGGAAGCGGTCACGAGCCATCGCATGCCGGATTTGTTGGAAAAGGGATGTTGACAGCGGCTGTGGCTGGAGCTGTTTTCACTTCTCCCCCAACGAAATCTATCCTTGCTGCAATAAGAGCTGTTGGACTCGGTAACAGGGGAGGAACGCTATTGATTGTGAAGAATTACACTGGCGATAGGTTGAATTTCGGATTTGCCGCTGAGAGGGCGAAGGCCGAGGGGATAAAAGTCGATATGGTGGTGGTTGGTGAAGACTGTGCTCTCACTAGTAAGGACAAGACAGCAGGAAGGAGGGGGCTTTGTGGAACTGTTCTGATCCACAAGGTAAACTTGGGATGAAACAAAAGCTCAGCTGATGTGCATGTGACTCAGCCCCTCCCCTTCCCCCTCAACCCTCTTCCCCTCTCCCCTCAACCCTTCCCCTTCCCCCTCACTCCCTTCCCCTTCCCATCTCTGTTTTTTAAAGCAGTAAGATGCTATTATAGAGACTACCTCCTCCCCACCAGTATATGCTGAGAATTCTAAGCCATTAGAGACCAAAAGACTTTATATTCCCCTTGTCTAACTATCCCCTCTTTTGCCTATAAGCTTACTTTAAAACTCCCCCTCTCTCATGATTTGCAAAATTTAGCATGAGTCCTGGTTATTTGCATGATGAAATTTAGTATTTACGCATTGGAGTAATGTTCTGTTTTATTTTCAATTTGTAGATTGCAGGTTCACTGGCTGAGGAAGGAAAATCTCTCGAGGAAATCTCACAAGTAGCCAAGGCCGCAGCCCAAGCCATGGGTATTTAACCTAACTTAATCCTAACTTTCTCATGGGTGAATAATGTATACTTATTGACTGAATGAGGATACTGGACCATTAAATACTTGGCTAGAGGTCATGATATAAAGACCCTATTGCTAGTATGACTAATATGTACATCATGACGGAGAGCCACATATTTTTCTGTTTGGGCCTGAACCTAACTCAGTCAATGCACATTAATCTTATGGCCATGCCTCTCTCTTGTTTGCATCTCACAGAGCTGTTAGTATGGCTTTTTATATCTCAAAAATTAATATTTTATGCATTCATGCACATGCCAAAATCCAGACATGGCAGATCCAGAGTGGGTGGGGTGGATGGGGATCAAGGCTTTTGGCTTGAGAGTGAATAAGAAACTTCTGTGTTTTCTGAATCAAACTTTTAATTCTACCCTCCCCACCCATATTGTAAATTCCTCGATCTGTCCTCTGAAATCTTGCCATCCTAATATAGAAACCAAGCAGTTTTTGACTGGAAATTCACAGTAAATCAAAGGCCAAAGCACCTTACATACCCTTTGGATGTTATTTTCCATGCTTTACATGGCTTATCAACATTCTTTATCAGGTACCATTGGTGTTAGTTTGGCTCCATGCAGTCTCCCAGGATCTTTGCCATCCTTTGTATTGGGCAGTGATGAGATGGAGTTAGGACTGGGTAGGACTTTTTCTTTTCCATTTTCTTATCTCTAATATCATCAAGATTGATGATTCTGTGTGATTTCCCCCTTAAAATTTAAATAAAGCACTGGCATGTTACTTAAAAATTTGCTCTGTACTTGTGCCAAGTGGCCAATCTAGCAGGAGCTTTATTCTAGTTTCCACAGCATGAAGCAATGATGAGATGCTTGTTCATTGCAAGATTACCCCTCCCCCCAACATTTCATCAGGCTTTCCCGACGATTCACTGGTGCCCACTTATACTCCTGGGTGGAGAGAAGCATTGTGGGAGTAGTTCAAAGTATTTTTCCCAAGAACACAACACTGTGAACCAGTTATGTCTTGAACCCAGACCTCTGGAACTAGAGTCCAGTGCTCTAATCTTCAGGCCCTTGCTACTCCCACAACATGTGACTAAACATGAGGCAAATTATTAAACTGTAGCTTGTATGGTTATATTAATACTGTATGAATTTTCTTACTCTCTATGATAAATATTAAAATCTTATTGGTTAAGCTACTTGCTGTACGTATAGTGACTAAAGTGAGTCTATAAGGTATAATTATTCAATAAAAGCGTGAACCTGTCTTGTTGTTGAGTTTTAAAGGACTTCTATGTAAATAATAAGATTATTCACTCTCAAATTCTACTAATTATAAATAGTGTTTGGCTTTAACCCTTCAACTCCAGAAGTGATTAACATGAAACTTCTCCCAATAACATCCATATATTATCCACCAAACAGCAAACAAAAATACCCAACTCGTCAGATAGAAGTTGTTTTCTTGATCTAATACCAAATTTGCCTAACTTATTTACCAAGAATTGTGTAAAAGCTGAAGGGGAGAATTAACAATCAGATCTTGGGAATTAAAGGGTTAATTTGCTTTCCACAGGTATACATGGAGAACCTGGTGTCAAGAGGGTGAAGGTAAAGAGCCAAGTCTTTTCCTGCTGAAAAAGAGATGCTTCAGAGTTTCTTTGTATTGATTCTGTATCATAGCACTCAGAATCTGCACAAAGTATTTGCCCTTACACCTCAATATCTGCTAACTAGGAGTGACCAGTGCAAGAGTCCACTCAATTTATCTGAGCCTAATCTAGTTTAAAAGCCTGTTGCCAAGTTATTTAGCCCTCTAGTTGATGGATGTCTCTAATGCTGACTTTGCTTTGTCTGTTGATAACTTGCAATGATATGTTTGTGACTGTACATTTACATAGTGATATCCTGTGCTTGCCTTTTTTCAGCTTGAAAAGGCAGACCAAGTTGTCAAAACCATGATTGACCATATGTCAGATGTTCAGAGTGGTGCAACATACAAGCTCGGTCTAAAGAAGGGTCAGCCTATTAAAATTCCACAGCATGAGATTCAATAGCATCTGGTTGACTTGCTAATAAGGGCAAATTTACTTGGCTTTTTTTTCGCATACCAATCTATAAGAATTAGGTCTTACTGATTTAAATCACAACTATAAAGTACATGAGAATTTCCCATTTTTTTTTTTACAACATTCTCACAATTTTATTTTGATTTGATGTTCAACAGGTGACAGGGTGGCTCTTGTAGTAAATAATCTTGGAGGAACATCTGTTCTGGAGTTAAACATTGTTGCAAGGGCAGCCATAACATACCTTAGTATGTAGTCTGAGAGAACTATTGCTGATGAAAATTCTCTTGATAACAGCCTCTTATGGTGACAGTCATGCCATCAGTCTTCCATTAGCAGGCAACTCATCAGAAATGATATAAGACCCAGGGGATCATTCTATATATATTTATTATTTTATTATGTCCCTCAGTTAGTATGTGCACTGTGATTAGTCAATTTAATTAGGCTGTATTTCACTGCATGTCCAGCTAAATTCAATTGAATTGAAATCTTCCCCTTCTATTTGAAACCAAAGATGTAATTCTTACTCACATTGTTCTCTCAGTCTGTACTGTAAGTTATGGATCCAAACTTCCCTTTTTTTTTGGCTCTGAAATATGTGTGCTACAATTATTATCTTTGGTAGATAGTACAATTACTGCAAAATGTATCTCTTCAGGAAATGGCCTTGAAGATCCCTCCAAATAAATGAAAAGGGGATATGAAATGCCAACAAAACATGCCCCACCTTTAAAAGCAATAATATTGTAGTTAGATCACTTTTGAAGAGGACGTGACCCTCTGAAGGATACCTAACTCTCTAACTCTAATAAGCCAATGTCTCTTTTGCAAAGGAATAACACGAGAGCACCTTTTCTACAGCTACCAGGTGATTGCAAGGTATTCCTTATTTTTATATAGCAAAATCTGAATTTTTTTTTACTCAGCTCAAGGGAAAGAGGTGAAAGTTGATCGGGTTTATGTTGGAAGTTTTATGACCTCATTAGAAATGGCTGGAGTATCAATCACTTTGCTTCACTTGGACAAAACTAGGGTGGATTGTTTGGGTAAGTGTCTCCTTGCAACAACCTGATCATTAATGCATCATAATGATAATTTTATTCCTCAGCAGAAAAATATTCCTGTGTAATTTAGTTCTTTCTTGCCCCCCCACTCACAATCAAGTTAATTATCTCCTGAATAAGATAAGTAAGTAATTGTTGCAAATGATTTTCTTTTTTTTCTTTCAATTGATAATTTTTATGTGGGAGATGAGTTAGCTATGGGCCATGGGCAGTTTGAGTGCTGGGCAGAGTCATTGTGCTCTGTTCTGGCAAGACACATAACTCCTTAGTTTTTTTAATCTACTGGAATATTAATGGCAAGTGAATGGTCCAAGAATTTTGGTGAAATGAGGTATGGGGGGCAGTGGGGTGGGGTGGAATAGTTATTGACTAATTCTGATCTGGGATGAGGAGCATTACCTCCAAAGGCTCAACAATGTCTCTCCAAGATCTAAATGTAAATTGTTGTCACTGTCTGCTCTACATCTCTTATTATTTTAGCTCTGAGAGGCTAGTGTGAATCAAACGGTTTACCTTAATAAATTTTTTTTTCTCTCATTTCCTTTTTCCATGTATATTCATTGATATTTTAAGGTAAAATTCCTTTTTGGTACTCTTGGGAGTGAAAGGGTTAATTCATGTTGCAAAAACTGGAATAAAATATGGGCTGTGTGAGCCAATTTGGTGTGGCAGACAGCTTATGAACACTTATTGTGGAATTAAACATTTTTTACATTTCCAACAAAATATGATTTTTTAAAATCCATTTGGTGTTTACATCAAAACATGCATATATTTCCTGCACAGATCAAAGCACAACTGCACCAGCATGGCCACGAGTTTCAGTATCTACAAATTCAGGCTTTATGAGAACTGACATGCAGCCTCTTGAAATTCCCACGAATGCAGCAGAAGAAAAAAAGGAGACTTCCTCAGAAAAGCTGACCGCACTAGGTGGGCTGTGTTTGCTTATAACCGTTTATTGATTGAGTGTCGTTAAGCCAAGACCAAATTAATCACAACTGTCAGTCAGAAGAAAGCGAAATACCGTTGAGAGCCAGTGAGAACTCAGAGTAAAAACAACTGAACTGCCTAAAGCGCGGGAAAACGCGGGCGACCAAGTTGTATCCAATTGGTTGAGAAAGTGGCGCGAATTTTCTGGTCCAATCACACACTCATTTGAAAACTGCTCCTATACTTACACTGTACGGTAATATTCTTCTAAACACATACGCCGTTACTTTTTGTATTCAGGGGAAAAGGTCTATGCCGTTATTAGTCATGTAACTAATGCCCTCATTGCTGCTGAGAGTAATCTGAATGAACTTGATAACCTTGCTGGCGACGGAGACTGTGGGACCACCCTTTCTCGGGGAGCCTCAGGTACGAGCCATCGAACATTTGTTGGACATATTGTAACTCACTATAACCATACTAGCGGAGCCGCAGTTCACAGTACCTACATCCCTAGTCTTCCTTATAACCGCCACAATCCATAATAACACAGCTTCTAATTTTGCTTCGGAGGAAAATCAGTATTAGACGAACTATCTTCGCGTACAGTCACCTACTAAAGTTTCGGTTTTACTTTATCAAATGTAATCCTTTTTATTATTATTTTATTACTTCCAGCCATAAAAAAAGCCTTAGGAACACAGGATGCCCCAGGTTTGCCATGTAACCATCCAGAGAAGCTGTTGTTATCACTTGCCAGTTTGTGTGAGGATCATATGGGTGGAAGTTCTGGCGTGGTTAGTTGTCTTTAATCCTTTGACGCCTAAGAGTGACTAGTATCTAATTTCTCCCCACAATTTCAACTCCGAATCGCGCATTAAGGTCATGAGAATAAAGGAAGCGATCACCAACTAAAGAAGCTCTTGATTGTTAAGCAAACTCTCCTAGTCGGCACCTCAGGAAATGTATCGAAAACAGCACTGAAAATATGCATACTGATGTTGTGTAAAGAGTTGATAAAGGACTTCGTATGCTTTTTTCACCAGTATTAATAGATACGAAATATTTGAAAATTTGATTTCTCCTTTCGTGGTGATTTAAAGAGTTTGCCAAATCTTTAGTACAGATATTACTTGCCAATCCTCATGCCTGTGGATCATAAACTTCGACTAATCCCTGCTCACCTAGATAACGATCAATTTCTCTCGCGTAGCACAAAAATTAGAGCTTATGACTCAATTTTGAAAGATGCGTGAAATAAACTCAGTTTTATATATCGAGGAAGAATGTCCATGCAAATGATCGTGCATTGACCGAAACCTTTTCTTGGGTCAAATCTTGAGTCAAATATTCTGAACTTTTTCGGTAAACATAACGAACATGCTGGCCTTTAAGGGATAATAACTGTCGGCCTTTCCTCCTAAAAAAGTTGGCAGGTAAATGAGGTAAGAGATGTGAAGTCATCCTTGTTTTGTTTATTCTTCTGCAGTTCTACAGCCTCTTTCTCACGTCTGGAACAGTTCATCTCTGTAGCGTTGCAGTTGTGTCTTCCGTTGTAGTTATGTCCTCACACCTAATAACCAATAGAATGCGGTTTTATTTCTTCCAATCAAAGTGCGTTGTGAACGTGTCTTCTGCGTGTCACTTCCCAACTAGGGGAGGGATGCAATGCAAAATTGTGAGACTATCGTTAAGTTTTCCGCGCTCGAAGTTTGGGAATTTCATGGGCTATTCTTGTTTCATGGGCTTATCCTTGATGCCTTTTGGGACACTTCGGATTGTTGAAAGATTAATATTCTTGTTGCGTTTTTAAGCGCGAAGTATCAGTGAAATTTTCTTCGATACGTTGGAAAGGTTAGGAAGACGAGAATTTGACATTGCCTCGTAGCTTCCCTTATTGGTTTGGAGTGCGCTGGTGATCGAAGTTGTGCTTTTTTGTCGGAACTACTAAAGGAAGGTAAGGTTTCGGTTGCATTTCATGCTAGTATTTTGTTAAATTCAAATATTACAACCATTCTTCAAAGATCACGTTCAAGTTTTGGGCTTAATACTGTAGATTTCATGTGACAGCATGGCGAAGCGTGAGTGACTACTAACTTTGATTCATTGAATCCTTCAGTGTCGAGGGCTGATTTTTTTTTAGTTTGCGTGCGACATGTAAAACTAGATGTTACATAATTGAAAAACAGGGCAGATCTCGGTGTTTCAATGCCCAAAAATGTGTGATTTTTCTCCATCTCATTGTGCCTACAATGATGGCTATTATGGATACAGTGGAAGACATGTATTCATTGTAAATGTATGGGACTACGCAAAATTCAACCTCTGGTATGGTTGATGTCAAATATCACATATCCTGGGAGGTTAACTCACCAACCGCTAACTCGTATGATGAAGATCTGGTCTCTTTCATAAAGGATAGGGTGCTGTCTCCCAATGCTCTCCAACAAGTAACAGTTGGGTTACAATATATTAAATCATTCTCTTTGCTCACCCAGAAGTGACAGAATTGCAGCAAAATTACTCTTCACTTAATAATTAGTGTTTTGTTATTTAAATCAGTGGCTGACATATGCCACTTTCTTTATTTTGATCAATTTAGAGTAAAGTCCCTGTACCAAATTATAAGGAATATGATAATAATATGTATGTTATATGTTACCACATTATCCATACTTTTTCAGCTATGTGTCACAAACATTAAAATGAAATAAACACTAATTCATGCAGAAATGAATACTTAATTCAATACAGACTATTGCCTACTATTAGCTCCTACATGTGTTAGCAAGAACTTGGTCTTGTTGGCATTCATTGTGAGCATTTGGCAATCTGTATATTAGTGGAGAAACTCTCTGCAACTATCTTTGCTAAGAAAATACCAATCCTTTCACCCTTACTAAATATCATTCATACAGGCATGGATGAGAACCAGCAGCAAAGCAAAAAAAAAAAAAGTGCTGATGAGGTGGTAAGCTCTATTCTAAACATTTTCTTGGCGAATTATGCACTAGTTATAAAAAGGTATATGTTGTGCTTAATTTTTGTCCTTGGTATAAACATCATTTTCCTTTGGTTTTTGTTAATGATATGAATGAAAAATGCATTTTGTGTAAAGAAAGATAAAATTTAGCTCCTAGCCTAAGTTATGATGAGATGATGTGTCACTATCAATTTGGCCTCTATTAAAAGTAAAAAGAATTAAACTAAGGATAAAACTAAACCACAGCATACCTATACTAAACCCTCAGCCTATTTGTATCAATATTACTATTTTTTTCTGGTGTTCACCCAATAGATTCAATCCACTCACAGACAAATATGGCACCTGTGCATTTTACTATTACTCTTAGGCTAAGGCACTCGAGAAAGCAATATTTCACAAAACAACAACATTATGTATGCAAGGTTTAAATTTTTCAGACCTTTACTGCTTGTTTTTTTATGAGTGGTTCCAGGATTTTCTTGTGCAAAGAGTTCTAGTACCAGTAGCCATGTTTTTTGGTTTGGTGGTTTACAGTAATTGTTGTATGAAGTAACCCTCACCAATATTAATGTTGTGAACTTGTCACTGACAAAGAGCTAGTTCATGATTAGACATTGATCGTTTCATAGATTGCCATGCTCTACATTTATCATTGAAGTACTGAGTAACTCCTTCGCCATCAGAAGTTGCATTAAAGATACTGTGTTAGAAATTACAGCACCGTACCCCAAAATCTAATGTTTTCCTTAGCACAGTTTCATTTTTTTAGCAAGGCAAAGGTAAAAATCAAACAAGACCACACTGACCTCCTCACAGAGACAACATTGCTATGTATAATGTTTATATAGTTAGTTACATAAAAGGTACTCTATTCATTAATTCAGTGTCAATACTCACCCTCGTAGCAGCTATAATTTTTAGCCAACTTGGGAAATAGTGGCCTAAAATGGACCCTTTTGGACATCTGAACTTTTAAATTTCCAGGGGAAGGTTCCCCAGACTTTGCCATCCAAGTGGGAATAAATGGCTGTCACACTGTCATTTTGGCCCCTCCCAGCTGCTCAAACGTTGTCCCTCCTTTCCACAATCTTACCAAAGCCCCCATATGTGTAGTAATAAAAAACATTGAAGTGAAGTGTGCTATCTAAGCAAGAGGTGATAATCATGCACACTTTTAAGTGAGTCATCATAGCAGATGTTTGGTGAGGTATTGCATTCTGTGCTCAAAATCTAGTTCATGTAGACCTGGGAAAAAAGAATGGGGTGTAGCAGCCATTCATGTTGTTTAATTGCTCTAAGCTCTAATTCGATACTACTGTTCATTTGGCTATCTTTCTTGCCAATACTGTTTCGTTATTTGGGTTTTCTTGAAGACACTTCCCATTGAGAAGAAGCATTATATGTGTTTACAAATTAGAAGTAAAGAAAAGTGAAAAAAAAATAGGAGAGTGACAGGATGGTATCAAAGACAGTGGTACAATTTTTTTTTGCAGGGGGGTCATTTTTTTATTTTTGAATCAGAGTTTTAGCCTAAGTATGTCTAAGTTTCTACACTTGTTGTTTAGTCTTGTGACTTCTTGCTTTAAGAAGTGAGGTAAAATTGTTTGAATTTGTTTTTTTCATTACAGCCACTTGAGTCTGTAAATGGAAAGAAAACACTGAAAAATGACGGTAAGGAATACATTGCTTGCACTATAAAGTATTGAAGTAATTTGCAACTCTCCATATTTGTTATTTGTAATTGACATGCTTTGCACAGGTGTTGTGGGGTTAGTGGAGAAGTTAACTGTATTTCAAAAATTAAATCACTTTAAATTGCAGTGAAAGCTATTACTTTTATAGTTATAAAAGTATCAAAGGTAACTTCTCTGAGAACCTTCTCCAGTGTCTGTGATATAGAAGTGTCCACTAAATATAGATTCATTTATTAAGAAATGTGGGAAGAATAGTATGCAACTGAAAATACAAGTAAGGACTGGAAAAGAATATTTATTCCTTGCTAGTAATCTCAGAACAGCTGTGTGGAGCTGGAAATTAACAGTGCTGGAATACAACAGTAAATCCTGCTGATAAACTGAGAACAGCTGTGTGGGGCTGGAAATTAACAGTGCTGGAATACAATAGTTAACTCCTGCTGAGAAACTGAGAACAGCTGAGAGGGGCTGGAAAATAACAGTGCTGGAATACAACAGTTATCCACAACTGAAATTCAGAAACAGGAAACTTTTAAATACTTTTGTGCAACAATATACTGAGCATGCAGTAATATCTTCCATTGCCTCAATTCCAGTTACTTGTAGAAAGGTCATCTCTGAACCATTAAATAGGATCTGTTTTACCCGTTATGGAAGAAAAAATCTTAACCCTTTAACCCCTAAAAGTGACCAGCTTCTAATTTCTCCTTACAATATCTCCCTGAATCAAACATTGAGTTCATGAGAATAAAGGAAATGACCAACAATTTATAAATCTCTTGATTTTTATAAAAAACTCTCTTTGTCAGGGCTTCAGGAAATGTATAGAGAACAGTATGGAGAATATGCATACTGAGGTGTAAAGGGTTAATCAATAAATGTATGTTAAAGGTAGCAATCTTCTATAACTATTACTTATTCACAAATACTATATTTTATTTAGCAGATTGTAGCTTCAATGGATGCCAGAAATATTTTTATGAAAAACTGGCAGATACAGTTTTGTATTGTACTCCAGGATATACATCTTTCCCAAAAGATGGTATTTCTTCAGAGAAGAATGAAAACTTAAATGCTTTCTTTAATCAGTATAAAAGACGATTTTTTTGAACGACGTAGCCTGAAAAGACCAGTCTACACACTAAAACTTGACCAAGAAGGTAAGATTGTCCGTGACAAAAAAATGGCATCCTTGTTGTTTTGGTCAACAGTTATGTTCAAGGAGAGCTTAAGACTACAAAGCAACTTCTCTACAGAGAGGCTGTAGATGGTGTATTAAGCAGTTTACACTACATTAAAGGTGTCCTTGGAGAGGATACTTGCCTCCCTGGAGGGGTGAATGCCTTGAGTAGGCTATTCAATCAAAAATATGTATTTAAGGGTATTTTCAACCTTATTAGGGCCTTCTTGGCTCGATGCTCAACATGTCAGGTCAACAACCCCTTGCCAATGCGAGTGCTTCCCCCCTCCTGTCCCCATTAGATCTTTTTCGCCCCATTCCAGACTACAGTGTGACCTTATTGACATGGCCCCAAAGAAGCACCGTAGTTTTATGCAGAATAATTGTTGGAGCTACCGTTACATTCTAACAGTCAAGTGCTGTTTCTCGAAGTTTTGTTGGCTGTTTCCGTTAAAAACAAAGTCTGCAGAAGAAGTGTATGCCATTCTGAAGGCCTTGTTCATCAAGGAAGGGTCACCTACTGTAATTCAGTCAGATAATGGTGGTGAATTCATTGGAGAGGTAGTGCAAAAACTTTGCAAAAGAATTTGAAGTTTGCATGGTTCATGGTAGGCCACACCACCCACAGTCTCAAGGCCAGATAGAAAATCTCAACAAGCAAGTCAAAAGGTTACTTGCAAGGTTTTTACAACAGTTGCCTAGAGATCTTCAGGCCAATGTCTGGCCTTTACTACTCTCTGCTATTGCAGACCTTTTGAATTGCAAGTGGCACAGCACAATTAATGATGTGCCTTTTCGAATATATAAGAACCGTGAGCCTTCCTGCTTGGTGGACTACATCATCCCAGATGATAGTATGTGGACAGAAAGTATTGAAGATGGTTGCCTTGAGGATTATGAATTTTCATCAGAAGATTTCATTGAACTTGAGAGACATGGGGAAAGCACTTCCATGGATAAATCTAAATTAGAAGAGATAACAGAGGCCATCCTGCAAATTTCTTCTGAGACCATATTATTGTCTTCATTGGGTGTTTCAGCTAAGCAGCTGTCAGCAGCTGTTAAGAAGATAGTGCAAGGAAATTCACATTCTCCACCTTCTCACAGTCACAACAACATCCCACTTCAATCAGTGGATTCAGAGGCAGAATTCCAGGTAGAGAGCATCACAAAATACCTCTTCAACTTGAGTGAAGAATACAAATCTAAGATGGTGGATGTCCTTGAAGCAACAGAACACACCATTCAAAAGAATCACAAACGGGCTCTTAAGAGGGCTAAAGAGCGGAATTTAAGGTGGGAGACAAAGTTCTCTTCCAAAATCCACGTTCAGAAGGATTGCATTTTTCAAAGCCAGATCCCTTTCAGCCCTTGAATGTTCTGGGGGTCATCAAAGAGGTGCGTCCTGGAGGAATGTTCAAGGTGGAGATAGAATGTGGAGAGCAATTGGTAGTTAAATCCATTTTTGGTGGCCAGATGGTTTTGTTCAAGGAAAAGCAGTGTGAACTTCCCCTTTGTGAAACACCCCCCAAGTTATCTTTGCTGAATATGCACAATTTCATTTCAGAGTTTGGCCTAACTGTGCGTAAGGAGATGTATAATCGAAGTCTAAGGTTGAGGAAAGTGGCTCACCATAGAAGTATTGATGATTTATTGAAGAGTTATTGTCAGGTTCTGGATTATGGACTCCTTGCCATGGTATCGTCGTTTTCTGACAGAGAGGAAGAAGAAGCTGTGTTTCACCAGAAGTTTGTAACTGGCCTTCAAACTTTACAGGCTTCGGGTTTTCAGTACTTTCTCTATGGTACAATCTTTTGGGAGAGAGACAGAAAGCAAAACCTGGGAAAGTCAATTCTAAGTCATCTCACCAGTTACGAGGAACACTCTGACTGCTTGTCATGCGTTGGAGAGCAAAAAGAAACTCCATGCTTTCATCCCTGCTGCCAGAATCTTGTGCTTCAGATGGCTGTTAACTGTGGGCTCTTCTGTGTAACAATAGATGGTTGCATTGTACCATCTGATGATAGTATAATGAAAACATCTCAGACAGCTCCAAAGGAAACCCCTCTGTTAAGTAGCCATACAACTGAGGCTAGTACTTCATGCCATGATAAAGACAGTATCAAAAGACCTAGCACCCAAGTCGGTGTTGATGAGCCAGTGTTCAATAAGGATGATCTGCTTGACCATACAAATGATGTAAATGTTGATGTTGGATCCAACAGATGCAGTACACCCCAAGGAAGTCTGAAAACCCATGAAGTCACCCTTGGTGAGCCATCCACATCATTGCTGTTCATGCCAGGAAGCAATCAAGGAATGCTATGGAAGCCAGCTGAGTTGAAGGACAAGTGTCAGCAACATCTAGAGAACATTGATCCTTACTGCAGTGAACTGGCCAAGTTTGTAATGCCCTTGAAGGGCTTTCTTGCAGCCATAAATCCTTCTCAAGATAATGCCACAGAAAGAAGTAACTTGAGGTACTTTTTAAAGATTATTGACAAGCATGCAAATAAAGATGTACAGAGCCAAGTGCGCCTAAGTAGCAACAATGGCAGTCAGGAGTGTATGCAAGTTCAAGGGTACAGCTCATTCTGTGGACTTTGTGCAATGAACAATGCAATAGGTTGTTCCAGGAAAGGACCTACTTTGTTCAATTTGTTTGACCTAGATTTGGCAGCAGACATCATTTGGTTAAAACAGGTTTGTGAAGTTGGCTGTGGATTTTCTGTACCTTTAGAGCCTATGCGGGGTCTTGATGGTGACTACAGTATTTTAGCAATGGAGGAGGCAGCAATTAGGAAGAACTGTACATTTCAAAGACTAGATTTACCCTTGAGGGCACTTGTGGATGGTGCTGCAATTAATTCCCTTGACCCCAGCAGTCTCCAGGAATTTTATTCCCTTCTTCTGGGATTGTTCCAGGCAGATGAGAGACCATCACTCATTGTGAGGACAAAGGAATATCACTTTGTTACTCTGCTCTTTAAAGCAGATGCAATTGTACTTCTTGATAGTCGCAGGGACATCTGCTCTTCCACTGTCCCTTAAAGATGGCCTAGGTTACATTCAGAGAGAAGCATATCAGAACCCAGATTTTGCTGCTGTAAACCTTCAAGGGCCTGGAACTTATGGCAATCCTGTGAGAGTGAATGACTTGCCAGAAGTTAAGCTGCACACAAATTTTTCATTGCACACTGGATGAGGTGTGGGATTTAAGCAGTACTATAAGTGATGATACCATCATTGCCACACTCCATGGACAAGTCAAAGCAAAAGATGTTCGTACCCTCAAGCCAGGTAACCAAATAAATGATGTCGTGATCAACTACATTGGTCCATTCTTAATGAGTCAGAAAAAGGATGTGTATGTGGCAAGCACCTTTTGGCTAAATCACTGCAGCCAAGAGCTGGGTCTTAAGGAAATGCTTAGGTGTGATTTTCACAAGTATGAAAAGTTTGTATTTCCTGTTCATTGCCCTGGTCACTGGTGGTGTGTCTTAATAGACAGGCCAATGAAATTGTATGGGGAATTTGACTCCTTTGTAAAGATCGAAGGAGTGATTATGTTTTCAGGTCTTGTGCAGGGAATTCAAAACTGCAAATATTGATATTTCTTCATTTCAAGGTTAAGTCAGGAGGAAAGAGAAAAGTTGCCTTCTCAAGGACAGAATGTTTTTGACTGTGGTGTCTTTGTCTTGGGTTTTATCAGTGCATTTGTCAACAACTTGGAAATGAATTTCAGCTTAAGGGATATGCCATTCCTGCGAATTCATTTATGAAAATTATCATGAATGGGCAACCAGTATGTGACATTAAAAATTGTCCCAGTACCCAAGAAAGTTGTCATCCAGCTTGTGAAGAAGGTGGCCATGGAAGTGTCCTTGGGCTAGTTGGTTTGCTCTACCATTGAAACTATGAGATGTAGGGGTCAAGAGAATATTTGCAGTGACAAAGAATCTGGAGTAAGTGGTACAGGACTTATACATTGTGCTGGTGAAAACAGCAGTGCAAGAATAGGTGAAGATGGAATTAAGAAATGCAGAACAGGAGTGAGTCCATTTAGTCCAGACAAAACCATGGAAGAGGTTTCTGTTGGTTTTGGTGTTGCTTTTCCTGGTAAGTATGAATTAGGGGATTTTGAGAAGGATTATGAAGATATGGAAGATGATCCATTTGTTGTCCCCCTCCTCTTCTGCCATTAGACATTCAACTACGGGACAAAGACACAGAGTTGTCAAATGAAAACAATATTCAAGGTAATTAATATGTTGACCATTTTCACTCTTTGTCTCTTTGTTTTGTAATATGAATTTTTGCTATATTGTTCCATAATTATTCATCTCTATAAACCTTGTTTTTTTTGTTATTTGCTAAAGAAAGCATTGTTGTGCCTTTTTACAGCCAGTGAACCAGATGATGAAGATTTGGTCTTGTATGAGCTCCTCAAGCCTCCTTATGATGCTTCTCACGGGTATGCAGAATTTGTGAGTGATCTGTGGTTTTCTTCTGCTTGGGTTTTCTCTTACATTATTATTATTATTATTATTATCATCATCGTCATTATCATTATTATTATTTTTACCACTGTTGTTGTTGTTGTTGTTGTATACTATGCAGAGATGTTCTTGTAACATGCCCAGTAGTTTAGGGGAATATCATTATTATTATTACTATTATTATAATCATTTTATATTATGCAGAGATGTTCTTGTTAACATGTCAAGTAGTTTAGGGAATATCATTATTGTTCTTATTATTATTATTATTATTATTATTTTAGTACTATTACTTTTGTGTTTTGTTTCCCTTGATGACTAGTTTTGGATGTTTTTTATTGCCTTGTGTCTGCAATGAATTTTAAGTTAAATTATTATAAATACATCTAATGATTAATAGTCCTTTAATTGCTAAATTTGTTTGTTGGGTTAACATAACGATGTGGTTGTTTTCATTGTCCCTTGAGTTAATTTATAGCATATCATCATTAACATACTGATACTTGGTAAGTGGTACTTACCCGATGAAATTAAGCCAAATGTGCATTTTAATACGAATTTGGTGAAGACAGTCTTTCACAAGCCAAGTGTCATTAGATTTTCTTTCCTAATGGAGACTGATTTTCTTCACAGCTTCCAACCCTACAGATGCTCTATTCTAAAGAAGAAAGGAAGGTATTCCAAGGCCTTAACCCCATCACTGAGCAATATCTTTTCAAACTAAGGAAGGAGAAAGGGATAAATGTTCCAAGAGGGTGTTACCATGCAGTGATGACAACAGAAGAAATGGTAGATTTTGATTACTGGAGGCAGGTAAGGAAGGGAAGTCGAGACAAAGATTTTTCCATTACAGGTGGGATAGAGCCTTGAAGTTTGGACCAAGGAGACCACAGAAGAGTTGATAGATGTGGCAAGTATCTTAGAGCGAGTTGATAGTGATGGATGGGTCTTATTGAACATCACAGAACAGTATCACTATGAAATGTGGAGAGACTGGAAATGGAGGCAACTTGAGGAGAAAGACCTTTTGTAATTTTAAATAAAATCAATAAGGCAAGCTATTTGGCACAGAGTAATACTAATAATTAACCCTTTAACTCCCGTGTGTGACCAAGACAGAATTTCTCTTTACACTATCAATACAATATCAAGCAGACAAGTGATGAGAATAAAGAAAATTATTGATAAGGGGATCATTAGTTGATCCAATACCAAATTCTCAAAACTAACATCACAAGAACTATATGACAGACAGTAAGGAGAAATACTAATGAGATCATGGGAGTTTAAGGGTTAAACACTTAATGGGTCATGTGTTCATTCTAACAGTTTCAATTGGGTTTTGAAGCATGCTTAATTCAAGTCATATCCAAAATTCCCTTGCTCCACATTGTGAATTGTACTTAGACATGGCCAGAGAACATCAACAGAGAATGTGACCTCTTAAGCATGTTTGCATCAGACCTATGAATTTGTCCACAAAACTTCCTTTGGAATTGTTGAGTTCCAGAGTTTCACATCTAGTGCATTTCCAGAGCAGTAGAATTTAAAAAATTGACACAAACATTTAAATTGCAAAGAATTTATTTAAAACCTTTATGTTTACAGCAACCCACATAAAAAAAAAGAAATCTTACCAACAATTATGAATGAATTAGTGAATAAAATAGCCTTGACTCCTCAATCTGGTGTCAACTGCTTTATTTTATTCAAAAGTATATAAGGGTAAATTGGAGAGTTACTTACTGTGATCTGTGAAATAATATTGAATAATTAGAGCCAAACAGTTGCAAGTAAGTATGAAGGTAGAATGGATTTATGGTATATTAGTGCACTATGGTCCACTTTAAATTTCACAAATTCCAAAAAAACTATTTCACCTGAAGTTATTTGCTTGAATTATTTGTAGTGAAGATGTTTATTTCCATAGAAGTGTTGCATGTTCAAGTACAACTGGAGCAGTTTTTTTTTTAACTATCCATTTGTGTTCGTTAAATGAGCAATTTCAGCTTGAATTTTTAGTTAGATTAATTATGGATTGCACATGTTGTGTGCACAAAAATGACACAAAAAGTTTATTTGTTGCAAACACTTACAGTGTATCCTATTTATCAAGAGAATTTTGTCAACAAAGGACATCATAGCAGGAAAAAGGTAACCAAAATTTGTATGAAACATTAAAAAAGGAACAACTAGCGTGATTTTACTTAACCCATGAAACAGTATGTAAACAAACCTGTATGACACCAGCGGCATGTTTGATTGTTGGATCACCCCCATGTTGTGTGTGGAAAACATGACATAAGCCAAAAATTTTTGTAACGCATAGTAGTCTATGATCAATTTCATTGGTTGGATAAAATCACTCTATGTTCATCTACAATATCTTGTCGAGAAATAAATTATGACAGAGCTTTGCCTTAGCATGAGCATGAATGATATTGCTCAATTGTCTTCTTTAGTGAGGCATGTAATTGATGAGGAGAAAGTAATACCTGTTTATTTTGTCATCTGTTAAAAATTTGATTAAATCTGAATTACTTAGGGTTGGTTTTCTTTATTTCCTCATATAGGCATCTCACTTTTTGGGCAGATGTCTCTCTGGAATGAAATTTATTTTTTTCCATTTTCATCTTAATTGGAAAGGCCAAAAATACAACAACAAAAACCACATCAAGTCTAATATTAAGGCGACAAAGTCTCTGTGAACCAGTTTAATTGCAGTATTACTCAGAGTGCTTTTCAATTGAGTACTGTGAAACCAAAACCAAAGTAACTGCAATGGCCAGTCAGAAAAAGGGAAATATCACATGGAACCAATCAGGACTCAAAGTAAATACATGCAAATGGCCTGAAGTGCAGAAAAATGCGAGGAACAAAGTTATGATTGATTTTGGGTTTGCATCTGATTGGTTGAGAGGGTGGCACAAGATTTCTGGGTCAATCACAGAGCATACTTGGGCAAAACCATCACAATCTTGGATTACTTTTGACACTCAATTGAAAATTGCTCTATCCAAAGCAGTTCCTTGCTTTTCTTTTGAGGCATATATTATGTCTCTCAAAGGGGACAGTGGGTTTAATTCACATTTGAAATCCAAATTCAAAGAATTTTAGCACACTTTAAACAAACGTGGGTGACACTGCCATAGGTTCAATTTTTCTAGGTTCAAAAAATTTTTTAAAGTAGTCTTTTGAGTTTCGTTCAAGATTGCAATTGAAAATAGAGAGAACCTTCAAATTCTCACACACTGGTAGAACTTCCAGTGCAGAATCAACATTTTCTTGATTGAGGGTATGTACATTTCCTCCAATTTCCAGAACCCTAAGAACATAGGAAAAAATGTATGAATAAATTATTAACTTGCATTGAGATTATTATCAAGTGATTACAACCCCCTGAAAGTAAATAGAGAAGATCTACGTTTTCTCGTGTTTGTGTCGTTCGTTTCGCTAAGGCAGAGAATCATTCAAGGAGTCAGAGTTATACCATTCCATATGATTTTAGGGACGAAGGTGATAGCACGCTCACAACACGCTTCCAATCGAAAACAAAAGAAACTGGCTATAACGCTTGCTGAGCATGCTAAAACACACTTTGCTCATGCTTTTTATTTCTTATAACACTCTACAAAAATAAAGCTTGCGCCGTTGAACAGTGAAGCGCGAGCAGGCAAACACGCAAAGCGTGTTAACCTTCGAATACAAAAAAAGCTAGCGTAATAGCGGGCACAGCATAGTAGCGTGTAACCCGGTGTGCAGCACGCATGTTAACTGAACCTAACGCTTAGTCATTACACAGTCAATGTACTCTCATTCTTACGGTAAAAACCGAACCTCCCATCGGTGTTTATATCGTAAAAAACAAAGTTGAAACATTTGGCCGCGAACGAGTTGCAAGGATTCAAGGCAGACACTTCAATTACTTTTTTTTTTTTATGTGGAGTGGTTACTTTTGATGATATTTGTAGTATTTTGAAGCACAAAATGTAACTCAGTGCCAGACGAATTGCGCCGATCGCGTAAACAACCAAACATGTGCAAGATATTCATAAAGCGCCATAACATATAGCCGGTAAAGGCCGAAACATTTGCGTAAAAGTTTATTCCATCGGATGACCAGAGCGATTTTTAGGGATGATAAAATCAACAGTAAGGAACAATTTTGTTTTCAACAACTCTTTGTTTCTGGGAGCACTACGACTCTCAAACGATTGTTTTCTCTTAATCACGCGCTCAGTCACGTGCCTGAAACTCGATTCAATCAATGCAGTAAACAATTTGCGAAACGGGAACTTATATAAGATAACGTGATGGTGTATAACTTTTGAAGGCGTTAAAATTCATTTGTCGTACCATTATTTACCATTGTTTACCATTATGTAAGCTTGCCCATCACAATGAAGTGCTATTGAGTTCAAGAGGAAAACATTTGGATGAACGGCAGAAATATCTAGCTACGTTTTACTTTAGTGTGTCCTCCTGTGTAAACTTGCACGCTAAGCGTAACATCGATCACGCTTTTCAAACCGAAACAAAGACCAAGCGTGCTAACTTGACCAAAACGAAACAGTGTGTACTTGTTGTTAAAAAATAATATATGCACATATTAAACACGCTAAGCGTGTTGTGAGCGTGTTATCACCTTGTCCCTGAAATTATATGGCGGGTCACATTTGTCATTTGGAGGCAATTTAAAACGAGGAGTGCGGCTGTAGCCCTGTCGGCCACTTCCCCTCTGCGACGAAGATCTTGATTAAATCTCCTAAAAGAGACGTCTGCGATTTTTGAGATTTTCAAAAGAGACACGATTTTAAACCAGCCAAAACTTTTCTAAACAAAAAACAAACAGAAACAAAGCAGATACTACCCTTATAAATTAGCTTTGACAGAGCCTCAACAGAGCAAGGTTGCTGGCTCTTTCGCTGTGCGGGTACTTGTGGGGTTTTCACCATCCTGTTATGTCATGCTTACGAGCTCAGATAGTCTAAAGAGAGCGTAAAGGCCATCTACGACTGTTACGTATTTTCTTACTTTTCGCGCGTATTTTTAGCCTTGACGCTTTGTTTGTCATCTAAAATTTCAACCCCTATCCAATCGGGATGATAGAAGCAAATAAGTTCAATTGTGTACCTCAGATTCTCCAGACTTTGCCGGTTTGATGCCAAGACATTTAAAATGGCAGCCATGTGGCAAGTACCTTTGCAGCGATAACTCTTCGACGTTGGGTTGTCGAGCGAGGAGCTTTGCCACTTGTACAGATGTAACATTGTTACAGTCACTGATATCCAAATATTTCAAATCGTGACATGAAAGTGATTCCAACACCTAAAAAAAGACAGACAACGCAATCAAAAAGGCAGGGCCAAGATAGTTTATAAATTCGAGATTCGAATTATCACAAGATGGTGTCACCTTGTGACCAGACGTTAATAAGGGGAGGAGGGAGGGAAGATGTGATGTTCTATGCTATATTTCATGGCGAATAAGGTGGCCTGATCGAGAGACAAAAGAAACAAAAATAAACAAGATATAATAGAAGTAATCAAAGATTATGAGAGAGCGTTAGATGCCCCAAATTCAAATTACTTTTCATTTCATTCATATTCATGCCTGAATTGACAAATTTTAACGTCTGCTTTACTGCATTTGTGGCGTTCGCGTTGTTGATATCCGCGCTTTTGCTGTTATAAATAAGGATATTTAAGTCTAGCGTGAATTAATTTCCCGTGGAATTTCCTTGTTTTATTGCTAGCAAGTAGAGCGATTTTTATATGCTGCAACTGTTTCGACTGTGGTCTCGGGTCTGTTGCGTGACAGCTTCAATGTCCGTAAAATTTATATAACTTATATAATAACAGATAAGCTAACATGGTTTGATGCTACTCTGGTTTACAGATTTAATGAGTGTAACCGAAGAAGTTACAATTCATAGACCTAACGTTTCGACACTCCTGTCTAGTTTGAATAGCCACAACGTTAAAGTGGCTCAAAAACCTTTTCAGACTTTGGGGCATATTTTCGCCAAACCCAAGGATCCTGACGATGGCGGTTTGCTTCCTGACGGCTATTTACACTTCGTCAGAAAAAAAAAGGCCGCTAATTAGTGATCATATAAAACGACCTCTTGTTGCATCGTTTAGATCACCTTTGATGAAGGCACTAGACAGGAGTGTCGAAACGTTGGGTTTATGGATTCTAACGTCTTCGGTTACATTCATTAAATCTGTAAACCAGAGTAGCATCAAACCAAGTCTGATTGTCCACCTGAACTTTAATATATTTTAACAGATAAGCTATTTACATTAAACTTCCATGATGCAAAACATTTTTTCTTTTACCGATAATATTCACAGTGTGGCAAAAACTTTTCGGTAGAATTATATATTTTCTATGGGCAGTGTTCCAAGCTTGTTATATCTTAGTAACAAGATATATTAGAAGTAATCAAAGATTATTGGAAAGCGTTCAGACCACAGGCAACCGCAAACGAACGCAATAATAGGCTAAGCTCAAAAAACTCCCGTTTGGTACTAACCTCATCGTTAACAGCTTGATTAAGGGCAGAAAGTCCCACCATTTCCAGACTGCATCTCTGGTGCAAAAATTCCTGGAGTAGTTTGGAGGATGTCAGTCGCTCGCAATAACCAAGGTTAATACCGATCAGTCCCATCGGAATGAATTCGCAGAGTTCTTCTCCACTTATATTCGTACAATAAATGTCCAGGCTTATCAGTCGGACCATATCCTTCAACGGTGCAAAGTTACTTACTTTGACACAGAATCTAAGGCTGAGAAATTTCACGTGGGTGATGTTAGACCATATGCCTTTGTTAGGAATGTAGGTCATCCTCCTCTCGAAACATCGGAAGTCAAGAAGCGTAAATGGCCTTTTAGTAGAAACCAAAATTTTGTAAAATGTTCTGCATGTTAAAGACACATTTACAAGATCCGAAGTTGAAAGAATGTTGAATAAAGCGAGAAGGCAAACGTGGGGCAAGCGGTCAATTGTCGACATCTTTACCTATAATGTTGAAACTTTGCCGATTAAACCTGTATTAGCGGTCGGAATGACTGTATGGCCGATTATTTAAGGTTGACTGCTTAGGTCAAGACAAAAGAAAAAAGCCCTTATGACCCCTTCAAGGTTGACCGCGGTGACCACTTGATAAAGGTGACACAAAGAATAATTAGAGGAAATCAAAACTTAATTCGACAGTTGACCGTTTTATAAAGGGTGACTGCCGCTTAAAAGGCATAGGTCGCACTTGGGCAAAGGTTCTATCTTGGGGAATTTTCAATTTCGCTTTCAAGTAAGAGTTATCATAATTCAAATTCTGCGACCCACTTTTCCTTGAGTGACATAGCGTTAGGATTTATATCTTTTGAACGAAAAACAAATTAGCTAAATGCCGACACTTTTGCTGAAAAGGGTTTCCTGTAACCCAAAGGCGAAATTCCAGGATTGTGCGATACACTCCTGTACGCAAAGTATCCGATCAAAGCTGGCAAAATTCAAGACAACCTAATCAGAGAAACTCTGGTTTCAGTGACTGTTGAGGTATCAAAACCACTTCAAATATTTTTCGTCGTCAGGGGGTTTAAAATATACGTCTTCGGAATTCTGATTTCCTTTTAGCACATTAAGCTTACTTTAAACCGAAATTTTTTGAGCTGATTAGTTTTTTTTCTTGCATGGGAAAAATAACCGAGATTGCATCGGTCTTCTGTTACTTTTTCGATGATTGTGAATACCGGGACCCTTTGTCACTTCACTTCCTTTTTTTTTACTCAACAAAGTTTCCAACCTCTTTTCATTGCCACACCAAAGCCCTACAGCGTCTCTGATGTTTTTGCCGATTTTCCAATAAACTAGGCAAATTCCTGGATAAATTCCGAAATAGAAAAGTTAGGGTTGCAATTTGGAAAAGTGTCTCCTTGACAGATTTTGACCGCAAAACTTTGCCAAGTGCGATCAATTCGCAGATGTGAGAAAAGTCTTTGTGCCGTTTGCCGACAAATAGTACTTCTTTGTTCTGCTAACTGAAAAACTCACTCGCGATCACGTATGGTCCATAATCTAAAACCAACTTCGCCGAACAACTGCTGTTCTGCTCGCCTGTTTTTTTTTCAGGTAAGAAACATTTTCTATTTAACTTCTATGATCACGCAACGGTGATCGTACCCCATTATACGAAACCTAAAAGTTTTTGTAGCTGGAAATCTCTCCCATGGAGAACTTTGTAACAGCCTGGAATACGATACATCGTATTACAACTTTTTTATGACAAAACGACTATTGCGAAAACAATTTAGTTCTAGAGGTTATTACTTTTATTCTTAAAACAAGAAAAATAATATTGTAGCTGACTAGTTAAATCGCGAACTTTTCAAAACTCATCCTTTGTTGAATACGGCTTCCTGCCCATTGCAATGTTGCCTAACACAATCTAAGTGAGACTCCATGTTAGTTTACCGCACTAACACCGCAAGGTACGAGGGGGAGGTTAGTCCTATCTTGAGAACTGTGTTCCAACACTTTTTCACAGATTGTGGATTCTCTATCTCAAGATGCTTAAGGGCCTATTTACACGGTACGTCAGAGTTTCTCGCATGCGACAAGCTTACGACATGCCAACTACAGACTTGTGTCGTGTGAATCAAACCAAAAACTCGCGATCGCTTACGACTTTCACATGCGACACAAAAAATGTCGTAGGCTTTGAAAACATTTTCTAAAACGCTGCGACAATCGTAACCGAATTCGACAGAAATTACTTAATATATTGTCACAAATTTCTGGGGAAGGGAGGAAGGCGAAGTTTTCTTGCGTCAAAATGTCGACAATACACAATCGAGCACAAATTTTTAAAATAGCCGTCATGAGGACCATTTTATGACGAATGCCAGACAAAATGGCATTTGAAATTGTACGCGATTTTTGCAGGGAGTAAATAAAATGTCGTGCGCGTGTAATTGGTCCTAGCCTGTCTTAAGGTTACTTCTCACCTTCAGAGACTGAAAAGATCGATTTTTCTTTTACTAGACTAAACTGAATTCAAACTTTCAACCTAACGTTTCCTTTAACAAAAATTCCGAAATCTTTAAAAGCACCCGAGTTATTAAGAAAAACGCATTTTCAAAAAAAAAGTTGATAAATCAGGAAGGTGTCATAATCTTGGACCCTGGGGAAATTTTCGCGGCAACCGCTCATGTTGAGGTTCGATTTTAATGTTATTTCCATATTTTGTTTACAGCGCGCATTTGACAAAATTCACACATGGAAAGCTCTTTGTTTATGGAAATATATTTGATTTCGTGAAAGCGACTGGTAATGGCGGAGCTCCACGTTGGCGTCAGATTTCGATCTAAGAAGTCGCCGTCAAACTAAAATTGGTAAAATTTCCGCACAGCCCCATACTATTGTAAAACAAATCTGTTTTCCCAATGGCAATCTATTGTTTTGTTATTGTCTTCTCTATCAAAAACTGAATGCATAATGTGCGGAAATTTTACCCCAAAATTTGCCATAAATGATGTTAAAACGAGGTTTCCTTTTCGTTACGCAAGTACCAGCCTTGTTACAAAGACATTAACAATTGCCTCGAATCGCAATTTTGAAAGCTGTATGTCGATTCGTTGTCTTGCTCCTCAGCACATTTTGCGGTTTTCCATTTTTGCCGCGGGTTTTTTTTTTGCCCTTCGCAACTTTGCACATTAATGTGTCGTCCTCCTCAACGCTCCACTCAGCGATCGAGATAAGCAAAAAAAAACGTGCCTGCAATGAGTTACTTTTCTTGGTTAATCTTGATCATCGTCATTGACGCCAGGAGGTTCCGTTGTCCTATTGGTTTGCGGTTTCAGGAGGCAAGCGGATAATCACCTGGCGTGACGCGGTTGTTCGCGAGCCTTTATGAACTAAAATCTCGCATTTGATTTTGGGAGGAGTACAACCACTTTGAGCGAATTTATGGGGTATACAGATTTGACCGATTTTCGTCAAATTTCGCCAAAACATCTTAGGAATAATGTCAAACAAAAGTGTCTTGGGAAGTTTTGATATCTGAAATATTTATCCCGTGGCTTCCATTTACGCAACACGACTTGCACATTTTTAGTTATTCCAACTTTAGATGCCAATATCTAGACAACCAATTAGAATATCAAAAAAGCCTATTACACTTTTGTTGACTGATGCCTTGTGAATAGGACTGTGTAGCCAATTAGTTCGTGCTGCAGCATCCCATACGCGATAAATTTAAAAATAGAAGACCCTTCGGTCGTTTCACGCCTTACCGGATCCTGACACTTCCTTAAAAGAAAAGTTGCTTGAAGTCTATTTTTATCGCAAACTGCATTTATGAAGCTTTCTTCTGATATATCGTTTGCTAGGATTGTAGTGAAACTGGTGCGCGAACGAATTTTTTTTCCCGAAGGACACCCGCGAAGGGAAGTAACCTTAAGCTTGTCGCATGCGATTAAGTCGTACCGTATATATCGGCCCTAAACACAAAAATTATACATGACTTTTTATATATCGAAGTGAATACTCTGATACATCCTCTTATGTTTTTTTTTTATATGCCTGGGAGCCGAGCAAACTGATAACTACCCATATTCTCTCGTTCTCTTTAAAATAGAATTCTTGATCAATTTTTGCTGAGTTGGCTACCATGGCCCGAGATGGAGGATCACGTGGTGAGATAAACTAATTTTCTTCTCTGCTGTCCTGAGAAGGTTTCCTATACTTTCAGAATAGAACAGAATTCTGGCTACCCTAACAACTCAACAGGAAATCGTCACTTTTAAATTAAATGTTCTAAGGGAGTCCTTGAAATTGCTTGGAGGTTTATCGCCTATCATGAATTAAAAGCAGTGAACAAGGCTGTAATGAATTACACACAACTCCAGATGAGGGTTTCTGGTGTAGTGAAGTACTGGTGCATTTCATCCCTGAGAAGCAATCAAACTACTGTTTTGTCACATTTAACATTACTTAAAAATTAATAATCGATGACTTAGATGTCATGCATATCAAAGAATATTGGCACGGAAAGAGGTACTCTCTTTAATGGTTCATGTGCATATTCAGGATGAGCTTTATTGTATCTCTAGTGTGAACATTGGTGGTGATATTTTTGAGAAAGGCCATCATTGAACGGTCATGTTTACGGGTTTGAAGGAAACATTAAACCACAGAGGCCCAGGGCTAAACAGCTTCGTAAAATGTTGTTGTATATTGATATTACTGAGTGATACATTTCTTATGTTTGAAGAGCATGTCATTAACATGGACTGGCTTGAAAGGGAAATAGTTATGGAAGAGGAACTGGAAAGAGGAAGAGAAGAAAAAAGAAAAGGTGATGAGCAAACGAAAAGAGAGGAACAAATAAAGAGAGAAGAACAAAGAAAGAGAGAAGAACGAAGAAAAAGAGAAGAACGAAGAAAAAGAGAAAGGGAATGGAAAGCGCAACAGGAGAGGGTAAAAAGGTTAGGAAGAAAAAGAGAGAGACGTCAAGAGATGAGAGGCGCGGAGTTAGAGAGAGGAAGAGTGGGCGTAACGGCAAAAGAAAGGACCCGGGATGAAATTAACAGAGGAAGAGATAAGAGAAGAGGTAAGTGTAAAACCAAGCATTAAGCAAGTGTTGACTGACTGTAAAAGGTCCCATTTCAGTGGCATGTCTAACAAGTCGCCTGGGGCTTCTTTCAAGTGACCCTTAAATGATAAGATTACACACAGCACACGATTGTAGTGAATGTGTAGAAGAAGTGTTGCGTTTAATCATATCTATCTCGCTCAAATATCTAGAGGAAACACTTTGGTTGAAGGAGACAAATCTTACAGTTTTAATTTGATAGCTATGGCAACATCAAAATCTTGCGAAAGATAGGAGGAGAAAGCATTGTAGGAACGGTCAAAATTCTGGTACAGGTATTTCATGAAGACGAATAATAAATGTATACACGATTGTTGGTGTGTCTGGTGCCAAAAGATTCCCTTTTGTCTAACCCTGACCCAAAAGGTTTTATCGTTTGAGTCTAAGGTGAGGCCAGATGATGCTCACCTGAGGCAGGACTTTTAATTGGGACTTTGTGTTTTTCCGGCTTTACTCAGAGAGGTTAAAGTTAGAGGACATTTTTCTGGAAAACTTCCCTTCCCTCTTATTTGGACTGCAACAATATTGTGCTTGTCTGTAATTTTCTCATTTATATTTTTATTCCAGTTCGGTGTCACAAGTGTCGAGGGTTTGGCCACGTACGTGCCGAATGCCCAACGAGACGCGGCCCGGTTGTGCCCCACCAAGATCAAGATCAAGGAAAAAGAACTGATAGTTAATAATTATCATTTTCACGCCTCTCTTGACAATGTAAGATTTCACTAATAAGTTTAGTCAGTTATCTTACATTGCCAAGAGGTTTATTTTATACTTTAATACTAATATTCAATTAATTAAAAACGTACACGTGATTTATCAGTATTATAAATTTAATGTATATTGTTTCTTTTTTATTTTTACGTGATCGAAAGACATTAAATATTTGCTTACATAGATTTTTCTTTTGTTTACGCCCTTTCTTTTGTGACTCTTGATGTCATGTCAAGTTCTCCATTGGTTCCACAAGTAAACAGACACCATGCACTAAACCCTTTAATTATTCTGTTACGGTGAATAGTACCCGTGGGCCTCTTCGTAGATGTTCACTTTGCTTATAACGCAAAGATAAATCAATAGTTTGCCGTCAATGTATGCACATGCATCTGTGTATACAGAGACTTCTGGGGAAATTTCTCATTGCCTGAAAACATTTTTAACGCTAAACTGACTTAAATTCCAAGGGTGTGAGGAATATGCAGACCCTTTTCAACAATCAGAACATCACAGTGGTAAAACATAACACCAAAACTTGCAGACTGATAAACTGATATTTTATAGGGAAGGCTACATTCTCTTTTCCAGCAAAATAATCTCCTCAGACTCAGTGATATTTGTCGAATAATCCCCAGGCTTTGTGCAGGGGATTCTACAGTGTACCGACTAAAATTATTGACCTCACCCGAGGGTAAGCTTTCATTGAATGTGGAAATTCTCAAAAAATGAAACAAATTCTGACAATTTATCCAGCGAGTAGAATATATCTTAACATACCAAATCCAATCTTCACCCCAATTTTCCATTTTCTCAATCAACTCTAAAAACACGTGGTTAATTGTGACAATTCATCCTACAAGTAGATAATATCACAACTTTTCTATATCCAATCTTTACCCCGATTTGTTCAATTAACTTTAGAAAAACGGGGTAAATCGCGACAATTCAGTGGTTAATATCATAACTTGCAATATTCAATCTTTACCCTGATTTTCCATTTGTTCAATGAATTCTAGAAAAACGGGATAAGTTCTGACAATTCATCACGCAAGTGGAATATAACCTTAGTTGTCATGTCAAATCTTTACCCCAATTTTCTTTGTTTTAATGAATTAGTTCTAGAAAAACAGGGTAAACTCTGAGAGTTCATAATACCCTTAGCTCCCATATGCCATCCTTCACTCCGAGTTTCCAATTTTGCCATATCAAATCTTTACCCTTATTTTCCATTTTTTTTTCGTTTATTAGAGACAAATAAGGTTAAATCTTACAATTAATCCCACATGTAGGATACATCATAGCTTTTCATAGTCAATCTTCACCCCGATTTTCCGTTTCTTGAGTAAATTCTGGAAAAATGGGGTAAAATCTGAGTATTCATCCTTTAAGTGGAATACATCCTAACATGTCACATTCAATCTTTGTCCCGGTTTTTTGCTTTTTTCCAAGAATTCTGTACACAATGGGGTAAAAAAAGGACAATTCATCCTACAAGTGAAACATATCCCAACTTGTTATGTGTAATCTTTACCCGATTTTCCGTTATTTTCAGAGAATTCTAAAAAAACAATTCATCTCATAAAAGAATGTATTCTAACGTGCCGAATTAATTTTTCAATGAATTCTGAAAACGGGCTAAATTGTGTCCATTCATCTTTAAACTGAAATAAATTATAACTCGGGACATCCCTAATTTTCCATTTTTTTTTCTAATTAATTCCAGAAAAAGGGGGTTAATTCTGAGAATTGGTCCCATAAGTGGAATACATTTTAAGTTTCCATATCCAATCTTCAACCCGGTCTTCTATTTTTATTTCAATGAATTCCAGAAAAACGGGGTAAGTTATAAGAATTTATAGCGTAAGTGGAGTATATCCTAAGTTGTCATATCTTATCTTGACCCCGATTTTCCTTTTTTAATGAATTAATTCAAGAAAAAGAGGGTAAACTCTGAGAATCCATGCTACAACTTCCCAAATGCCATCTTTGCTCCGATTTTCCATTTTTTTTAGTGAATTCTAGAGAACAAGGGTAAATTCTTAGAGTTCATCCCGCAAGTGGAATGCAACCTGTACGTTGTCTTGTCAAATCTTCCCTGATTTTCCTTTTTTTTAATGAATTAATTATAAAAAAAAACGGGGTAAACTCTGAATTTATGCTAATAGCGGATAATTCCCGTAGTTCCATTATGCCATCTTTACTCTGGTTTTGCAATTTTTTTTTTTTTCAAGAATTATAGAAAAACGGGGTGAATTCTAGTAACTCATCCTCCAAGTGGAATATATTCTATTGACCTGCCACATCTAATCTACTTTACCCCGATTTTCCATTTTTTTTTGGATGAATTATAGAAAAACGGGGCACATTCTGAAAATGCTTCCACCAATTGGAATTTATCATGTTTATCCTACTGACTTGCCATATCCTATCTTTACCCGATTTTCCATTTTTTTTTTCAGTAAATTCTAGAAAAACGGGGTACATTCTGAGAATTCACGCTACAACTGGATAATACCCTAAGTTCCCATGTGCCATCTTTACCCCTATTTTCCATGACTTTTTTCAGCGGTGAAATTCTACGATTAGCGCTAATCGTTAGCCCCCCAAAATAAAGCGATACGCAATAACTTAATTGTGATTAGGAGTTTTTTATAACGCCCGCTTTCAGTTATTATTAACGTCCATAGAAATTCAAAACTTAGGCACAACAACGTGCTATATAATATATTCTTCCTCTTTAATTGTAGTTATTCCCCAATGAAGTCTCAATTAGAGACGAAATGCGTCCGAAATAAACGAGAAGCTTACAACTACAAAAAGTGTTTCTTTGTGCGGCTCGCTAGTCTTAGTTAAAAATGAAAGATAGAAAAAATTACAAGTTTTAAAAGAAGTTTATGTTCTGAGTGAATTCTAGAAAAGCGGGGTAAATTCTGAGAATTCTTCCTTCAAGTGGAATTGATCCTAGGGTGCCAAATCCAATCTTTAACCCGATTTTCCATTTTTTTTTTTTTTCAATTCCAGAAAAACGGTATGAATTTTAAGAATTCGTCCCTCAAGTGGCTAATACCCTCAGTTCCCATATGCCATATTCACCCCGATTTTCCATTTGATCGGTGAATTTTAGAAAAACGAGGTAAATTCTGAGCATTCATACTACAAGTGGATAATAGCCGAAGTACCCATACGCTATCTTTACCCCGATTTGTGATTCATTCCAGGACTTCTACTTTTTCTCGACTTTGAAAAGGCCTTCGACACGGTAGAATGGTCTTTTCTTCCAAAAACTTTACAGTGTTACAATTTTTGGCAATCTGCTATCAACTGGAAGCTCTTTTACCATAACACAGAAAGCTGCATTCTTAACAACGGTTGGTCTAGCAACTTCTTCAAACTTGAAAGGGGGGTAAGGCAAGGCTGCCCTCTCTCTCCGTATCTCTTTATTCTCTGTGTAGAAATATTAGCCGAAACAATACGGCAAAATAAAAACATTAAGGGCATAAAAATAAACGAACAAGAAGTAAAAATCAGTCAATACGCGGATGATACTACCCTTATTTTAGATCGATCGCCCGCCTCTCTAACAACCTCCTTACAAATATTAGACTTTTTCAGCGAGATTTCTGGTCTCCGATTAAATAGCAAGAAAACTGAAGCTTTGTGGATCGGTGCGAATATTCGAAACGAAACACATCTCAGACCCGACAAAGATTTTAAATAGGTAAAAGATAAGGTTAAGGCTCTAGGCGTATGGCTCTCCACCAACCCCAAAACCACTATAGAAGCTAATTACAACGAAAAACTAACTAAAATCAGAAACAGCTTAAGCTGCTGGGAACTGCGCCGTTTAACCTTATTAGGAAAAATTACAGTTTTAGAAAGCCTTATTGCCTCTCAACTGGTTTACATCCTGTCCCCTCTGCCGTCCAACCACAGCGCTCTAACAGAAATAAATAATATGTTCTTCAATTTTGTATGGGATGGCAAGGGAGACAAGGTAAAGCACAACATAATGATCAACGACTACGAGAACGGAGGGTTAAGGATGATTGATATCAAAATTTTCAACAAAGCTCTTAAATCAAGTTGGGTAAAAAATATCTAGATCCGGAAAATCAAGGAAAATGGAAACTTTTGTTTGACTATGAATTACAAAATCTAGGTGGTGTCGAATTTTTCGTACCAACCTTAATAAACAAGATCTGTTAAAAACTATAAAAACTGCAGAGGCCTTTACTTCAGAAATACTCCACATCTGGTCAGAAATCTCACTTGAAACTAATTTCTCCTCCATTGATCAGCTAAAGGCGCAAAGTCTATGGCATAACTCTCTCATACGTGTCGGTAACAAACCTGTATACTATCGTTCATGGTCTGTAAAGGAGTTAAAACAGTGGGCCATTTGATGAATGATGCGAATAGTTTCCTATCTTTCTCTGATTTTAAAGAGCTTTACGACATTAAAACAAACTTCCTTACTTTTCAAGGCATCTTATCAGCTGTTAAGGCCTTACAAAAAAAACAATGAAGCTAACTTCAACAGCTGTAATACTGCATACGAAACTACCTTCGACACCTTCCTAAAGACGACAAAACCAAAAAGACTAACATATAAAATTCTGACGAGCAACAGAATGCATGCTCGAAACACCAGATAATGTCGACTGGAAGGCAGTTTACAGAACTCCTTTTCTGTGCACAAAAATCACAAAATTGATTGTTTTTCAATTTAAGCTACTGCACAGAAGACTAGCCACCAACACTTTTCTTACCAAGGTAAACCTTAGGGACAATGAGCAGTGCACTTTTTGTAAAAGTGAGAAAGAGACTCTCATCCACCTATTTTGGACTTGTGATATATCCAACCGTTTCTGGCAAGGTCTTAAACAATGGATAATTTACCTTGGAGAACCTTTCGCAGAAATTTTCAATCTATCGCCATTTATAGTACTAGGGCTTAAGCCACACAAAAACAAGAAACTAAACTTCCTTTTTGTGGTCACTAGATATTTTGTATGGATATGCAGAATGCGCAACATCTCTCCGGAAATAAAAACTTCCCCCTCTTCTTCTCACATTATAATGCATAAATCATTATTATAAGAAAAACCATGCTTAAAACAAGCACAACACGCATTAACTTAGTGTTTTCTTTAATTCTGTTTACATATAATTTGATGTTTGTATCCTTTTTTCCTGCACTTTTTTGTTTTCTTTTAAACTACCTTCTTTTCTATAAATTGTGAGTAGTGCACTCTGGCTGTAAACGCTTTTTTTTTTTTTTTTTTCTTTTCTTTTAATATATTGTTATTTGTTTAGTCGCTCTTCAACCAGTATTGTTTTAAATATTGTATTGCACTGTAACGTACGTATTTGTAAAAACAAAAACGTAAGTAATGTAGCTATAGATGTAACTGTACTGTAAGTTATTTTCTGTAGCCGTGATATAAGTAATATAGCTGTAATTAAAGTAATATAGTTGTTTTTATATTAAAAATAAATTAAAAAAATTTATAAAAATAAATAAAAATATTGTGACAGTCAGATTTTAAAAAAAATATTTACCCTGATTTTCCATTTTTTTCAACAAATTCTAGAAAAACAGGGTAAAATCTAAGAATGCATCCTCCAAATTGAAGAGATCCCAAGTTGCCATATTCAATCTTCAACCCGATTCTCCATTTTTTTTTTCAATGAATTCTAGAGAAACGGGATTAATTCTGCGAATTCATCGGCAAGTGGCTAACACGTTAAGTTCCCATATGCCATCTTTACCCCGATTTACCATTTGATCAGTGAATTCGAGAAAAACGGGGTAAATTCTGAGCATTCATGTTACAAGTGAATAATACCCGAAGTTCCCATATGCTATCTTTACCCCGAATTTCCATTTTTTTCAGTGAATTTGGCAAAAAACGGGGTAAAATCTGAGAATTCATCCTCCAAATAAAAAGGATCCCAAGTTACCATATCCAATCTTTAACCCGATTTTCCATTTTTTTTCAACGAATTCTAGAAAAACGGGATAAATTCTACGAATTCATCCGCAAGTGGCCAACACGCTAAGTTCCCATATGCCATCTTTACTCAGATTTTCCATTTGATCAGCGAATTCTAGAAAAACGGGGTAAATTCTGTGAAATTCATTCTTTAGGTGGAATATATCCTACTGACTTGCCATAGCCAACTTTACCCCGATTTTCGATTGGATCATTGTGTGAATTTGTCATAAACGGGGTAAATTATGACAATTCCACCCAAACGTGCAATAAATCCAACAATGATCTAGAAACAGTACTAAAAAAAGAACAGCTAAAATCAGCGGGACCGCAATAAAATCACATCACAATCTACTACTTCAAATTTTTACGGAGGGCTTAGTGCGATACAGCAAAAACCTACAATATTTAAAATAAACAACCAAAGGCCAAACTTCTGTGATTCAAGGAAGACTTCGTGACGCGACGCAGACAAATTATCACAACTTTGACCTCTCAGTTGATCTCACCTCCAGCAGATCAGCGAAGCGTCAAAAATATATAATTTCATGCCGACGAACCATAATCTATGATCTTCAGCTATTAAACAAAATAAAACAATTGTGATATGACACCACATTGTGCTTTTGTCTTAGCTTGTGTGTAAAATGTTGTCAATAGAGTCGCAAGTCGAACAATGAGGACAGTAAATAAAGCAAGACTGCAAATAAAGCGTGAACAATAACGCATCTTTTGGTCGAAAGTCGCTTTGTTATTTACGTAGCGAGTTATTCTTCCACGTTTAGGCTATAACAACGATGCGATCACACGGCGCCAACGAAGGAACGATAGAACTTCAAAGAAAATAATGTGAGAGGCCAATGATCCGGTTCGCAGTGATCATGCGAACAGCATGTTTTCCTGAGATCAGTTACCGGAAAATACTGGTCAAATTTTCCACTTATCCCGACCCCCTCGAATAAGTACTTTTGCTTGAAGACATAACTACAACGGAGTCTCTTAACCAGTCCCAAGCCGCGTGTCGCTCGATAGATCACAGGATATGATTGGCCACTCTATCACATTACGTCAGAGGACATATCTGCAATGAGAGGACATAAGTGCAACGGTACACATCTCAGGGGTGACTCAGCCGCAAAGTCCTGGGCTCGAGCTTGGGAGGCTGGTGTCCAGGCCATCATGAGGTACGTTCAAAGTTGTCACAGTAGTAATGTACCGGCTATCAGATATAACCAATGATAGCTATCCAGTGGAGGGATTCGCCTGATGTGTTTAGGTTTTTGATGCTTCCTAATTCAAATCACTTGGTGTTTCACTTGGTTTAAATTGCGTATGCGGTTTCATATGGCTGGAAATAAGGATGTTAACAAGTTAGAAAAATTTGCCCAAAGAAAATCAACCGAAGAGGGCTCGCTTTAGACACGAACACGAACAGAAAACTTAACAGAAGGACAAGGAGTTGGTTAATATGTGACCGATCCTTGAATACATCTCTTTGAACCCCGAAATTTTATTTGAAAAGGAATAGTTATTCAGCTCATGAGCAAAATTTTCCTTTTTCTTCATCGTTAGGTATGGCGGAGCGGAGCCTGGGGACCGCACAATGGTTTGTGATTTGTCCTGATTGTCAAAATTTCTGATTTAGGTCAAATTGTTCAAAACCCAAACTTGTCTGACAAACACAAATAGTTATGCGAAGATTGACCATAGACTACAAATTAATAAAGATCCTCTTAATTGGTGGTCTTAATTTATCATTGTCGTTTCACCCAGGATTCCAAAATGAAAAGAAGTTTCGAGGTATAACGCTCCGCGTTTCTAAACAGAGTCCAAGCCAAAAATGGTTAAAAGTTTCTAGGACTGTCTTGCAGGGCTTCAGCCCTCCAGGTAGCAAGATGAATATTTTTTTCTGCGCTCCTATAGAGAAGAAAAGTTGAGGACTACTCGTACCGGCTCGACAAATTGCCAAACCGTCAGGCCTTTACATTTCTCCTGTGATAATTTCGTGATGTTTTCCCAATGCTTAAAACTAAAGAACACTTGAGAACATTTCTTCAAAGAATTTAGCCATAGGGTTTTGCCGCCATGTTAACTAGCTTGTAGAATCACTTTTTAAATTTTTGTTGTTAATTTTTTATTCATGTCTTTTTCATAGCTCGACGCGTTGCACCCGGCAGGCTCAACTTTGATCTCAGAGCTCGATTCAGGTGTTGACCCTTTGGAGGCAGTGGAAAAGGCTGTGGAGGTATACAGGAAGATATTTAAATCCCTCGAAGAATAATTCCTTGACTCGGGTTAAATCTGGTTATTCCAAGCAAATTTTGTTCGTCACAGTTGACTTGCATCAACGAAGTTTCAACGCTATTGTTTACCTCCCTTTCCAGGCTGCTGAGCTGGGTGCCCAGTCTACTTCCACCATGTCAGCCCGAGCCGGTCGATCCAGTTACGTTGGTGAAAAGCACTTGAATAAGCCAGACCCAGGAGCATTGGCCGTGACGGTCTGGTTCCGGGCGGCTTTTAACGCTCTGAAAAATTAGGAGATAATTGTAAGGTATGCGCTGTTTGGTCGTTGCTCGGGGGGATTTTATTTGTAGTCTGATTTCCAGTTAAATACAATGCTGCACCTGTTTAAATATTATTTAACTAATACTTTCAGCAAACCAGTTACTTGTTATAAACCGCTCTGTTCACATTTCACAAGAGATATTTGGTTAGAATTTTTACGCGTAATTATTTCCTTTTTGCATTTGGCTTTGCAAGAGGAGGGACTGGTACACTATTGACTAAATCCACTGGATGCCCTGACAAAGTTAAATGACGTTTATTAACTCCTTTGGATTGATAATTTGGATTGGCTATCTTGTAAAGAAATCTCTTAAAACATCAAATGCTTGTTTCCATCAGGAACATTCTTTTGGAACCTAAAATTTTTGCGCCAGGAATTTTGATGATACTTCGTTGGACAAGATGATATGGAAAGATAATTAATTAAATGTTTCCTGACCTTCGGTAGCAATATATGTAACATTTAAGGAGATTTAAATAGCATAAGTGAAAGAGAATTTAGTCTTTTATATTGAGATGTTTTTATATCAAATGGTATGAAATGAATTTATAGCGATATCGACTTCAATTAATAAATCACGCCTCCACCTCTACTGTCTTCTACTTTCTATGTCTCTGTGTACTAAAACTGTTCGATTGAAAAGGTGATGTTCTTTTAAATGGAAGCCACTTTCTTTTAGCGTAAAACAATTCTTTTATAGTGCATTGGCTGATAATACGACACTTATTCAATACTTAGTCTCCTAATTACAATTTCTAGGTTTCTGTTGACGTTTGTGCCACGATGGGAAAAGTAAAGAAGTAAATCTCAATCGCGTTTTGGTAAATCAAGAAAATATATTTTTGTTCCCTTAGTCCATTTTACCTTTGTGCGCTTATTTTCCAGGCCTTTAACTAGGAGTGAGGCAGAGGGTGACCCTGTTCAGAGACGAGAAACTGCAGTCTAAGCTTAATAACAGAGTAATTTGCGTATGAAAAATAGCAAGGATGGAGTACTAAGAGAATCACCTTTTGCCTCACTTGGCAGGCAAGCAAGCACACAACTCTAGAATGATGACTATCCGAAAAATGAGAATTTTAAGAATGTGATGCAATCTTAAAAAAAAAAGAAAAATTCAGACGTTTTGCATTAGTGCAAGATCACAATTTATTATTATTATTATTTATTATGTGCAAGATATAGAAGGTCAAATTTTTTTGTGACGTCAAAATTTAGCAGTCACCCGATAAAGGGGCACAACTGGAAAACCTCTGCTATCTCATAAGTATTCAGAATAATATCATCTATAGTACGGTCAAAAGATGACTGGAGAGTGATTTTAGGATGAAAATTTCCACGATTGCGAAGTCAGTATCATAAACAACTGCGAAAACATCATGGCTAAAACTTATCGCATACACCTTGTAAGCGGTGAAAACTTAAGTCAAATAAGCTGCGGTCGCCTGTGAAGGTGTATGGATAAAAACTATGTCTTCTGTTGCTTCTTTTATCCACATGAAGCTGGAAAATAACTTGAATCTCTCCGCACGGAAACTAACTTAGAAATGAGGTTTTTAATGACGATCGGTTTCTGTTATCTAGCTCTATCAATCTAGTCTGTGTACTCTCTCTGTTTCGCTTTATTTTCGATTAGACCTTACGTAATTCAAAACACGTAATCTTGGTACGGAAATACTTGAATCTGTCAGTTAAACCAAAAAAAAAAAACAAAAACAACAAAAACAACCAAAAAATAATTCAATGCTTTGTTTTATCGCACGTGAGGGTTCAAACGATCAAATCAATATCTGACCCTTTGTAAAATGATTCCCGTCGATTTTGGCCCGCCACAGATCGGAAATGAAGAGGCCGAAAAATTAATGTTGTGGTTGATATGCGACTCTGTACTGCGTCTTTACAACTTGTTTTGTTTCAACTGATGAATCTTAAAATGTCTTCAAGTCGATTCTTTTCGCATGATGAGAACACTGGTATGTCTTGCCGCACTTGAAAATGATGATATGGTGTCTCCTTTACTTAGTCATCAATCTTATTCAAGCGGGATCTGTTCTTTGTGATAAATCTCTGCTTTGGTAAGTTTTGGTGATCAGTATCACACTGCCGGGCGTATCTTGAATGAAACATGCCGCTGTACCGTGGGTGTTATTCTTCCATCACTGGCGCCTTTGCGATCGGTTTCTTTTAAGGAGTCGCATGATGTTTGACGTAATTGTGAGTTTGTGAGTAGTTGAGATAACGTCCGATAATAAAGCTATGATGATATGAGCTTTTGATTATTGAGGGAAAGTTCGTCTCGTTTAAAACAAACTTTCCTTTTGTGTAATCGGCGCATTAGAAAGCAAGTTAGTCAACAAGTAACTGCATGACATTCCGCTGTTTTCGTAGCTTTTCGTTTACTGTTTCAGCTGTTTTCGTAGCTTTTCATTTACTGTTTCGGCTGTTTTCATAGCTTTTCGTCAACTGAAAGTAATTCGGGATTGCATTGGTGTTGCTGTACTATGCCCAGTGATTGGTCCAAAAAATCTCGCGCCACCTACTTAGTCTATCACAGCGTTTTCCCGCGCTTATGGTAGTTTGCTCGTTTTTACATCAAGATGTTTCCTTTTTCTGATTGGCTGGCTTCATGATTAGTAAGGTATTTCTCATGACAACCAATCAAAATGCGCCCTAAAATTACTGTGTAACCCTGTTCTAATAAACTTTTTTGAAAAGGCACTAACTCACTAATTCCGTCTTATATGTGGATATATCTAGGTCGTGTTCTATTTTGGCAGGCGAAATTACCTTGAACACGAAGGAAAGAAAATGTTCATCAACGAACAAAGCAAAAGAAGAAAAGGAAATGTGAAGACTAGGCCAAAAACTGACGTAGATGATCAAAAGTGGAAAGATCGCTGCAGGATTTCAAATTTTTTAACTGAGAAAATTTTTGTCATTTTCCACCAACTTTGTTCGTAATTACCAAGGTTAAAAAATTATGGTTAATCATGAGTACGAATTAAAAAATTCCGAGCACTTAAGTGTTATGTATTTTTGGTTCAAGTTCAAGAGTTGATATTGTGATAAAAAGATTAACGGGAAAAAATAAGTCATGCTCTGCGGGATCTTTTAAACAAAAGAAGCCATGTATGGGAAAATCAAATACTAAACCAACAGTTTAAACACTTAGATTTATCTCTTTCTGTGTAGTTCTATTTTTTATACATATGTTTATTACAATTATTTTGCCTATTTTTTGTTGTAATAGTATTGTTTTGGTTCGAAATACTTCTTGTGCTTCCGTGATATTTTATTCAAATAGATAACGAATCTGTTTAGCGTAAATCTTAGCTCGTAATTCGATAACGTAAATGTGGAATTCAAATTGTAGCTTTTGCAACTGAAGATGACATGAGTGACGTCGACACATGTTTTGTTAACTAAAAAAATATTGTTTGCTTTATGCGAGTACATAGCCGTTTAGAACTATCATTGCCTTGTTCTTTTTTATGTTGTCGAAACTTTGCGTGATCGTTTGAATAGAAATATTTTACAGTGTAATTTTACAAATGTAGGAACTAATTTTTAAACAGAGAAGACCGCACGAACACTTGATAATACATCAATTGTCGGTACGTTTTTAAAAAAAGTTGGCCGGACATGCGCTCTTCTTTGGACGCTGTTCTTAGAAATATAGGCTTCTTGAAGTTCTAGTAGATTTATATATATCATGTGCTCAAGGCTTTTGTTATGGTTATATGTGAACAATTTTGCTAATTCTAACAAACAAGTTTGTCTAGCTATTTTAGTTCTGGGCCAATATTTGATTCCTAAGTACAACAGCTTCATCTATCAATTTTTATCTCAAAATGTGAGTGTATTTTAAAAAAATCATCTTATATCCTTATTGTTAGGAGAAACTCAAAGTATGTCGAACTAGTAGAATGATATTGAAAAGGAATGCGTGTAATTTCAAGTGAGAAGAACGTATTTAAAGACGTGATGGTGAAAGCTGTAGGTCATTCCTAGACGTGGGGCATGAAGCCTAATTTTCAGAAGGTCGCTATTTGCAGACCGCTGTCTGAATCTTTGAGTCCATGTCCCATTTTGGCCCATCCTCATTATTTTGCTACATTTTTATCACACTAGGCAAATATTTTTAGGTTTCTTTCGCGGTGGAAGTGAGGTTGCTGGTCGTAGAAAAAGCATTTTTTAACATATCGTGACTTAGATCCCCTAAAACCAATTAACTAGTTAAGATCAATCCAGTTGTCCGATCTAGTTTCATATCAGTAAACGTTTCCAAAATTTGTTCATGCTGTGTAAATATGGTCATTCTTTTTTCAGTTGAATATGTGAACTTCGGCAAAAATCTTATCCCCTTAGATTTAGCTGGGCTTTTATTTGTTTATCTTTCATCAACACCAGACATGCTGTCTGGAACATAAAACTACTGTGACGCAAGGTAAGATTTCTGTGACCAATGCTTCCGTTTATTAATAAAAACCTTCACCCTCCTTGTTCGTGTCAGAGCAATCTTTTCGCTGATTGAGAAGTGTCTAAGAGAGCAAATAAAGCTAATTCGACTGAATTTAAGATCAACGACCCAAGGGGTTTTTAATTTAAGTTCTTGGGTACTTCTCCAGCTCGGAAATCTTTGATCCCCCTCTCATGGAAGACGTTAAAGACAAAGCGTTGAGTGAAACTATACAGCAGTGTTTATCTCTTTCTTGGTGGGCCCTTGTGCCATGAAAATTAGAGGTATTAGCGACTCCTTAGACACGCAAACCTTTTTTTCTTGGTCCCTGTAAAACTATCATCAAAAGTCTATTGGCTCACTTCAAACTAGCCGGCGAAAGTGTGACAAAACGAATCAGCAACCACTAGTTCAAACTCGCCATCAGCTTATGTTTGTCTTACTAAGAAAGGATATAACCTCTTTCGTGACAAAAAAATGGTAAAAGAAGGAAACCGCAAGCAGTATCTAAACAGCTACAAGACATTTTGTAATAGTAAATGCGAGCAATCGCATTAAAGATAGCAGCAGCATTTAGATAAATAAATTGGATTATACTTTTGTAACGATGCGTCCTCTCCGCTCTCTAAGTTTCGAGGATGAGTTGGAATTTAGGGGGTTGGTTTGCTGTTAACACAACCGACTTAAATTAGGAATCATTCCAACACCTCACTAAAATAGCGGTAGTATTAAATATATTTGTATGTTTGTTGTTTGAAGCAAATCCTTACCCAGAAACAGGCAAAAAATGTAGAGCAAAGAGACCGAAAAACACAAATATATCTTGGTATATTGATGTTTGTGTAAAACTACCGCGAGCACACACTATCAAATTCCAGGTCATTTTCATATCGAACAAAAACATGATCTAATAGATTACGTTTATGTCCAATATAACATTATGCTACGACTTCTCTTTATTCGAATATCAGATGAAGTCTTTGTGCAGAATATTGTGCCCAACGTTTCGCGTTAAAAGGCCATTCATTAAATTCTTGATAGCGTTGGCAGAGATTTTGATGAACAAATCTGTTGCCATCAGCATGACTTGATAAACTAATTACCCTAATGAAATAGGAAACGGGAAAAT